AGTAAGAATCCAAAGTGAATTTTAAATTTAAAGCCAGAGGAGCTAAACAGGAAGCATAGGTGATAGAAGTTTCCCAATTTGACTATTTTGACATTCACTTTGAATTCTCACTTTAGAGAAGAACCCTGAGTGACTTTTTGTAAATGATGGTATTTATTTTCAGACGTATAGCTTTTTTTCTCCTTCTGTAGGATCAGTGGTTTCCTATTCTGTATTTGGATGAAAGTACATCTAATCTGTGAAATGTGACCAGGCAAGGCAGTTAAGAGATAGTTTTGAAAAAGTAACACACGGTAAAGGAAAATCATAACTAAAGGAGCAGCAATTAGTTCCCAGTGGTGCATAAGATTTCACAGAGACATGAGTCCGAATAAGTTTGACATTTTCATTCACAAAGATGCCAATTAGTCAGAAATAGAGATGGCAAGAATTGCAAGGTAGCCTGCCTGCAGCGTTCTAGAAAAGAGGGGCAGCTGATGGCTTAGGGTTTCATTTCACATACTGTGTAAGGAACTTTGTCAAAGCCATGTTAACTGAATGCTGAAAATTAAAAAGCGATAATAAATTACCATACAAATAATTGTAAAAGTGAATGGAACAGGATCTACCTCCAATAGCATAATTCTGATTGAAATCCTTTACTATTAGTACTCTTGTTTTGAGAATGTTATTGGTAAAGGTCTGAATGTTCAACATAGAAAATTTGTATACATGCACAATATGGCTATTTGTATTTGCTAACCTGATGTGATTACTGGGGGTCAAATGATGCACCTCCACCTATTATGCAGTTCCTGTCCCCCAAAATGCCTCTGCATACATATTTTAACCCCTTCACTATCAAAAAGTTTATAAAAACAAAACAAGGGGGGCGGGGCCTAAACATCATGACGACTGGTCTCACTTCCCACGAGCTCCAAGCTTGATAATCTATAAACTAAGATTGCAGGACAGCTGCTTCATGGGGGCCGACCGGAGCGCTGTTTAAAAAAAGTGCCAACCTACACAGCGTTCGGGAGGCCACCGTCCATTGTCCCAACCACGTGCGTTCGCATTCACGAAATGACGGCAACCCAGTGGAGCATTCTATTAATTATTTTCTTTGCGGTTTTCAAACAAGATACTCAACATTCCAAGGGTTCTGGGGTGGTCTTAGTTCAGGAACCTAACAAAATAGCCAAAGCAAAATTAAATATGAATCTGTTATACAAAAGGAGCCTTAAGTGATGGTGTATTTTGTAAGACCTGCAGCGGTTATGGTACTGCGGTCCTCTATTCCTTTCCCAATAGCTGAGCATATGTGATTATAGGATGTAGAGGAATAGTGTAGATGAATGCAGCTTCCAAGACGATTCTCCCCAGCAAGTAGAATATTCCCCAAGCATGAGCCTAGACTTCATGAAGGGTGTAACAGGAATAACTTATTGATGCCACACTGGCTTTTATGAGAATCCTCCTGCAAGAGGACCTCCCACAGTAAACAAAGACAATAACCAATCAGCACACAGATTTACAGTAACACCCTCCCTCTCTCTGCCTGGGAGATATTGAGATAAGTTAAGGAATAACCCAATTATCTCCAGGCAGAGGGCACACAATTTTAGCAAAAATTAGAACACCCCTTTATACAACAGGTATCCCCACAAATTATCCCCTGATAGCCCCGATCTGGGGGACCAACATTCAAATTTCACCCAGATTGGTTCAGGGGTTCTCAAAAAGTATGGTAGTCATAAGTTACTGACCACACACAAGGCTCCTGCCCAAAACAGTTCCACGAATTCAGTGTGTGCGGTCGGTTAATTCAGAAAATGGCATAAAAACTAATAAAGTCCCGAATGGATCCTCCTTGCTCATAGGAGCGATTGTTCCCCTTGTTCGTATGAACCAAACTACCGAATGGCGCTCTCCTGGCTGTTCGGCAACTAGAGGAAGCAGGCATTTGTATGTTTCAGCAGTGGTTTGGGAAGTGGAGTGTCCAATTTTAGTTCCAGACACTTGACGACCAAGTCCCAAGAGCACTTAATAAACGGTTCTCTTTGAAGTTAATGAGCCAGGAGGGTGGTAGGATGCCGAAACCCAGACTATTTTCTTCACAGTTAGTACCCTCATCACCCAAGCACTCACCTTTGCCCAACCACGCAAAACCCTGTAGGCCTCGGTGGCCTATTACTCAATTTACCAGCTGCGTGGGAATTCCGGCTGTTGGAAACAACGCCTGGCTGAGAGCCGAAATGCTATCCTGTGGAAGAACCACTTACATTCCCTGCATGCTTGGGCACAAAGATTGTTACTAAATAGCTTGCTTCTGCTGTTGTGGCGTTGCGAGCTTGTCTGTAATCTTACACACAACAAAAAAAAAAAAACCCAAACCCTCTCCCAGTGTAGTATTTTGGAGTCTATTTTGGGTGTCATGGAAAGTAATGTTTAAATGTAATTTTTAGTTTCAGTATGCATAGATAGCGCATTATTTAAAGGAACAGTATAGCATTAGGTACACAAACATGCATTCCTAACACTATAGTGGCTTGCTCACAGTTTAGGTTATCATTGTCCCCTGTATACAAGAGTGGTGGCATGAACCAGTTAACCAGTTTCCACATACTTCCTCTTCCCAGAAAAAATTTCAAATATTGTTCCACATTTGTGTGCAAATATTTTTTTTTTTTACACTTAATTTGGCATTCAACTAGTGCACAAGTTGGCACATATTAAGGGAAGCGTAGGGTGCAATTCAGAAATTGGGATTTGTCTAAAAGGCCACTAGTCTTTCTTCACACTGGAGCACTTCTACCGCTTTCTTTTTCTGTGCCAGCTAAGTGCTCAAGTTTTACTGGCCTGATACATTTCTGTTCTTCCCTCAACTCTGCTTTCCTCCAATATTTATTGAAGGGCTACAGACCCAGATTAAAGGGACACTCCAGGCACCCAAACCACTTCTGCCCATTGGAGTGGTCTGGGTGCCAACTCCCACTACTCTTAACCCTGCAACTGTAATTATTGCAGTTTTTTTACAAACTGCAATAATTACATTGCAGGATTAACTCCACCTCTAGTGGCTGTCTACTAGACAGCCACTAGAGGGCACTTCCTGATTCATAGCAAAGATTTTCTTTGCTAGAGCGTCGCTGGACGTCCTCACGCTGTGTGAGGACCTCCAGCGTCGCTCAATTCCCCATAGGAAAGCATTGAAAATCTTTTCAATGCTTAACTATGGGGAGACCTAATGCGCGTGCGCGGCCTTGCCGTTCATGCGCATTAGGTTTCCTCAGCCGGCGGGCGGGATCAGTCTCGCTCACCGGCTGACGTGATTACTGGGAGGAGCAACGCCGACCCGAAACCACCGCCAAGGGACAACGGCGGGGCCTCAGGTAAGTGACCTGAAGGGGTTTTCACCCCTTCAGCTACCTGGGATGGGAGGGATTGTTTTCCTGGCACTGGAGTTTTCCTTTAAGGTGGTGCCCTTGACCCTGCCAAAACAAATGGGAGGTCTGGACCGCCCTTCCTTTAAAAAAATAATTATCAGGCTGCACATCTGTCTGGCATTGTTGAATGGCACCATGCTGAACGTGCCAAACAGTGGGCTAATCTAGAGCAGAGGGTGGTGGGCTATGTAGTCCCTGCAGGCATGTGGCTAAACCAAAAGAAGCTGGCTAAGGAGACTCGTGTGCACCCTTTTATTGGTGTTACTCTGAAGGTGTGGTACACAGTTGGTAACTGTAGGTTCCTGTACACATGCCTTGGCCCCATGAACCAGTTAAAGCACAATCCGACCTTTCCATCAGGGCTGGATAGCAGATCCCTAAGAAGTTTTGGCAAAGTGGTCTATGTCCCGCTGTACGCTGTCAGTTCTAGGAAGGTCTTAATGTCCTTGCCAAATATCCCTCAAAACCAACAACTGACCTACCTAGAATCCTTCTTGTTCTACTAGTTAAAGCATATTTATAAGTTGATAACACTGCATGCCAATTTACACAGACCATTAACAATGTATGAAGAGCTATGTGCCCACTCTCCTCCACTGAACAGGAGCATCTCGATCCTTTATCAACTTCTTAAACAAGAGCAGAGTCCTTCCCTACTACAATTCATTTCATACTGGGAGTATGCCCTACAACACACGTACATGAACTAAGAATGGTCAGAGATGATGATACTCTCATACCAGATTCCAAAAAATGCTAGAATTGGTATGAAAAGCCTCAGAAATTACATAAAATATCCCCTCAAGTTTCTGATCAATGCTAGCAGGATTGTGGAATGGTTGGTCTGTTGTTCCATATTCTCTGGGAATACCCAATGAGAGTCGTTTGAGGCTTTGTACTTTATAGACGAAGGAGTTGGTTTCTACCCGGCCGTACGTATCTGTCTCTCTCTCTCTCTCTAATATGTCCAAACACCGACTTACTGCATCCCTGTAGTCCACTGGAGGCAGCAAATCACATCCACATACCAAAACTGGATGGGATAGAGTTGAGGAGATAAGGCAGATAGAAGAACAGCTATTAGAGACATGACAGATAAATATCTGAATACACTAGGGTCCGTGGCTGACTTTCCTAGGTAGTTAATCTGGGTTCGAGTGGAGAGAATCAAAGTGTAGGCATGTGATGATGGGTTTAATATACTTACTACTCTCCTTTATACAAAGCTCTCCCTCCTTCTCCCCCCCCCACCTTACTTGGAATAAAATTGCAAATCTGTCATTTTTCAAGGTGCTTGTACCTTAATTTGCTACTACAGTTATACAACACTAATTCTTTTGGGGGGGACTTCTAATACACATATAGGCTTAGATGCAATATCAGCATCTTGTGTTTGACTGTGGAGGATCGTCCCAGAATGAATATAAATGCGAATGTTGAAATGCAAGGCATTTACATTGCCTCAAATGCACCTACTACACTACAGAAGCGTCAGATAAGGATAAAAAAATACAAAAGAATGATCAAAAATATTTATTTTGAATAAATAGAAATGTATATACAAATAAATCTGTATAAAAACACTCTAAGTGGTGTGGATTTCCCCCCCAAAAAACACATTTGTCTATTAAAATGTCAATATATTAAATTAACTGTATAAAAACACAGGATAAAAAAACAGCACCTATACTGTTCCAAAACAACCAGATTTGGAAAATGAACATTTGTAAACTGCATCCAGGAATTGTTCTTCCTTCACGTGGTTGTCAAATTCTAAACAGAGATCATGATACTGTTAGACAAACATACTTTCAAAGAATACTTTTGTTCCATAATTGTGTTGATGACAAGTAGTTAATAAAATGTAACTCTTACCATTGTAGTATGCAGATTGCTAACAATTTTATAGTTTATACGTTATGTCTCAGCCCATGCCAATGCTACCATTTACATAAACATTATGCCACAATAACAGAATGGTTTGGGAGGGGTGGAGGTCACGTTACAGTGCCTTAGGGTCAAGGCTGTACTTCTTTGTATTTGAATAACAAAACAATTGTGTTTTATTTTTATAAATAAATACAGTATTGTGAATCACTGCTAGTTAATAGTTCTATTAAAGAAAACTTTGCCGCCAACTGTAAAGTATCAGCTCCGTTAACTCCCCAAACAGAAAAACAAAACCATAAGTAAAAATTACAATGCAAACCGTCAAAAAGTGCAATTGTTATAGAACACACAGAGAAAAACAAACAAAAAAATAAATAAATAAACACACTGTGCAGATCATTCTTCCTCTGGTGCTGTCACTCCCCCTCACTATGCCGCCACTGGAATGCTGTGCATGTTTATGACAGACGCCGAATATGCACAAACTTGGCATTAGCCAGCCCACAACTCTATTTGAATGCTGAACGTACATATTCCAAGCACCATGGTGCTTGGAGTAACCGGTTAAACCACAGTGGAGAGGAGGTAACAGATTTAAAACCACAGAACAAAATGGTTTGAGTTATAAATTAGATATATTAGCATTGATGCATTAATTAGTAATTATGTTAATTTTAAGTTGTACCATTCTGTGTTACTAGTATTTTAAAGGGTTACTCAAACCACCACAACCAGCTGTTCCAGGCTGCCAAATGTGAATACTGTGCAAAAAAATATATGTCTGTCATCATTGCACTATCAATGGATGTAATGCGATTCTCTCTTGCAAGCAGCAGCCCTCCCCAGTAACATTTAGTGGATTTAAACCTCCCTCACAGCTCATGGGAATCGTTTGATTGGACCATGGCAAGTGAGGCTGTGATGTTGGCTGTGCAGGAAGTGAAGCAGAAAAGATCATGGAGACTGTCAGTTTTCAAAAGCTGTCTGACCCAAGGTGTATGTATATGGCTGAAGGATGCGGTCAGAAACTAAAGGCATGGATGAGTTTTTCTAACTTGTTATTACATATATTTCATTAAAAAAAAATATATATTTCCTTTCAAAACTTGATGAACGTATTATATTAAAAAATGGTTTTGAGGTGACAGTTGTTCTTTAAGTTATCACTATATTGCACAGATAATGATGCCAAAACACACTGGTTCATATTTTGTACCTAGCAAAAGTGAACTTTGTAACAGTTTGCACCATTGCACATTTTATTTACTTGTTCCAACATATGAGGGAACTTTTTGAATTAAACAAAAAGTGGTTTGGCTGCAATTTAACTACTTGTGAATTGTCAAGCTTGCACACACGTAAGGATTTGACAGACTTTAACATATAACACAGCAGAAGCTAAATTATAGTATCTATGACTATAGGACTGGAGTAGCCAATATGTGGATAGCAAGGCTGTGAGGTGGTGTAGCTTTCCAAGTACGGAAGCCACTATCGTCTAGTGTGCAGCTAGAGAACAAACCAGGAATAAAATACATCCAGATTAAGTGGATGCCATGTCTTATACTTTGTAACCAGTACATTTAGCCAGTTTGAATGTAGAAGAATGATCAGCAAAGACTTCAAAATCGGTTCAACAAAAACACAAAAGAATACAAATTCCAACAGTCCGAAGGCAACAGACAATGCAAATAATACAAGACGTGAAGCTGAGAAAGAGGGTAAAGCATTAAATGAAAACGTAGTTCAAGTCTGTGTCTTTCCATTCAGCGAAAACCAAAAATATGAGTAGTTAGTTTTGTCTAAGAGTGTGGGCTAGAAAACCAGTTCTGAAATACTGGTGTGGTGAATGAGTCGGGGATCAAAAGAAGTTTTATGGTAACCTTAAGAAAAGCCACCAGAAACAACAGTATTTGGACCCAAGAAAGTTGTAAAAAAAAAATAAAAAAAACAAGCCACATAGTTTGAAGAGAATATGTAAATAGGGAAAGCCTACACATGTAGGCAGATTACATACTATAACAGGAATTGAACAGCTAATTAAAAAGGCAAAATGTAAGAAACATATGTTTTATAGTCATTACATATTTAAATAACTAATATGTAATAGGCACTGCAGCAGGGAAGTAATAAAAATTTATCTATTCTCACGTTAAGTGTAGTTATTCACAGTCATTAATTAAAAACCATTTAAACAAAAGATGCATACTCTAAACGAATTTTGCTACAACTGCATAGTTGTTTCCAATGCATAGTAAAGGAAGAGCCCAGTGCTTTTGTGAGATTCTCCCTGTTGAAGTACAGCATGACAAGTATAAACTTTAAATATAGTAAACATTATTAATACAAATATAAAAGGAATCTTCCATGTAACAATATTTAATGTACAAAAATAGATTTTACACATATGGCTTATAATTTAATCAGAACACAGAAAATGATATTCCTAGATATTTTACAAAAAAAATTTGTTTCCAGAGGGTGTTTTTAGAGCTAACCGTGGTATATCTCCTGCAAACCCCATCAAGATGTATATGCATGATGCCAAGCTTAACAAGTTGCTTCCTCCTTAGTACATTTAGATACTTCATATATGTCACTCCTTGAAGCTCACACTCCTATTTAAAAAGGAAACACATTGTTATCATACACAATACATCAGCAGTAGAAAACAAATGAATAGATTGAAATCCACGCATATGTAGTGAAGATTGGATGGTACTAATCCCTAAGTGCTGATATTTTATTGAAAGATAACATCAATTTTGCATTCAAAAAAAAAATTCTATGGGACAGTATGAAAGATAGAGAAGGAATCAAAAGGTTGATTCAACTTTTTGCCAATTGGCACATTTATTTCTAAACTCTATCAAGATGTTATATTTGATAGATAAGTTGGTGATTCCAGTAAGCTTTTAAGCTTCTCTACAAAAAACAAACAGCACAACAACACACAAAAACTCTTCAGTGGAATACTGCTTATTAGTGATCATGACCGCAATAGCAACAGGCAAAAGTCTGTTAATTTAGGAATTAAAATGGATACGGTAATCCTTAAAGGGAAACTACAGTGCCAGGAAAACAATCTGTTTTCCTGGCACTGCAGGTCCCCTCTCCCTCCCACCCGCTAATCCCCAGTTGCTGAAGGGGTGAAAACCCCTTCAGTAACTTACCTGAGGCAGCGACATGTCCCACGTCGCTGCTTCTCCCTCCGCCGCCGCTCCTCCTCCACCGGCCGGGGAGACCTAATGTGCATGCGTGGCAATGCCGTGCATGCGCATTAGTGCTCCCCATAGGAAAGCATTGAGAATGCATTTCAATGCTTTCCTATGGGGAAATGAGCGACGCTGGATGTCCTCACACAGCGTGAGGACGTCCAGCGACGCTCTAGCACAGGTTTCCTGTGCTATGATCCAGGAAGTGCCCTCAAGTGGCTGTCTACTAGACATCCACTAGAGGTGGAGTTAACCCTGCAAGGTAATTTTATGGCAGGACAGGAGGATATAGAGATATATATATCTATATCTATATCTATATCTTTCTTTCTTTACTAAACCTCCCAGTAGCAAAGAAATAGTTAAAGGACCACTATAGTGCCAGGAAAACATACTCGTTTTCCTGGCACTATAGTGCCCAGAGGGTGCCCCCACCCTCAGGGACCCCTTCCCGCCGGGCTGGATGGCGAGGAAAGGGTTAAATCTTACCTTTTTTCCAGCGCCGGACGGGGAGCTCTCCTCCTCTTCAGCTGAATGCGCATGTGCAGGAGCTATGCGCACATTCAGTTAGCCCCATAGGAGCATTCATAATGCTTTCTGGATGCTGGAGATGCCTTCTCACTGTGATTTTCACAGTGAGAAAGACGTTGAATGCTTCTAGCTGCTGTCGTACGAGACAGCTACCAGAGGCTTCTTAGAGGCTGATTAACTGAAGAGTTACAGCAGTTTCTCTGAAACTGCTATGTTGTATATATAAAAAAAAAAAAAAAAGGGTTAATCCTGGAGGGACCTGGCACCCAGACCACTTCATTAAGCTGAAGTGGTCTGGGTGCCTAGAGTGGTCCTTTAACAATAGTGTAAAACAATTCAACCAGTATTATATGATGTCATCAAGCTCCTCCCAAATCCTCTTTCTTTGCTGCTTGCCTCCCAGGTGAGTCTATTCCAATTATATTGCTATATGGTTTTGCCTTTAAAGGACCACTCTAGGCACCCAGACCACTTCAGCTTAATGAAGTGGTCTGGGTGCCAGGTCCCTCTCATTGACAGCCGCTAGAGGCGTTTGCGTGATTCTCACTGTGAAAATCACAGTGAGAACACGCAAGCGTCCATAGGAAAGCATTGTAGACCTTGCTACAAAACCTAGGTTTTGTAATCAATTTTCAGAAATAGGCCCTGAAACCTTCTCAGAAGGTTAAGTTTCTCAGATTTCGGATAGATTCTGTATAGGCGATTTTGCAACTACCCTCCGCAAAATTCAAAACTATAAAAAAAAAAAAAAAAAAAGACATTCGCAAATTGCTATCAGCCCACCAGATTCGCCTACGCGATCTGGCCCATACCATAAGCCTACTGTCTGCCTCTATCCAAGCCATTTACCTGGGACCTTTACATTACCGAGCCATGCAACGGCTCAAGACATACTACCTACACCGTTCCACCTCCTACAATCAGAACATCTATCTAACAGACGAAGTTCGGATAGAACTTCACTGGTGGCTTCACAACATGGAAGCCTGGAATGGCAAAGCCATTTTCGGATCGCAACCAGACTTCATTCTGGAATCCGATGCCAGTCTCCTGGGAAGGGGCGCCAAAAGGTCCACCGGGGGACCATGGTCCCCCTCCGATCAAGCACTGCACATCAATTGCCTAGAACTGATTGCAGGATCTTATGCGATTCGCAGTTTAGCAAAAGATTGTTTCAATTGTTCACTAGTACTGCGCATGGACAATGTCTCTGCAGTGCGTTATGTGAATCGGTTAGGAGGTTCCCGATCCAAACTACTGTCCGACCTTACCAAGGAACTCTACCAATTCTGCCTAGAGCGGAATTAATCCATCAGAGCGGAATATCTACCGGGCACGGACAACCTAGTCGCAGATTGGTTCTCTCGCCATTGGAGGGATGTAACCGACTGGCAATTGGATCCCCGCTTGTTCTATCAAATTCATTGTCTTCACGGGCCCCTCACACTGGACCTGTTTGCATCTCGGCTGAATCACCAGACGGAGGCCTTTATCAGCTGGCTTCCAGATCCCCAGTCCTGCGCAGTCGATGCCTTTCTACACCCTTGGCCGGAGACAGGAGCTTATGCGTTCCCGCCTTTCTCCATGATCCAGCGCACCTTTTACCGGGTCAAAGCCCTAGTAGTGACGATAGTTATTGTCACTCCGCTATGGAGAGCTGAGACTTGGTTTCCAACCCTGCTACAACGGTCAGTGAATTGTCCAATTCTACTACCTCGATTCCCCGACATCCTCAGGAATCCAGCAGGGCAGTGTCACCCATTCACCCTTCAAGGGCGGCTCCAGCTTGTAGCTTGGACCGTTTCAGGGGATCCTGGAATGTCTCGGGACTTTCGGAGACAGCTCAGGCTCTCCTATGGGACTCCTGCGGCCCACAACCCTATTGACAATGCATCAATAGGAAAACACCCTTCAGTTTGTAGACTTTTACGAGGGATCAGGCTAGCCAGACCCCCTCTTCCTAAATATTCAAATTTCTGGGATGTCACTCAGGTTTTTTCCCTTTTTTAGAATCCTGGCCCTCTAATGAGAATTTGACGTTACGTCAACTCTCTGCCAAACTGGCCTTACTCCTATGTCTGGTATCCTTCCGTAGGGTCTCCGACATTCAAGCATTTGATTTCCACGCTGTAGTTTTCTCACTGGAAGGCGTTAAATTTCACATCACTAGGCGAACAAAGACTAATTCCTCTGCTGTATTCTACCATTACTTTCCGAATAGACAGTCACTCTGTGTGGCGCTCTGCGTAAGGCACTATATAGATGTCAACCACTCTGCGTCCCCCTACAGGACCCCTTCTCGTGTCCTATGTCAAACCACACAAACCGGTGTCCGCTCCCACCGTCGCGCGGTGGATCAGATGGATACTAGCCCAAGCAGACATTGATTCCTCTTTTGGTGCGCATTGGGTCAGAGGAGCAGTCGCATCCTCAGCCTTTCGTGCGGGTAGCTCCCTCTCAGACATTTTGTCGTCTGCGGATTGGTCGAGGGAGTCTACCTTTCGTATATTCTACTTCAAACCTATGCCACATGCTGCATCTTCTATCATATAGGAGCATTAAAACAGCAAATATGAAGCTTCCTGTCTTGCCATAAATAGGGATTATTCTAGCCCTAGTGACTGAATAATCTAAATTTTATTAACGACAGGAGGCGAATATTTTCCCTCCCTTCTTTGTTTTCATTATCATTTCTACCCGCCCTAAGGTAAGTTACTGTATATTTTTTCCTAGTGTGTTTCAGACACATTCACACATCATCTGTCATAGGTTTACACCACAACACTCTAACCAGGAGTTTGATATACTTAACATCATTTTACATGAAATGTATTGAAATTGTTGTTCCTAGTATGCATGCCATATACTTGCATTCAACTAGTATGAGAACCTATACTCTCATGGTTTTTCTCTACTTCCCTTTAGTGTGAAGAACCCCAACACTTGTGATATATGGATCCATCAATCCCGTTGAAAGTTTACATGGTTGACTACATCAGGACCTCTGATTAGTGCACAGTTCATAGTTATAGTTTACATGGTTGATACTCCGATATCGTCGGCTACAGCAAGAAAGAGGATTTGGGAGGAGCTTGATGACATCATATAATACTGTTATACACTCTGATTGGTTGAATTGTTTTACACTATTGTTAACTATTTATTTGCTGCTGGGAGGTTCAGTAAAGAAAGATAAGCAAATACGAAGCCTCCTGTCGTTAATAAAATTTAAATTATTCAGTCACTAGGGCTAGAATAATCCCTAATTATTGCAGTTTATAAAAAACTGCAATAATTACACTTGCATGGTTAGGAGTAGTGGGAGTTGGCACCCAGACCACTCCAATGAGCAGAAGTGGTCTGGGTGCCTGGAGTGTCCCTATAAAGGGTTACTCTAACCGTTTTCCCCGTTTGAATAATGTCCTATTGGGTGGTGCAACTAGTCCCCGGTACACAATTGCCAATAACTCTGGATGTGCAAGCTGAAACACTGCACAGCAAGACTCCTACTACATCAAAAAGCAGAACTGGGCATGGTGTTTAGAGTAAAGGCCTATCAAACAAAAGTAAATTAAATTGTAACTTGAAAAGAAAAGAGACTGAGTAACTTATTTTTTGCTGCTATCCGATATTTTACTGATATATACCAACACTGGTTACATTATATCCACAACTTGACACTTTACTTCTACTGTTATTTCTATTGAGCAGAAGCACACTGTGTGGGATGTGATATTGGTACTTTTGCACTATAAGAATTTTGTCTGTTAAAGACACTATTGGACAATAATTTACTTTTCCATCGTTCTGCATTTTTTTTGGACTATCAAGATGTTTTGGACAATCTACTTTTATATTTTTATAATTGCAGTCACTGTGATAATACCTACTAATCCTAAGGTTTTTCCCCCCATTTTTAATATATTAAGATTTTTTGTTGTTTAGTGGAAAATTCCCTCTATACCAAAGATTTTTTTATACAAGCTGCCACCTAGTGAATTTATTTATATCGCAATCACTGTTTTTGTATTTTATTATTCTATCAATTTATGTGTTTATAAGCGGTTCCTATTGTATATTTTAGAGTTTTTAACGCTCTGTTTAGATTATCTTTTATATGATTATTCTCAACAGTTTGTAGCATCTGGTAAGATATCTCCTAGTACGTGTAGGCTTTTCCACCTACTAAAATATATATATATATATATATATATATATATATATATATATATATATATATATATATATATATATATATATACACATATACATATATATACATATACATATATATACATATACACACACACACATACATACTTCACGAAATGCTCATAAATACGTTTGGAATTTTACTTCCATTCCACTGCAGTCAAAATGCATCATAAGACAAATTAGGGACTACTTTGTTTTGTTTTTTTTGGGCGTTTGCCTAAGTAGGAGCTACTGCAGCCAACTTTTGCTGCTAGACAATATCTATGGAGACTCCCACGGGATCCTCTGGAGACATACATCAGTAATCACTAAAAATGGCAGGCTGCCCAAGGGGGACTGCATTAAGCAAGTAATACTCACCTCTGCTGCACCCCAAGGTCACTGCTCCTTAAAGGACCACTATAGTGCCAGGAAAACGCTTGTTTTCCTGGCACTATAGTGCCCTGAGGTTGCCCCCACCCTCAGGGACCCCCTCCCGCCGGGCTCGGAGGACAGGAAGGGGTTAAACTCACCTCTATTTCCAGCGCCGGGCAGGGAAGCTCTCCTCCTCCTAGGCTGAATGCGCATGCATAGCAGGAGCTGCGCGCGCATTCAGCCAGTCCATAGGAAAACATTCACAATGTTATTTTCACAGTGAGAAGCACGCAAGCGCCTCTAGCGGCTGTCAAGAGACAGCCACTGGAGGCTGGATTAACCCTAACATAAACATAGCAGTTTCTCTGAAACTACTATGTTTATAAAAAAAAAACCCTAGCTGGACCTGGCACCTAGACCACTTCATTAAGCTGAAGTAGTCTGGGTGCCTATAGTGGTCCTTTAAGCAGCGACATCATAGTTAAGAATCTTTGAAAATGACAGAGCCGCGTTAAGATGATATTTTGATGCTTAGATTGTCCCTTTAAAGCGGGGGTTCCGAACCCAGTCCTCAAGTACCCCTACCAGTCCTGGATTTAAGGATTACACTGCTGTGTCTAAAGTGTTTTTTTCCTTCTACAAACACCTTTGACACAACTGGGTAATCCCCAAATCCTGGACTGTTAGGGGGTACTAGAGGACTGGGTTGGGAACCACTGCTTTAAAGGAACACTATAGTGTAAGGAATACAAAGCTTATTCTTACCACTATAGTGTCCCTCTGAGGGAGGGAATATCCTCAAGGAAGTGGTGTGGTGCCGCCCTATATACGGAGCCAATTTATATAGGCTCCATTACATGTGAGTGACCCAATCTCAAAGTACTTTACATTATTGTGATCCAATACCATCTGCACTATATTTTGTTCATTCTGTTCTGTATGCACCAGACATTATCTTCCGTATAACTTATATCTAGACGGGTAAGTTATCCACCCCCCCTTTTATGTATTCACTTTTCACTACACTGTAGATATAGGAATATCCTATATCTCTTAGATAGCCACTATAGGCAGTCTTAACACAGCAATGTAAACATTGGAGTTTCTCTAAAACTACAGTGTTTTACATTGCAGGGTTAAGGGAACAGGGACATGGCACCAACACCACTTCAAAGAGATGAAGTGGTCTGGGTGTCAATAGTGTTCCTTTTAAGCTGGACTATTATTATACTGAAGATTTAAATGTTACTTTTCACCAACACTTCAGCTGTGAATCTAATATATAAAAAAAAATGCATCTACAGTTTGTATAGGAAAATTAGGGCAATATCAATTTATATGTATTCTCTTTTCTGTACTGAACGTTCTGTCACCAACATTAATACTGTTTTCTGTTTATAGCTTGCAGATATCAGTCTATTCCCTAGAGCAGCGGTAGGCAACCTTTTAGCAGCACTGTGCCAAAATATGATTGTAATGTCCCGTAGTGTGTCTGTCCTATTTCTTTAAATTGAGGTGTGCATGTTGCCATATTCTTCTTGTTATTTATACTGCATTTGCTTTGTATCATTGTATTTGTGCATATATGAGATATTATGTGGTATATGTTCTTTAATAGTTTGTGGTATCATATATAATACATATGAATTTGGGCTGCTTGTGGAATAGTGTGTGGATGGATGTGGGGCTGTTTGGGGTATTGCATGTGGGGTTGTGTGCATGTATATGGACTGTTGGTGGTGTTGTATTTGTGCGGAGTGTGTGTGTGTGTGTTTGTATTATTTGTATGAGGGGAGGGTTAATCTGCAGCTCTGAGGCTTCCCTGGGTTTTAGTGGGGACCAGGCTGGCCAGGTACAGCTCAAGGACAGAAGCTGCAACAGGAATCTGTGGGCTGCTCTACTCCAGTGTGGATTCCCATTCACAAGTGCTGGGAGGAAGTGATCTGAGATCACTTACTCTGACAGGCCAGAGCCTGTTTGGCTCTTGTAGCCTTGAGTGCCGTGCAAAGGCACCTCGAGTGCAGTGCATGGCACTAGTGCCATAGGTTGCCTACCCCTGCCCTAGAGCTTACATTACTTTTACAACAGTTGTTACACTTCTAAGGATTCTAAAGATATGGTGAGAAACTAATTGTATATTACCCATTTCCGGTTGATAGATAGATAGACAGACAGACAGACAAACGGCTTACTTCTCAGCTGACTTGTCAGCTCCTTTATCAACAGATCTCAAAATAGATCGCTCAGGGGACACTGCTGGTGATTTCATTGTTGAGGTTAGTGGTGATGATGTACGCACAGTCGATGTGTTAAGACCATGTCGACGCAACTCCTGAACTGCTCTCTCTCTGTAAATGTGATGTAATTAAGAAAGGATTTGCCAGAGAAGAGACACACAGAGTAAGGCTACATGGAAGTCTCTACTTCTTGCAGGCAGTCAATCTCATATTACCATAATCGCACGGAGTTAAAATATGAAAATATTTATATGCTTAGGTGTAAAACCTCAAAGCATTCCCTCAATTGCCCCCAAACAACATATATTTACAAGATAAGGATGCATACTAATATAAAGGGTAATCCAGACATGGACCCCGTGCTCACTGTGCCTAGATGGATATCAGCTACACCTCACTGACGATGCCCAAAATAAGGCCGAAACGATAGTCTGGGGTTGCTGTATCTCTCGTGCAGACAGAACTTTCTGACATTTCGGATCTGGACTGCCTGTACGGGTGGGACCAGTCTGATATGATTCAGATATGTTTTCTCTGTAATGGCACAAGTGAGCAAAAACTATTTTGAGACCTGAGCGGGCATGTATCGAAGGGCAAGCTATAGAGTCTCTCTAAGCTTTTGTCCGTTCTCAGAGTTCTCATCCTTTCTTCTTTTTTGCACACCAATATAACAGCAAGTCAAATCTGCTTATAAATGCTTTATTAAATCCACCAAACAATACAATAACAAACATACAATGTATAAAGCGACCACACAAAAAGGCACATGTACAAATACAATCACCATCAGTAATCAAGCCTAAATAGGACAAAACACAAGTCTCCAAAGGCACCCTTTAGGCTTTATTACTGATGGTGATTGAATTTATACACGTGCCTTTTTGTTTGGTTGCTTTATACATTGTAGGTTTGTGATTTTATTTTGGTGGATTTAATAAAGTATTTATAAGCAGATTTGACTTGCGGTTTTATTAGTGGCAATCCTTATCTTGTTGTAAGTATAAGACAATCTCATATTAACACAGATCAACGAATGTGCAGAACTTATGTGGAACAACAATGTAAAAAAAAGGCTCTTCTAGATCACAGAGGAAAGCCACATGTGGTACTGTAGCCCTGTGTAATGGCATTTTTTTTGGTTAATACTTTTTAGCTAGCAGTTGTAGGCAGTTTTAGGTTTAATAACATGTGCTTGTTTTGGTAAACACGAGTTTAGCTTCAGAAAAAAATAATACATACATTGTTCTAGCAGGCATGCTAGCAAATGTTTATTTGCCAAACACCAAATTCTTAACTGAAATATTACGTCTCCCAACTCAAATATAGTGAAAGCTTGGCTGTTTTATCTTGAATTTCTTTTTTGTATTTTAATAAATAAATCCATGTCTGCTATTGGAAGAGACCGCTTCTGTCTGCGGCACCCACTACCTTTTTATGGGGTTAATATCCCACACGTATGCAGTTTCTGTTGTTTATGCTTGCTCTACAATATTTGCTCTTGATTAGGAGATAAATGTTCCTCATTTGAATCGAATACAGCAGACTTATAGGTACAATAATTTATTAAAATTTCTGCAGTTAAAAAATGGTCAGCAGGAAAACCGCAACTGCAATAAGTATAGGTTGAAATAATATTTAGAGTATCTCTTTAGACATTACCAAGGCTTGAGCTAACCACCTCTGTATGTAATAAAATTAAAATACTTGTCTCTTATTTGCAAGATTCCACAAAATTCTGCATACTATAACATATTTTCTGCCAACTGCTTCCAAAGCATGTTTCACACTCTAAACTTGAATACAGGCACGCACACTTAGACATCTTCAAGAACATATGGTCATATAATGAAATTATAAGAACACACGTAGTTTGAGGGAGGGTTTGAGAACAAAATACATAACAAACCCAATAGCAAAAGAGTAAATAGTCCTACCTTTCAAACCGCTCTGTAGTGAGCTGCCTTTTTGCAACATCATAATCTGATTGCAGCTGTGTTAGCTTATTTCGAAGCATGAGTACTTCTCGAGAATGACTGTTCCTTTAAATGCATAGGTGATTAACAGTTAGTAAATGGAAAAATCTCCAATATTAAAAAAAAACAAAACAAAACAAAAAAAAAAAAACAGACCTTGCGAACTAAAATAAAAAAGATACATGAAGCAAATGACTGAAACTCACAGTTTACTTTCGGAAAGCGTTAGTTTGTCTTTAAGCAGTTGAATTTCTGAGTCTTTCTCATGGGTGGTTAAGTGACTCTGAAACTCCTTCTCCCGATTAGTGGACAGCAATGTTTCCAGGTTTCGAATTGTGAGTCGTTCACTGGAAAGTTGCTTCTTCAGAAGCTCCACTTCAGACTTCATATCTTCCATTGCTTCCAAGGCCTAATGAGTAAAATACATTATACTGCATGATTTGTAGAGAACCACAAACTGCCACCGGTTACAATGCATCAAAATGAAAAACTTTTTGTTTTCATAAATGTGCCATACACAACATCATCTTACTCTGTCCCCTGCTTCCAATGCAATATGGACCCTCATAAATACAGCTATACAGGCTGTATTACTATTTTTTCTTTGGAATTATCAGGTTTTCTGTAAACTTTCTACACAACATTTAGTTGCTTTCTGAGTGATGAACACAGAGGACTGTATGATTGAAAGATAGAGAAAGGTTGTATCTCACAGGGCGGTAGGTCCAGACTTCTACAACCTAGGTGGGACAATTAAAACTACCACACTAATTATTATTAGAGATATGATCTGGGAGAGGAGCCAGAAAGAGCCTGTTTTATCATCCATCAGCATTATGGATATAACAAAAAAGAGGCGAAAATCTGTTCCAACACTATCTAATATGACATAGTGGAAAAACAAAAATAAAAATCACGAAGATACTTTATTGTCAAACCAAAAACACATACACCCTAGCTATGACTGCCTGACTTAATCGAGAAGTCTATTACAGCAGTTCAAGCAAGAATACACACACAATGAAAGGTGAGAAAATACATCAAAGAAAACTTAAAAACAAGACTAAGCCAAGGTCTAAGTACAAGGGAAAAATGATTAAGAAAAGTCCCACAAAATCATCTAAATGAATTGGATACCCACTTATTTAACTATGCAGCGTGTCAAGTTAAGTTACTATCAATGTATCATAAACAGATCCAATACAGTATTATGTCAACATGTCAAAAAAAAAAAAAAAGAAATTCACCTTTTTTAGTGAGAATTGGAAATTATTTTAAACAGTTTTTTTCTTATATACTTTGATAAACAGAAACAAAATAAAAAAAGATGTGATTGAGACAATGAAGCTTTGTTTTGTTACATTTTTGCTTTTCACAGATTGATTGATTTTTCCCTGAAAAGCTGACAAGTTACTGCTCCCCCTTTTGTACCTTGTACTATGACCGTTATCTTGTAAGCTCGAATTGTCAGTCACTTAATAAAATAGACTGAAATGTAAAAACAGATGTATGAAAGGCTGAAATTGAACAAAGTGAGTTTTTTTTTAAAAGAAACTTTATTACAATGCATCTGTAGGGTAGAACACAGGTGCTCTGTTACAACTAGGATGAAAGAGAGAAATGACATTGCCAAAATTACATTTTTTTAAATAAAATGAAAAATCAACATAAAAAAATAAGGAAAGGAACACTGATATTCTACTCTGCATACAACATCTTGATTAAGATCTATGAATTGGAATGTCTATTTTCTGGTAATCCTAGTCGTAGTTTTATCCATTTTATTTCAAAATGAAGGAATAAATAATCTGATATTTCCAGTTTTATTTGGGGGGTGGGGGGCATATTAAAGATTGTACTTCTGATACTTACCCTTTCATATTCCATGTTTCTGCCAGTTAGCTGCCTTGACAAATGCTCTTTGTTAGAATCCAGCTTCACACAGAGCTCCCTGACAGAAGATAGATCTGATAAAATCGTATCCTTTTCATTTTGCTCATGCTTAAGCTTATCTTCTAGCCTAGACATGGATTTTGCCATTGATGAGATCTGAGATTCATACGCTTGATGAGCATTCATGTGCTGAAAAAAAGAACAGTACACTCTTAACACTCCAGACAGCAAAGAAATGGAAAAGAAGTATCTTGAGATCATATTTTAGTTTGGTATAATGTATACAAAAATATAAAACAGCTGTTTTGGGAAACATCTATGCTGATTGCGCCATTTTTAGCCTGTTTCTTATAACTCTCAGAATCCTTTGTGGTTCTCCTTTTGTCAGTGCTCATTTGCACTTTTGTGTTGAACATTTTGTTGCTTCAGAATCTGGTTTCCTTTCATTGTAACAATGAAACAGGCACATCTTATCAGCCAGCTAGCATCAGCATTCTAACCTCTTGGATCTCATTTTCCAAATGGTGAACTTGCTCTCTCAGGTGTCTTCGATCGGTATCCACAGAAAGCAATTCCAGCCTAACTGAGCTGTTCTCCCCCTCTGCATTTTGTGCTTTGACTTCCCATTCTTCAGCTTGGCTGTGGATCATCTTGAACTGGTCTAGAAGCTCACGGTTCTCCTGCTCCTGAAAATCAAGCACATACAGAAAAACTCAGTAGTTAAATAACAAGGAAGAAAGTCAATAAAGATCACATATTTACAAGCATTACAAAACAAGAAACATAGTGGCTGGACTTTGCATGCCAGGAAGAGACTGATCTTGTCACAGCAATTGAAGATGGTACTATAATCACTAAATGATCAGTAATGGTTAGGACTGCTTAGAGCACCTTTTAATTATCTTGTGTTAATTTAAAAAAAAGAACATGCTTACCTTTGCTGCAAGTAATGTCTCAACCCTAGAAATTTCAGAAATGTATCCATGAACTCGCAGTTTTAAGTCTTCTATTTGATGTAGTGCATTTTCTAACTCCAAGGAAACGGTCTGGGTAAAAGACAAAAAAGTACTTATATGTAAAATGTTATAAATTTTATACAGCTATGAAATGAAGAGTTATGAGTTTTAGTCTGCAATAGACTGCTAGATGGACGTGGATATAGCTTTTGTTTTGGTTATTTCAGCCATCACAGGAGCAGAACATCAAGCAGACGGTCAAGCATTCTCTTAACATGTTATAGTCATATGATGTTACATTTCATCAACTCCCATTGTATCCTCTGCTAAATCTGTCAGTGCCAACTATATTTGCTATTAAAGAGGAAATACATATTGGATAAAGCTGGACTGTGAAATTGTATGCTACACAAGCTCACAGAATGAGACTAAGGTGGTGAGCAGCTAAGCAGGAAAAACAAACATTTATTAAGACGTACCAACCTGCCTATGGAAGCACCAAAAGTGCACCAACATCAAAGGCTCCAGGGTAATGGGTGTCAAACCATCAACATACAAGCCTTGGAGCATCATACATAATTCTAAGCTTCATAAATTTGAAGAAAATAAATTTTATATAAATATTTAATTTGTAACACTATACATCTTAGTAAGGGCTGTGTTATCCACCTGATTCTCTCTGGCCATAGTCGCTAAATCATCTTGTAATCTTCTGTTTTCTTTAAGAGTAACTTCGGTCTGTCTCACATTTGCCCCAAGCTCTGACTGGAAGGAATCAAGCTGCCGACGAAGACTTGACATCTCACGATCTTTATTACTGAGAGAATCTTTTAAATGGCTGCCCAAAAAATAAACAAACAAGACAATGCATGATTATAAAGAGCAGTAGAAGAATTTAAAAGAGAAACCCTAAGAGAATAGCCATATAGTCAATTAAAACTCAGGAAAGCAATTATTTCTGTTTTGAGTCATAAAATCATGGGGAAAAAACAAACCTAAAAATGAAAGCTCTAACTGTAGAGCATGTAGTTATAAATGTGAATTATACCAAACAGATTTTAACATTATTTAAAGTCCTATATAATTCTTTATTGCTAATGGAAAATTAAAGTAACCTATCACAATTTTTATTTATAGTCATGTGTCTTTACACTAATAAATAATTCAGTGATGACTTACTCCATGTTGGCCTCCAAGTCTGAAAGAGTCAGTCTTAAATTTGTAATAGTCTTTTCCTTAAAAAGGAAAGAAAAACAAGGAAGTTAGATAAAGTAGTAAAGTGCAAATATATGCAAAGCTAACAAATGTAGCTTCCACAAGGATTGTTGAATTGGAAGCTATCAATGATCTACTAGAAGATATGTTAACCTATTGCACCAATGTCAAGCTGGATGCCACTTTAAAGGGAAACTACAGGCTAAGAATACAGACTTGTACTCCTAGCACTATAGTTCCCTATAATGCTCCATCCGCAGAAGTGTTTGGCCTGCACTCCCAGGCAGCGTGTGGCTCCATAGGGGAACTGCATGCACAGTACATTAGGAGGGGGAGCGCCTCCCCCTCCCGCCGGGTTTCATGTGTCTAACTGATGTTCAGTCTGTCAGTGCGCCCCATGAGAGTGAGAAGCGACCATCTAGCTATAGGGCAGAGCAGAGACGGCACTACCTTAACCTTGGGCGCCAGCTCTGTGAGGGAACAACTGACTGAAAACAGGGAAGTAGGGAGGGAATATGAATACAAGATATGGGGGGGAGAGACATGAATGGAAATGGAAAGAGGGAGACATGGAAGAGGGAGAGAATAATGGATGGGAGGGGAGAGAGAGAGAGATGTTTCTATGGGGAGGGGAACAGAGACATGGATGGAAGGTGGGGAGAAGTGAGCAGAGTGTGCAGCCACACGTTACTCTGCCTGGAGATTGCAGAGGGACTAGGAAGCGAGTGGAGCGGACTGAGATTTCAGTTTGCAAAGGGACTGAGGGAGCGGACACTCCAGACGGTGGAATTACTACAGAGACCGTAAGTAACTTGAGGTGAGGCTTTCGAGTAAATTATATATATATGTACTCAGGATTACATGAGAATGACACAAGTAATTTTAATTTGTGTTTGTCTAGGTCGAACTCTTTTTTTTTTTTTTTGTGACCCACATAAACTTAAACCTTGTTTATTTGGCTCATGTTAGCTTTTGAGTTTGACATGCTTGCTCCAAAGCAATTATTGCAGTTTATTATCAAAAACTGCAATAATTATCATTGCAGGGTTAAGGGACATAGGACACTGTACCCAGACCACTTCAATGAGCTGAAGTGGTCTGGATTCCTACAGTGTCCCTTTAAGGGTGACAGCTGCTTTAATTATTTTACCTACTTTTATAGGTCAAATAAAAAAATACTACTTTAGTCATGATACAAAAGTAAAGGTCACCCGGTCACATACTTTATTAGTAAGGTTGTCTTCTAAACATGCAATTCTTTCTGTTTTTTCATCAACAGTTTCCTGAAGATTATCTTTTTCTTTGTCCAAAACAGAAATAGTGTTTCTCATCATATTCATTTCATCGGCGTGCAAAGAGGTCTTTTTATTTAATTCATCTGAAAATAAGAATTTAATAATGTTTTAGTTTAAGTTGTCAAAGTTTACATGTATTTGGCAAAAGAGAAAGACAAACAAGCAAAAACTGATTTACACTTGCATAAAAAAATAATTTGCAGAAAGAGAACATATGGAAAATCACCTTCTTGAATACCAAGTCCTTTCCTGTAGAAAAGGCAGGAAAGACAAACAAACTGTTTTATTCACTAAAGTTGGAATTCAAAATGAAGGTCTAAATAACCAAACTGGAACAATAGTCCAAGCCAGCAATGCTTTCAGTTTGGCTACTCCAGCCTTAAGGGGACAGTCCAGGCCTCTAAAGCACTGTAGCATTCTGAAAGTACATGCCTATATTTTTCATTTTGTCAATTTCTTTTGGAATCTGCAATTTTTGCAGTTTTATAAATTAACCTGGTTACACCGCCTGTCTGTCAATCAAATAACCTGTCACATTGCTTTCTGGTTTGGTTAGCTCAGTGGAGCTAAACTCAAGAGGCAGCAATTGCCTAGAGCACATGCCTTGCAAAGACCTCTCTTTTTAGCTGCATTGGAAAGTATCTGATTGAACAGCCCCAGAAAGTATGGGTGGGGTTAAAAGGGGAGGACTTGCAAAGTCAACAGACAACAGAACTGCCAGTTTTGAAAGCTGTTTTTAGATATACCACCAATGAAAAATACATAATTAAATGCATGCCTGTTGTCATTTGGGGTATATCTAATAAACAGTGATATTTCTTTCAGAGGAAACCTCTTCATCACCTCCAAGTCCAGCCACATCTGGCGCTCTGTTTATACCAGACCTCCAAATAACAATGCTGCCTCTCTAGTGGATATATAACTGCTTTGCTCTGGCCTAAATCTCTTACTAAAATACTGGCTAACCGACCCCAACACAGTATCTACCCTTTATTTTACACCCTCAAAAACTGAGGTTTACTAGAGGCAGAAAATCCATCCAAGGAATTAGAATGACAATAGCTGCAGCTCTTGTATATACAACAATCACTTCAATAAAGATCAGGCAAGTTTTACTCAGTCTAGATGTTCAGAGAGCTTTTGACCAAGCTGCCTACCCCATCTTTTTAGAAATCCAAAACACAGCTTTTTTTGGAATTCTGTTCTACAATTTCATGAAAGCTCCATATACTCAACAATCTACAAAAATAAAAACACATCCGATCTAGACTCAAATTACCTTGTAATCAGCAACATAAGGCTGCCCATTATCGTCAATTCTTTTTAACCTAGCATTGGATCCAATTACTGGTTTATCTATTCCTCTATGGACATAAAAGTCATACATATGGGACCCCGCACCAAGATACCCACTGGCTTTGCAGATGAGCTTTTCTTTTCTCCCTCGAATCCAGCAACATACCTATCGAATATGGGTACCCTTTTTGGAAGATATGTTTCGATAACAGGCTTTCAAATCAATTGGTCTAAATCAACAGCAACAAGATTGAACCCATGGCCAGCAATAAGCTTACAAACTCTAACTACCCTAACATGGATAACCTCAAATTTGAAATATCTAGGGGTGTATATCCCACTAAAAATGTCCACTATAAACAAAATTATTAGGACACCACTTCTGGCAGAGGTAAAAGATTTTCTCTCCTCATGGGAGCATCTCCCTTTGACTCTTTTAGCAGAGAGGCACTCTCCTAAAAATCACTGTAAAATTCCAAAACTCCAATATCCTCTGGAAGCCTTACCAATACTACGCTCACGATCAGATTTGAAAACTCTAAATCAAATCTTTTCTAAAATTTCTTTGGAAACAAGAATAGCAATGTACAAACTATCTCAATCCAGATTTAATGTGAGATTTAAATATCCCAAACCTTAAATTATACACCCAAGACTGGATAAAAAGATCAGGACAATTTGCAGTAGTACACATATAAACACAACTCTGCCCTTATGTAACACTCCCTCAACTACTAAACCCTGTATGCCTCCCTCCCAGAGGAAGCACAGGAAAACTGTTTATTAGCATCCACTATTAAAAACATGAAAATAACAGCTCCTGGGGGTTCAATGGCAATACACAAAATTTATACCCTTTCTATGTAAACCGTGTTTTCAAAATGGGGAAGCCCAATACCCACAATGCTTTTGGGAAACTGCAGGCCCTAACAACATACATAGTTTTCTAGATGAAAACAAAAATTGATGCTTAAGCTAGAGAAAATCAAACTCAAATTTGCTGACCTTCAAATCCACCTTTTTGCATACTTACAGACTAGCACCCCGATAGGTACGATTTTTCCACATCTCGGAAGACTGGAACCACTTCATAGATTATCCACTCACACAATCAACCACTTCATCCTACTCAATGAGTTCACTTTACTCCCAAATCAGAACCAACCCAGACTACACAACCATGCAATAGGGTTTATCAAGGTGGATAACACACTTTCCAGCATTAACAAATTACATACTCATAGCAACGGCTGTCAAGTTGCTTAAACTACTCCAACCGGCTTCCTACCAGCAAATCCATCTGAAGATTGCAATCCTTTCGAAAATAATTTTTCCTAAAACTCAGAGATTCAGCCAACTATTTAAAATGTGGGACATACAGAGCAGACCTCTACCATTACTTAAGAATGTGTGAGGATCGTAACATTTTGAAAGAAAGGTGAAAAATAAACAAACAATAGGTAGGTTTTTAAAAACCATTAAATTGGGTAATAACATCTAGATCCAAAAACGTACTTGGAAATTAGCAACAAGATGAAAGAGTCTTTCATGGTTAAATAGTTTTATAATAATTTTTAGTGCCCACTGCCCTTAAGAACCTGCATCACATCCAAGTAGAAAAACTAGAGTAAATTATGATTTCCTGAAAGATGACCACTTATAATAGGATCTTCCAGCACAACCTAATGGTGAGAATGGCAAATTGCAGGATAAAGCTCTAAGACCTCTGATTAAATGGCTAAAAGGAAAATTACTTTCAATGTTTTATTGGGTTCAGCTAGGAAACACAACAGATCTTTAGAACAAAAAAGAGACTTTGCAGAGAGAATAGAGTATAGTAAAAAAATAAATTGGATGGTCATTTCCCTTTCCTAAACTTTGTCTTTCAGGGGTAGGCTTTTCTGAGATGGAAAGTTTAGTACACAAACTACAGTGAAGGTTTTGTTAAGGAGCGGTTAACAACGATATTTAAGAACTGTGGTTATCCACCAGTGTGGAATGGAACACCGTTTGCATCAGGCCACCTCAAAATGTGCTGCAAACACCTTGAATTAAGGGCTGTAATAGGTTTAACCGAGTCCTTAAAAGTGCTTTTTAATAAGTTTTAGGATTATAATTGGGTCTCCCATAAGAGCTGGAATTAATAAAAAAATAATAAGTCAGTTTGGTTAGAAGCATGGATCTCTCTACTAAGGATGATTCAAGCTCATGCATCATTTATAACGTGCTGATTAAAGGGACACTATAGTACCCTGAGGGTGCCCCCAACCTCAGGGTCCCCCTCCCGCGGCGCTGAAGGGGTTAAAACCCCTACTCGCCCTTTTCCCCCACCAGGCTCCCTTACCTCTCCTCCCCCGCCGAGGTCAGCATCCTTGTCTGACATCACCGGTGCCGAATGCGCATGCGTGGCATTGCCGCGCACGCATTCAAAATGTCCGTATGGACGCGCTGCCTGATTGAGGCATAATATGCCTCAATCATTGCCGATGCGCCTCTAGTGGCTGTCCGGAAGACAGCCACTAGAGGCTGGCTTAACCCCAGATGTAAACATAGCAGTTTCTCAGAAACTGCTATGTTTACATCAGGCAGAGTTAACCCTAGAGGGACCTGACACCCAGACCACTTCATTGAGCTGAAGTGGTCTGGGTGACTATAGTGTCCCTTTAAGTTAAAAATGAAAACAAATGTACTTTGGAACTGTAACTTTTAATAAAGTGTAAATTTGTGTTGTGTATTATTCGTTGGAGATTTCTCCATAGTATCTGCACACTGAACTTGCTCATGAGTGCCATTCTAACTGTGGAATTTCTTATTAAATGTTCCACAGCTCAAATAAGTTTGGGAACTACTTTTAAAAACAAAAATGAGTAACCATACCTTCTTCACACTGTGGAACAAATAAAAATCCATATTAAAATAGACTTACCTATTCTTTCTTCTAAAGTTACAACTTGTTCACGGGATAACTGTACTTCATTGGATTTAACTGTGAGGCGATGTTGCAGATCTTCCAGCGATGTTTGCAACTGTGCATTCAGTAATCTAGACCATAAAACACATCATTCACCTTACGATAAAATAACTTGCATAAAACTACAGTAGATCTATCTCTCAAAGTTATATATACAAACCTCAGTGAGCTCAATTCTGCTTTATATTGAGAGGAGTCATCCAGTGTTTGAGCCAAATTATCAGACTGCAACCTTGCATCTTTCTCTAGTAAAGCAATTTGTTCTTTTAGGTCTGACACTGTAGATTTTAATTCACACCGTTCAGATTCAAGCTAAAAGGAAAAATAGGAAAAAGTAAACAATTAGATGAGAAATAGTCCAGAATCAGCCCAATAAGGAACCAACAAAGGTCTTGATTTAATTATTTTAGATTAGCTTTTCCCATGATTACAATTTGTTTTCAAAAGATTTATCTTCATAAATACCTATAGACTTTAACCCCTTAAGGACGGAGCCAAATATACACATTGTGAACGAAACAAAATGTAGACAAAACCTGGCATTTGCGTTACATGTCTGTCCAACCGTAATACACCTCTTTCATATTAAATATACCCACCCTTATTATATATCATTTTATTCAGGGGAAACATGGCTTTCATTTAATATCAAATATTTTGCTATGAAACATAATTTAATATGAAAAAAATGGGAGAAGAGAAGATTATTTTTTTTAGTTCTACATGACATTTTAACAGTCAATGTCATAATACTGTGTAAAACAGTACCCCCTATGTACAGGTTTTATGGCGTTTTGGGAAGTTACAGGGTCAAATATTGCACATTACATTTGAAATTTAAATTCGCCAGATTGGTTACGTTGCCTTTGAGATTGTATAGTAGCCCAGGAATTAAATTTACACCCATAATGGCATACCATTTGCAATAGTAGACAACCCAAGGTATTGCAAATGGGGTATGTCCAGTCTTTTTTAGTAGCCATTTGGTCACAAACACTGGCAAAAGTTAGTGTTAATATTTGTTTGTGTGTGAAAAATGCAAAAAACGCCAATTTTGGCCAGTGTTTGTGACTAAGTGGCTACTAAAAAAGACTGGACATACCCAGTTTGCAATACCTTGGGTTGTCTACTATTGCAAATGGTATGCCATCATAGGGGTAATTTTCATTCTTGGGCTACCATAGGGTCTCAAAGGCAACGTAACCAATCTGGCGAATTTTAATGTGAAAAAAATGAAACGCAAGCCTTATATTTGACGCTGTAACTTTTGAAAACACCATAAAACCTGTACATGAGGGGTACTGTTGTACTCGGGAGACTTCGCTGAACACAAATATTTGTGTTTCAAAACAGTAAAAAGTATCGCAGCAATAATATCGTCCGTGTAAGTGCTGTTTGTGCATGAAAAATGCAAAAAACGGGGGGGTGTCCAACAGCCGAGAGGAACGGACGCATGGAGTGAGAGCTCCCGGTCCGAGACGGCAACAGCGTGATTAATAGCAGCTCCTACCCCCGGCTGACGGCGAGAAACAGGCGAGGTACCTCTCCCTTACCTCCCATGGCCCCGGCAAAACAAACAAAGCTGACAGATCCGATCCGCCATGCGAAAAAAGACCGGTCACTGCCGGCGCAAGATGGCGGCGGCGAGGAGCTGGAATCCTCACAGGCCTCAAATCCTCCCACAGATTATGAGGAGCAAGGCTACACTGATGCCCCGGTCACAGAAAAGAAGTTATATGCAATGCTGAAAGATTTCAGGCTCATCCTGCAGTCTGACTTGAAAAAAGCCACAAATGACATTAAGAAAGATCTAGGGGAAAGAACAAACAACCTGGAAACCCGAACGGATGACATATGCGCAGCGCAAGACGCCCTGGCAGACACGGTGCAACAATTGGTGAGTGAACAGCAGTTCCTGAAAAGGAAAATAGCGGACATGGAAGATCGCTCACGCAGAAACAATATACGCTTTCGTGGTATCCCAGAAAGCGTCACTAGAGGTCAACTGCCTCAATACCTTACTTCCCTGTGTAAGTCCCTGGCGCCGGAGATAACGGACCCGGAATGGCTCATAGACAGAGCCCACAGGCTACCAAAACCGCAAAATCTGCATCAAGATACGCCACGTGACGTGGTCGCTCGTTTCCACTACTATAAGACGAAGGACCATCTACTGCAGGCGGCGAGAAAAATTACAGTGATGCCTGAACCATATACAGGTGTTCAACTATAAGCAGACCTGTCAGCTATGACAATGAGCAGACGCAGAGAGTTCATCAACGTAACAAAGTCCCTGAGAAACGACAATACAGATGGGGCTATCCTACAAAACTACTTATATGGAGGAACGCCAAAACGCATACCGTCAACGAACCGGAGGTGGGAATGCGCTTACTGAAAGAATGGGGCCTATTCCCGCTACCAACGAGGGACGCTTCGACTGCAGCATCCCCGAAACGACCGCATGCTGACTGGCAGATGGCGGGCTCGCCACAAAGGAAAGAATAGGGCTCCAGGACGGGACCCAACAAGGACATACCACTAACCCACTGCAAAATTGGACACTAAGAGACACTCTAACCCAATGCTAGCCTTCGCTCTATGACATGCTAACGTAACTGGATTGTGAGTATGACATACTGTACCCTATTAGTGTAACACAATATATGCAAGTCCCTAATGCCCAAGAAGTAAGGCCTCAAGTAGCGGGGATGACTCAGGGCAGGTACAAAGGGGACGGTAGTAACGCAAACTCTATAAGTACTACAGCAAGAAGGAGGTTATAGGGTACGGTAGTCATGTCTCAGACAATGTGTATTATATAGGCTCTGTGCCAGCATGGCGTATACAAGGTGGCGAGTTGGAGGAGAGGGTACCGTCTGTGTCTAAATAGTGGGTCTTTGTTGGACATCTCAGATATGGTTGTGAGGTAGGAACAAGTCTACCTAGAGAAAGGCTGTCACGCACTCGGCCGAATCACCCAGGTGCGACCCCAGGATGAGAAGTGAGCCGGGTAGAGTTTGCCCGCTCACACCTCACCCACGTAGAGCGCTAGTTCTCTCCAAGGCGCTTTGTATATACTTTGGTTATTATTTCTCCCTTTCCGTATTCCTGTCCACTACCCCTACATTCCCTCCTTTAGGTCCCGGACCAGTAGCATACCACATGTTGCAAGAAGCGAATGACACCCCAAGGCCCCAGTACAACAAAACACTACACCAGGATCATGGATGACTCTCTGACAATCCTCACCTTAAACGTTAAGGGTCTCAACAGCCCACATAAAAGGAGACTAGCGGTACAGGAAATGAACAAATCCAAGGCAGCAATTATAGGTCTCCAAGAGACGCACTTCTGCATTAGAAAACACCCAAAATTCACTATCAAACACTATCCCCAAGGTTACCATGCCATGTCCGACACTAAAGCTAAAGGAGTTGCTATCTATTTCCATAGGAATTGGGCATTCACACCATCCAACCAATTTGCCAGTCGAGACGGGAGAATACTAATACTAGTGGGTTCCCTAAATGGTTTATCGGTGACTATAGCTTCCATATATGCGCCGAACGATAAGCAAAAAACCTTCCTCAGCAAAGTATTTAGGAAAGTTGACAAGCTCAGAGTGGGCCATACAATTATATGCGGGGATTTCAATTGCACTCCAGATCCCGATGTCGATATACCACAACAACATTCAATCTCACTAGGCCAACACTTTAGGAAATTATTGCACGGGCATGACTTCTATGACACTTGGAGAGGCCTGAACCCGAGCGGGAGGGACTACACGTACTACTCAACGGTCCATAGGACCTACACGAGAATTGATCTCTGCCTACTGGACACCAAAACGTTGCCCTTTGCCATTAAGGCACACATTGGGCCGATCACGTGGTCTGACCATGCCCCATATGTTGTCACCATGCGAATTCCGTACCCAGCTAGGGGTCGAGGCACGTGGCGCCTGAATGAAGGTCTGTTAGATGTGCCGGCACATCTCCAACGACTACGGGCCCGGGCAGAGGAATTTTTCGCAGACCATGTTAACTGCTCGTCACCCGACGCTACAAAATGGCTGGCCCATAAGGCAGTCATGAGGGGAGAATTAATCCAAATAGGGGCTAGAACAAAGAGGCTGCACAACACAACATTGAACGAGGTAGAGCAAGACCTGGCCAAAGTAGAATCCACTCATAAAACAAACCCCACAATTGCAACACATAAGCGACTGATGTCACTTCATACAACGCTACACAGCCTCAACCTCGCAGCAACAGAACAACACTTGAGGTTTTTGAAGCAATCACACTATGTCATGGGCAATAAAGCTGGGAGAATGTTGGCCAATAAAGCAAAACAAATAAAATTGCAATCTAAAATCCCGTACATGACCTCCACAACAGGGGATAAACTATACAACCCCCAAGACATAGTGAACGAACTAGCGAAGTACTATGCCTCATTGTACCAATTAGGAAAAGATCCCTCCACACACCAACCGACGGAAGACGAGATAGCCCGTTTTCTGGATAGAGCACCCCTAGCCAGTCTAACACAAGCACAACGCACTCAACTAGAGAACCCTTTCACGGAGGACGAAGTAGGAACAGCAATCAGATCCCTCCCCAAACATAAGGCCCCCGGACCAGACGGGATGTCCAACTATTACTACATAAAATTGGCCAAACAACTACTTACGCCTCTCACCAACCTATTTAATCACATAAAAAATGCAGGGATCATGCCCACAGAAATGCTGGAGGCACACATAGTGACGTTACCCAAACCCAACAAACCCCCCACACACTGTGCAAACCTACGTCCAATCTCCCTCTTGAACGCAGACACCAAACTGTATGCCAAACTCCTTGCTTCTAGACTCAAACCAATCCTCCCAGACCTCGTATCGGAAAAGCAAGCGGGCTTCGTCCAGGGGCGTCAAGTAGGGGACAACACTAGACATTTCTTGAACCTGATAGAATGGGCAAACGCCTTGCATCAAGCGGGACTCTTGCTAGCGCTTGACGCTGAGAAGGCGTTTGATCGCCTACACTGGAGGTATATGTTGCTCACCCTTACCAAAATGGGATTCCCACCGAACTTCAGATCAAGCATAATGGCATTGTACCAAAATATATATACGTCTATATATTATTTCATTCTACGTGTATTTTGAGATAGAGATATATAGATATATATCACAATACAGTTATAACGAAATAACACACATCTATATATTTAATTTTTTTTTTTATTTAATTTAACGTATTTACATTTTTCTTATATTATATAACATATATAACGCATATATTCCGCAACCAGAGAGAGAGCTTCGCCAAGCTTTCAGGAACTTGGTCTTGTAAAATGCAATAAAGTGTGTATTTTCTCGAATTTATCTTTTGCCCTCTTTTATTTACAGGCCCACTCGTACGTTGGTTTCGGCACACCACAACCAACTTTGCTCACAGATACTATCCATTACGTATTTAAATTCCGAGCACAAGTAGAAAGGCCATTAGGCCTGAATTTGTGGGAGGAGTAAGTCCTCTACTTAAACTCCCAGCCCCTACTCACCGCTGCCGCTCAGCTGATTGTCCCCACCCACCTACACCCTGTTTTAACTACATTATCCTTGGTGGGCCCTCTTTTATTTACAGGCCCACTTGTACGTTGGTTTCGGCACACCACAACCAACTTTGCTCACAGATACTATCCATTACGTATTTAAATTCCGAGCACAAATATATAATCAGTATCAGTCTACGTGTAATTTGATAATTAATATATATATATATATAAATAGTAAAATACACCTATACAGTGTACGTGTGTGTATATATATACACATACATACATATACACACACACACATACATACTTAGATCATATATATATGATCTAAGTATATATTATTATTTTTTTTTAACACTGATTAACTTTTATTTTATTTTCAGCCAGCAGGGGGACCACCTGTCATTACAGGCAGCCCCCCTGTTGGCAATGCAGGAGGCAGCCTACCCGGCCATGTGATTGTGAGGTTCTCACAAGGACCTCACTCTCACATGGCCGGGGGGGCTTCCAGGGGGTCGGACGTGCCGCGGGGGGCTCCCTGGGAGTCCCCCCAACCGCGATCGCCGGCGACCGGGTAAGAACAGAAAGACCGGAGGGCGTACTATTATGCCCGGCGGCGTTTAGAGCCGCCTAAAATAGGGCGTAATAGTACGCCTTCCGGTCTTAAGGGGTTAATGTCAACATTTTAAAAAATACATTCAGAATGTGACATTACTTTTGTGTAGGAGAAAAAGAAATCCTACAACTCCAATACCAATAGCTGTGACAGACTCTTCCTAATTATCAGGCCCCAGGTAACAATCCACAATAAATTACTGGAACAGCACTATCTTTCTAAGAGCAATGAAGACATCTGCATTTCTGGCAGTGATAAGAATAGAAGCAATTTGTAGATTTAATTTATAGAACAGAAGAATCGGACCATTGCTATAGCAAAAAATGAATATGTGGCTTTAATTCAGTGAATTTACTGTAAGCTAGCCATACTGTTACAGTTAATCATCGTCCCATAACATTGGTTTTCAGCTGGGAAAGCAAAGGGCTTAAAGTCACACTCCCGTGGCGCTGAGGGGGGAGGAAGGGGTTAAACTTACCTCTTTCTCCAGCGCCGGGCAGGGAGCTCTCCTCCTCTTCGGCTGAATGCGCATGCGCGGCAGGAGCTGCGCGCGCATTCAGCCAATCCATAGGAAAGCATTCACAATGCTTTCCTATGGACGCTGGCGTATTCACAGGGAGAAGCACGCAAGCGCCTCTAGCAGCTGTCAAGAAACAGCCACTAGAGGCTGGATTAACCCTAACATAAACACAGCAGTTTCTCAGAAACTGCTATGTTTGTTAAAAAAAAAAAAACCCTAGCTGGACCTGGCACCCAGACCACTTCATTAAGCTGAAGTGGTCTGGGTGCCTATAGTGGTCCTTTTAACATTTTTTTTTTTTTTTTAAAGAACTTTTGTTTTCTTCAAATTTTTATTTTAAAAGGATGCTTCACCCATTCCCATGAAGCAGGACATGGGCTTTGGATATTATCTTAGTGTTACAGACTGAAGCAACTTTTACAGCAGAATAATTGTAAATTTTCTGGGTTGTTAAGCTGAGGCATTTGTTCTGAGAAATCATTATAGACAATTTCTCATTAGCATATATCTTTAATTTCTTAAGGGCAAGTTAATTTAAATTGCCGTTCGTATATTTTCGACAAAATACTACCGTATCAGCCCTGGAGGGGCACTCCATGCTGGTAGTGGTTTCCATTTTTAATGCATTATAGAGAATGCATAGCAAAAATACAATAAAATATATGGTAGATACCCATGTTTTGCAGACCTACAAGTCCCATGGTGCTTTTAAGTAGTTATACATCATTCGAGTTTTAGTTCTGAAGTGACTGTTGATTTAATTCCTGTCCACCCTAGTCTAAAAGGTCTCAAATTATTATTTTGACTTTATGTATATATGCAGTATTCAGGACAAGGAATTATTAAGAATTGTATATAATTTATCAAGCCTGACATGTCTGAATTTGGAATATAGTCATGCTTTACAGTGAAAAAACAGATTACTGCCTAATATAATTGCTGTTCTATGAACATTTTCAGAATATTGATACAATATGACTTATGCTTTTGGAGGCAAGTTAAAACATTAAAATGATTAAAAGCGAACAGTGCCAGGACAGTGGAGAGGGGAGATAATATCAACTCAGTACAGGGGAGATGTTTAACCTTTTTTCAAAATGCTTTTCAATACACTTTTTGGGAAGTAATATAAATAGCCAATATGTGCATCAGAAGTAAGATTAGCAGATGGTGGGTCATAGTTAGGTATTATTGGGATAATTTAATTCTGAAGATTTATGCTTCAAGGGTATAAATCTTAAACAATACATTACTGCGGCATACAACTACAATTGTTCGTCTTTTTCAAAACGAATGACCTGTGGCACCTTTCTGTAAACAACTGGTCTAGTTTACTAGAGCATAGGCCTATATAATTATTACTGACTGGATGAATCTTTTTTTCTCTTCACCTTCTTTCACTTTAATTCCCTTTTTTCTATTTTTATCTGAGGAATATAGGATTGCTGCAGGATTCCATTTTCTTTTAGTGATGCGTACATTGTTCAATTCAGTTTTTGGTGTACATGGTTGTTTGTCTGTTATGTTCTTTATATTTATCTTAAATCTAATAGTTTTGATACTCAAAAATGATCCAAAATAAAATGAGCAGCTGAATTGCTATTTCCATGCATTTACTACATGCCAAGTTGCTTAGCGTGCTGTAGTAATCCAGAAGTTGGGATGAATTATGGTGGGTTAACTAGATTAAAGCATGTTTCTCTCACAAGTGTAAAATGATCACTTACATCTCGAATGTTGCTTTCAAGTTCAACAATTCTTTGGAAAAATTTCGATTTTTCAGAAGTATACGATTCTTGCTGAACCTGCAATAGGAGACAGTATAATTATAGAATTATATAGAAATGTATCCAAGGTTTCGGGCAGAGTAAGAAAATCTAATGTGTGACTACTCTTTATTTTCCCACAAACATATTACTAGGGGACTAAGGTTTTTCCCCCTCTCTTATTCTAGTATATTTTTCTTTCTTTCTGGCAGTCAAGTCTTTTTCCAGATAGAGATAGGAGTAGGTGCTCACTGACAAAATAGATAACAACAAGCAAGGTGAGAGACCGTGCCCCAAATGCAATAAGGTATAGCAGAAATTTAGAACATAAAAAAATATAATTACATCAGTTGGTTCAATCTACATATGCTGAGGTAGGATGGTTTTTGTAACCTTGAAGGAAACAGAAACTGACAAAAAAATAGTGCAATATGTAACCGTTAAACTATTTGAGGTAGAAATATAGTGTCACACCCGGAAGTGACGTATCGCGGCTAATATATCGCTATGAACCTTGTGCTGTATAGTTCTTCTTATAGTATTGCTGCTGTATGCGTGAACCTGAAGTGACGCATAGCACAAAGATTCAAGGTAGATGTAGTACATATAGGACTGTTTTGAAGTGCTGTTTCCTTGGCACCATCCAATGGTTAAGGGCTAAATCATTTTGCAACTCTGCATTAACTATACAACTACCAGTGACGGGTGGCAGTGAAAGGTTAAGTGTGATTATCTGATGCTCTCAGGCTATCCATGCCAACCATCGCTGCTCAGGTTGATGCACCAAGTGCTGGGCTGCGTGCACCGTGGGACCCCTCATTCAGTGTTAAAAATCGAAAAAATAATATAAACGAGTAACTAATTTCCATTGAACTTTAGGTGTCATCAGTAGCGATGTATTTCAACAGCACAAAATCCAAAGAAATTCTAACTGATATTACCGTAAGCTCGTCCTTTAAACATTCGTTTTCTGCTGCGACTCTCCGCAAGTCTGAAACAACAAGATTTTTTTCTTCTTCAACATGAAGCAGCTCATCTTGATATTCTTTATGTGGTGCATCTCTTAGCACAATCGACTCCTTCTGAGACTAAGAAATAAAAATACTTGATTTCAGTTCCTTTTTCAAAATCACACGATTCCTGGAGGAGTCTACCTTTAAGTCCTCTTTCGTCAAAGCACCACATATCGGACTTAACACCATAATCTAATGGTTTTGGTTATATGTAATGTGTTTGTTTTTTTATTTTATATAACAAAATGACGATAGTTTTCCTTTATGTATATTACTGGACATTATAAAATTGCAGTTTAGGACAGAGTCCATATTTAACAGATAATTCAATCTCTACAAAGTGAGTACCTTGGCGGATGTCATAGATCCTCTAATTATTTGAAGTAGGCTATGCAACAATAACATGTAACTGCATTTTCTGGTAGAGTTATCATTCGTGACATGATAGATGTAAAATGATATTCCTTTAAAACGTCAGTGATATCACACATATACAAGATATTAATTGTCTACATGTAGCCCATGTACAAACATATAGACCATACCTGGTCATAAAGCAGACGGAGCTTATCTCTTTCTGCTGTCAGCGACTTGACGTTAAGCTGAATTTCCGCCATATGTTTCTCAAACCGATCAAGCATGTTCTGTAGATCATCTCGCTCTCTAGTTATCCGCCTTAGTTCTGAATTAAAGCCAGCACCCTAACATTAATGGAGATAAGAAAAAAAACAAAAAATTAATTTTTACTCAAAATGGCAACACACAAAATGTAGTAAAGATGGTAAATGGCCCCCTTCATTTAAATCATCCTTTTTTTGTTGTTGTTAAAAAGTGTCCTTAGCAAAGACCTTATAAAACAAACTACTACCACAACAATATTAGTGACAAATATCACACCCTTTGCAAACGCCTCCTGTAGCACGCTAGGAAGCATGTGCAAAAGGTGTGATATTTGTCACTAATATTATACATACAGGTTAGGCATTTGTCATCTACGGTAATGGATGGTATTATATTTTGGAGGGCTACAATACTACGGAAACCTCCTCATAGAACTTCTTGTCTCCAACCGAACTGGAACACAACACACTGTTTGCTACCTTTCCTTTTCTGATTATGTACCTACATCTCTGTTAAAAACCTAAAACTTTTTAATAAAAAGATTGTTTAAAAAAAAAAATAAATAATAATAATAAAAATAAGCCAAATGGAACATTGGATTCCTTCTAAATTCAGATGAATTAGGGTTGAATTACTATTAAAGTAATTAACAAGGGGGCCCTCAGTGGGCTGCCCTGCTAATTATAGGGGGAAATTAATATCTTCCACTCCAGCAGGAGAGAAAAACTTGCTGCTCACAAGTCAAGTACACCATGTTGTTGCAGAGTACCTGGCAGCATGGGCTTATCATGTTGATGATAAACTCCATGCAAGACTCATTGCTGTAGCACACTATTATGAACGTATCCAAAAACTATTTCATACTTCTATTAAATATGGCTAGAAGTTTAACGTCACTTTAAAAAGGTAAGAAGATGCCACGTTTGAAAAATGGTCCATGGTAAAAGCACATGGAAATTCTTAGAATTAATGAAACATATACATATATAAAAGAGATACATGATACAATTGGGCTGTGAGAACCATTTGATTGGACACTGCCCAGCATGAAAACATTAGTGCTGGGCAACAAGGTGATGGATCAGCCTAGCTGTAGACGTTGCAAAAGAGCTAGGATTCTTGGGACTTATATGGGAATATATTTGTGAATAACTAATAAATTCAAGTTTTAGATTGAATCTTAATTGCCTTTTTCAAGGTTTTTTTTTTTTTTAACCTCAACAGTCTGTTTAAGTTTATTGAGGAGTGGAGGTATTGTTTTTGTGATTAGTAACAAGATGAAGAATGTGTGAGCTTCACAAGCAAACTCTGCCTCAATAGGATTAGTTTCCTACATACCATGTTCTGGCAGCAAGTATAAGTAAATAACTTAAAAAGGAATTCAACATCATTGACAACATTTTACAGCCAACCTGTAGATACTGTGTGATCAAGTGGTATTACCTTGTCTGGTGAAGATGGAGACCTGCTGCTTTCCAACCTTGAATGTCCAAGAACACTGGATTTCAGATTAACCACGCGCTCCAGTTTCTCCATTTCGGTTTTATAGTAATCCCTTTCATCCTCCAAGGTCTTTACAAAGGAGTCTAGTCGAGAAGGTGAGCGATCAGTACGCAAAATGCCATACTGTGTCCGCATTCGCTCCACTTCTAAAACCAGTTCCCGTTCTGAAACATTGGTCAATAAATACAGGTATAAATAAATTAAGCTTTGACATGTTATGCCTGGTTTTCAAAGGTTAACCTTCAGTTCAGTTTAGTTTTATGAAAAGAACGGACTCTTACCAAAACCTCAAACACTATTCTAAAACTACACTGACTTGTTAAAGGGACATTATAGTCACCAGAAAAAACTACAGCTTATTGTATTTGTTCTGGTGAGCAGAATCATTCCCTTCTGTTTTTTTTGCTGTAAACACGGTCTTTTCAGAGAAAATGCAGTGTTTACATTACAGCCTAGTGATAACTCCATTGATGGCTACTAGAGGTGCTTCCTGAGGCAGTGCTGCACAGTGAGCAGGACTGCCATTCAGTGTCTCCACCTTTTGCATGCAGGCACTGAACTTTCCTCATAGACATGCATGGATTCAATTAATCTATGAGAAGATGCTGATTGGCCAGGGCTGTGTTTGACCTGTGTTGGCTCTGTCCCTGATCTGCCTCCATGACAGTCTCAGCCAATTCTATGGGGAAGCATTGAGACTGGCTCAGACAACCACTTCCTATTGATGTCAGCAGGCAGGTCAGAGGCAGAGCCAGCAGCTGCAGACTTGAATTAAAATATGATTTTTACTATATTTAAGGAGGCAAGATGGTGGTTTTAACACTAGGTGGTCAGGAATACATGTTTGTGTTCCTGACCCTATAGTGGTCCTTTAATGGTGAAACATCCCTTAAATGGACACTGTTGGCACCATAGCAGTTTAAGCTTGTTAAAGTGGTTATAGTCCATTCGGCATTAAACTGAGTCAACAACAACGCATCCCCTGTGTGTTGCTTGGGCAAATGAGCCTTAGCAGCAATGAGTGGCTGTGATTGACTGAGAAGAGAATGTCAGCTGACCTCTTTCAACCTATAACAGTGCCATTGCAGATATAAATCGGTATGTCTACAAGGAAGTGTGTAGAAATTTCTTTAGCCATATCTCAAATGGAAGCACGGCTGTAGGAAACCACAGACTCTCATTCAGTGTTAAACTGCTCAATAATTGTTCAACACTGAATGGAGGGAGTTCCACGGGACTCCAGGCACTATAACCAATTCAATAAGATGAAAGAACATGGCAACCCCTTTAGGATGGAGGCAATTTGGAACCAAAACAAAATCTAGAATTAGTGCTGTAATTTAAGGGTTTTTCTTTAAGTGAATATATTATATTTTGTTTTTCAAAGAACAAAATTACTTTTTAAAAATATTTTGCAACCCCCTGAAACTGACAGATCTGGTGTGGGTCAGGTGGCCACAGGACGCTAGGGAGGTGAGTTTTACTTAACTCAAGATGTCCCTCGCGACTGCTGCCATCTTTACGATGCAGATTCTCTTTGGCTTCTTGCACTTCAATTGCCAGGAATCATGTCAGTGCTGAATTCGACTGAAGTTGAGAATCCTCGGAGGAACCTACATAGACAAACCCGGATTACGACAGCCGTCATTTGTGATGGCTACTGGGATTGGACAAATGTTGACAAAGGAGCTCCTCTGTTTTTCAACCTAAGGCTTTACCATAACACAAAGTAGTCCCAACTTTGTCTAATGGTATCTCTGGATTGTGCTGGAATTTTAATGAAATTCTAATGCAGTCATAATCATTATTTCATAAGAAGTAATATCTTTATGAAATACTGAAACGTGACAAATGTGCTTTAAGTATTAAAGGACCACTCTAGGCACCCAGACCACTTCAGCTTAATGGGGTGGTCTGGGTGCCAGGTCCAGCTAGGGTTAACCCATTTTTTCATAAACATAGCAGTTTCAGAGAAACTGCTATGTTTATGAATGGGTTAAGCCTTCCCCCTAATCCTCTAGCGGCTGTCTTATTGACTGCCGCTAGAGGCGCTTGCGTGCTTCTCACTCTGATTTTCACAGTGAGAGCACGCCAGCGTCCATAGGAAAGCATTATGAATGCTGCACGTGCGCATTCAGCCGACGGGGAGGAGAAGAGGAGGATCGGAGGAGAGCTCCCCGCCCAGCACTGGAAAAAGGTAAGTTTTAACCCCTTTCCAGAGCCGGGCGGGAGGGGGACCCTGAGGGTGGGGGCACCCTCAGGGCACTATAGTGGTCCTTTAATAAAATGTTAAAAATGCATTTTTTTCAAATGTTTTCTTTTGTTAATACATAACTAGAGTTATGTATAAATCCTGATTATTAAAAGCCTAATGTCTAAGATTTAAATCAATTTTTGGTAGGTAGTCAACACTAGACCTATACCAGCCTCCCCATCACTATACCAACCCTACCCCTAAGCTTAAACCAACTATAAACAGTATACTTTTCCTAAACAGCATTAAGCCTAACCTTACCTTACCCTAAATAGCAGTACTAACATAGAAACACAGAATGTGACGGCAGATAAGAACCATTCGGCCCATCTAGTCTGCCCAATTTTCTAAATACTTTTATTAGTCCCTAGCCTTATCTTATAGTTAGGATAGCCTTATGCCTATCCCACGCATGCTTAAACTCCTTTACTGTGTTAACCTCTACCACTTCAGCTGGAAGGCTATTCCATGCATCCACTACCCTCTCAGTAAAGTAATACTTCCGGATATTATTTTTAAACCTTTGTCCCTCTAATTTAAGACTATGTCCTCTTGTTGTGGTAGTTTTTCTTCTTTTAAATATAGTCTCCTCCTTTACTGTGTTGATTCCCTTTATATATTTAAATGTTTCTATCATATCCCCCCGTCTCGTCTTTCCTCCAAGCTATACATGTTAAGATCCTTTAACCTTTCCTGGTAAGTTTTATCCCCAATCCATGAACCAGTTTAGTAGCCCTTCTCTGAACCCTCTCTAAGGTATCAATATCCTTCTGAAGATACGGTCTCCAGTACTGTGTACAATACTCCAAGTGAGGTCTCACCAGTGTCTGTACAATGGCATGAGCACTTCCCTCTTTCTACTGCTAATACCTCTCCCTATACAACCAAGCATTCTGCTAGCATTTCCTGCTGCTCTATTACATTGTCTGCCTACCTTTAAGTCATCAGAAATAATCACCCCTAAATCCCTTTCCTCATATGTTGAGGTTAGGACTCTATCAAATATTCTGTACTCTGCCCTTGGGTTTTTACGTCCAAGATGCATTATCTTGCACTTATCCACATTAAATGTCAGTTGCCACAATTCTGACCATTTTTCTAGTTTACCTAAATCATTTGTCATTTGGCTTATCCCTCCTGGAACATCAACCCTGTTACATATCTTAGTATCATCAGCAAAAAGACATACCTTACCATCAAGACCTTCTGCAATATCACTAAAACATATTAAAGAGAATGGGTCCAAGTACAGATCCCTGAGGTACCCCACTGGTGACAGTGTATCTAATATCAGCAAATGGATCTCCTGGCTAAAAAAAAAAAAAAAAAAAAAGGAGGAAGTGATCTGGTTACCCCCCCATCTACTGGCTATTTTAAGCATGACAGGGAGATGTCCCTGTAGTGCTGAGCCTCCAGCATATTTTCCCTGCTAATCACACTGGAAAAGATCAGCACTAACCACAATCTGCAGAGAGGCATATAGGCAGGCCATGCCCTCGGGGTCTCCCTTGAGCATCTGTAAGTTAGAGAATCCATGTGTATGAGTGTGATCTGCTCAGCTGTGAGGTTTCAAAAGATATTTAAGAGCTGTATGCATCACCCACTTAGAACAATGCATACAGCTCATTGACCAGACTGGGGCCACTAAATCTCAACCCACCTGACAGAGGGGAACAACAGGCATTCATTGAAACCTAGGTCTCCCTGGTGTGAGCAGAAATGTAAATCGACCTCATACCAGAATGCTAGTATGTGACATTAGATATTAAAACCAATGCCTTGTAGCACGGAATGACATGTCCCACGGAATGACATGTCCCAACGTCGTTAAGGGGTTAAATCCTTGGAAGATTTTTCCACAAAAGAACCTGATGACCGTTTAACATTCCATTAATAATATATGAAACATTAATGACCTTCAAAATGCACAGTTCACCAACCAATAGGTTCCTGGTTAAATGTCCCAACTCCTCCTGTTATCACGTATCAGAGTTTAGGGCACACAAAAAAATTACCAGGACATGATGAACTGACAGTATAATATATATATATATATATATATACATACATACATATACATATATACACATACATACATACATACACACACATACATACATATATAGATACATACACACTTATTTATCTACATCACAATGATTTAGGAGACATACCAGTCATCATCTGCTTCTCCACTTTATTTGAAAGTCTCCTTTTTTCATGCTCTATGTGGTTCACAAGGGACTCTAACTTGCGGTATTCATCTTTTCTTTTTTCCAGTTCATCAGTAAGCTTATTCTTCTCAAATTCACATGTATTTAAGTCCTAAAACCAGTTAAAACGATTTATATTTTAAGTCAAGATATTTTTTTAACATTGCATTATATTTACACATGAAGTTATGTTTTAAATTAATATATTATATATACACACATACACACACACACACACACACACACACACTATAATAGTACGTTAAGATTTGTAAAAGTGTTGCATAAATGTAACAAGAAACCAAAGAAAGAAAATCGATAAGTATAAACAAAGCCCAAAACATACCAACATTTTCCAAAACAAATTAGAACCCACAAACACAGAAAAAAAAATGCGTAAACCCCCATGACCTGTAATGGAAAAAGAGAGGAAACACAGTGATATCTGAAATCTCCACCCTGAGTATTAATAGGCTGGCTTTTAAGCCAATCATAATACAAGACACTTCAGCAAAGTTTGGCATATTTTCTAATTGAGTTCAAATCATATGGGTTAAGCTAAGCAACAAACTGTAGAGAATTCAGCAGATTTTTTTTGTCAATCTTTCTTGAGGGGATTGAATCATAAATTACAGAATAAAGAAAAGCAGTTATGACAGTAATATATCGTCAGAAGGAACCAGCAGATGTTGCCTACATTTTCAGTTCAATACAATTTGATGTTTAGTCAACTATTATTAATATTTATAAAGCGCAAACAAGTTCCGCAGCACTATACAATGGGTGGACTAACAGACACGTGTATTTGTAACCAGACAAGTTGGACACACAGGAACAGAGAGATTGAGGGCCCGGCTCAATGATCTTCCATGCTAGAGGGAGTGGGGTATAATGACACAAAAGGTAAGGGTATGGTAGAAAAACATGTTGCTAGGATAGTGTTCACTGAGGGCTAGGTGTTGTTTTGATGACAGTTGCAGGAGAGGAATCAGTGTGCGGGGAGAGAAAGCTAATTACAGGTTAAATGATATGCTTTCCTAAAGAAGTAAGTTTTCAAATATTTTTTGAAGGATTGGAGACTGGGTGAAAGTTTAAGAGAGAGAGGAAGGGCGTTCCAAAGGAATGATGCAGCCCTAGAGAAGTCTTTAAGGCAAGCGTCAGAGATAGGAGTACGAACAGAGGTTAGATGTAGGTCTCCAGCAGAGCGTAGGGGCCTAGATGGGACATATTTGTGTATTAGTGAGGATAAATAGGTAGGAGCAGCTTGGTGTAAGATTACAGATTTGTAAGCAAGTATCAGGATCTTAAACTGAGTCCTGTATCTTACGGGAAGCCAATGTAGGGACTGACAAAGGGGGAGTTGTGGGAGGGCAGGAAGATAAGCCTCGCCGCCGCATACATTATAGACTGTAATAGGGCAAGTTGGGAACACTTAAGACCACTGAGAAGCGGATTACAGTAATCAAGGCAAAAGAGAACAGCGGCATGGACAAGCACCTTATTAGGCGTTAAATAGGGTCGGATGCGCGCTATGTTTTTGCGATGGAAGCGGCAGGATTTAGCAATTGATTGGACATGAGGGGTGAAGGAGTGGTCGGAGTCAAAGAGAACACATAGGCAGCGAGCCAGAGCGGATAGTAGTGCCATTGACTTGGAGGGAAACAGATAAGCAACACTTAAAGGAGGGAAGATCAGAAGTTCTGTTTTGTACAGGTTAAATTTAAGGAAATGAGTAGCCATCCAGTTGGAAATAGTAGAGGCAGAGACATGAGTCATGAGGGGTGGTGAGAAATCAGGGGAGGACAGATAAATTTGCGTGTCAACCGCATAGAAATGATACTGAAAGCTGAAGGAGTAGATGAGAACAATAGGGGACCAAGGACAGACCCTTGGGGAACATCAACAGAGAGGGATTGGAGAGAAGAAGCAGAGTCAGAGAAAGAAACACTGAAAGAATGTTGGGAGAGGTAGGAAGAGCACCAGGAGAGAGCGGTATCTCGAAGACCGAGATTACGGAGGATGAGAAGAAGCTGTTATCAACAGTGTCAAAAGCAGCAGAAGGTAGAGGAGAATTAGGATAGAGTAGATGCCATGGGATTTTGCAGTGATAAGATCATTGGATACTTTGGTCACAGCTGTTTCAACAGAGTGACGAGCGCGGAATCCAGATTGAAGTGGTGTCAGGAGTCTTACCTGATGGGGAGTCCGGCTCGCAGAGTTATACGCTCACCCTTGCAAAGTAGACACAGACCAGGGTGACCAGGTAAGACGCCACCTGATCTGTGAGTCTGTGCACGGGGGCTTTCCAGGAATAGTGCTCCAAGTAGCAGTACAGCAGGGATTAGCAGAAGCGTAGTCAAGGAAAGCCAAAGTCAGGGGAAGCCAGAGATCAGAGTAGTCCAGGAGGAAAGCCAAGGTCAGAAGCCAGAATCAGACAGGAAATACTGGAACGTTGATATGGCATGACAGGAACCAAACAAGGGACCCAGAGTCAATGAACTGACACTGCCCTCAGGGAGAGGCAGTGTCTTATACCTGGCTAATTGGTGATCAGCCACAGGTGTGTTAAGATTGTTGGAGCAGCCACAGAATAATGTCCAGCCCCCAGTGCTGGGTACAAGGCAATCCTAGAGTTGTATAGTGGCTCAGAGGCAAAAAAGCAGGTCCAGGATTGCAAAGTACCCAGGTTCAAGTCCGTCACCGGGCACTTCTGGAGCGACCTCGACTGGCCGTCTGGATGTCGCGGTGAGAACCGCGACAAGTGGGCCAAGCAGAGAGGAAGTCCGTCAATCTCGCATACTCTCTCAAGGATCTTGAAGGCAAATGGCAGTAGTGAGATTGGGCGGTAGTTGGATGGGGAATTAAGGTCAAGGTTTGGCTTTTTTCTTTTCTTTTTTGAATGGGGGTAACGGTTGCATGTTTGAAGGGTAGAGGAAATGTGCCAGATGAGAGGGAGAGATTGAAAATTTTTGTGGGAGGCAGAGCAAGAGGAGACGAAGATCTGAGGGAATAGGATAAACCCCAAAGAAAATGCACAGACCAGGGAAAGGGAAACCCCATGCCCCTTATGTTTATCAAACCACAGATATGTGACAGTGGTCAAGGGTGCACTGTTATATGTATTAAACAAACACTCCAAACACCAAAACCACTTTAACTAGCTGAAGTGATTCATGTTTGAAAAGTGTGCTCTTTTTTCCCCATTTTACAAAAAGGTGCAGATTTCATTAGAAATGGGCAATTTTGTAAATTTACCTTTATCACCCGCTGGCTGTCAATTGGACAGTGTTCCTGTTACTTCCTGGTAGGTTAGCTCAGTTTAGCTAACCTCAAGAGGCAGGCTATTGTCCATAGCATCAGCCTTGCAAAAACTTCTCACTGAGCTACACTGGAAGTCAGTGATTGGACAGCCACAGAAAGTCTGGGCTGCGGTAGAAGGGGAGGGGTTTGCAAAGCAAGAGATATACAGCTTTAACAAGCTGTTTTTAGATATAACCAAAATGAAAAAAAAAAAAATGCATAGTTAAATGTATGCATGTTTTCAGTGTGGAAATATCTACTAAATAGCGATTTAGTTTGTATTTGGGCAGTGGAATGTCCTTTTAAAGGAACATTTCAAGGACCACAACAACTACAGTGAACTGAAGTGGTTATGGTGCCAGGAGTGTCCTGCACACCCACTCCCCTTTGTACCAGAGTTCTGACAAGAGCTGCTTCATGCCTCTTCTAGAGGATGCTATTAAAGGAGCCCCTTTGCGTCAAGTGGCCTTGGAAACTAACATTCAATATTATCATCAACTCCACTCATGAACACGGGTGAAGGTGGGAAGGTCTAGTCTTGTCCACTTCATTTATGGCAGTGGCACCTTGTTCAGGTAACAAGTTCTTTTTACACAGGTATTGGGAGCCGACTACATTATAGATTTTGGTTTTCTGCCAATTAGTCTCCAGATTTTCAAGCATTTGAATTGCAAAGCAAAGTCACTGCCAGACCTCCCCATAGTAGCAGAAACCCGGCCCACATAAAGATCGTATGTGCTTGCACATTAGCATGTAAATATGTCTTTATTAGGAAAAGTGAGATCTGGGGAATTTGGAAGCCAAGGCAGCACCTTGAAATCTTTGTCATTTTCCTTAAACCATTCCTGAACAATTTTTGCACTCTGGCATAATGTATTATCCTGCAGAAGGAAGCCACTGTCATCAGGAAATAGCATTGCCATGAATGGGTGTATGTGGTCTGCAACTAACTCTAGGTAGGTGGTATGTGTCAAAAGTAACAATCACATAAATGCCAGGATGTAAGGTTTCCCAGCAGAACATTTCCCCAAAGGTAGCAAATTACAATGGACTGTGTGTTCTGACACCTTTCGATCATGGCCAACATTACATTTTTCAGCAATTTGAGCTATAGTGGCTTTTCTATGTGATAGAATCAGCTAGGCTTTGTTCACAACGTGCAATGAATAAGCCTAGGATCCCCGTGACCCTGGTTCACTATTTGATCTCCTTTGCATCACTTTTAGTAGGTACTAGCCACTGCTACCAGATCCCCACACAAGACTTGCAGATTCGGAGATGCTCTGACCGAGTCGTCTAGCCATCACTATTTGGCACTTGTGAAAATCACTCAGATCTTTTCACTTGTCCATTATTCCTGCTTCCAACACATGAAATTCAGAAACTGACTGTTCACTTGCTGCCTAATATATCCCACCTGTTGACAGGTGCCATTGTAACGATGTAATCAATGTTATTCACGTTACCTGTCAGTGGTGTTAATGTTGTGGCTGACCAGTGTATAGTGTTGAATCAAATAAAAATTTTCCAAAAACATTTGTATACTAGAACAGGTTTACTTACACACTTCAAATTTGATATCACATTTTCAAGTTTGTGGACCTCAACTTGCAGAGTTTTGATTTCATCCTGAAAGATGTGAAAATATTGCATTTTATCGAAGCTTTATTTCAGGCTGATGAAATGTCTGTGTTTCATGTTGTGCCTATGAAAATGGCACTATAAATGTAAAAGATGAAAAGTGTGTATAAAAAATAATAATAAAAAATAAATAAATCCAGATTCCCCCCCCCCCCACAATTCTAGATGCATGATTTCTGAAAAAATAAAGAAACACAAAGCAGTACATTAAATGCTGCATGTGTCCATTTTACCACTAAAAGTCATTTAAAGGACCACTCTAGGCACCCAGACCACTTCAGCTTAATGAAGTGGTCTGGGTGCCAGGTCCTTCTAGGGTTAACCCATTTTTTATTTTTTTTATAAACATAGCAGTTTCAGAGAAACTGCTATGTTTATTAATGGGTTAAGCCTTCCCCCAAAGCCTCTAGTGGCGGTCTCATTGACAGCCACTAGAGGCGCTTGCGTGCTTCTCACTGTGATTTTCACAGTGAGAGCACGCAAGCGTCCATAAGAAAGCATTGTAAATGCTTTCCTATGCGACCGGCTGAATGTACGCGCAGCTCAGCCGACGAGGCGGAACGGAGGAGGAGAGCTCTCCGCCCAGCGCTGGAGAAAGGTAAGTTTAAACCCCTTTCCCCCTTCCAGAGCCGGGCGGGAGGGGGTCCCTGAGGGTGGGGGCACCCTCAGGGCACTATAATGCCAGGAAAACGAGTATGTTTTCCTGGCACTATAATGGTCCTTTAAGAACCAGGACCATTAAACAAGCATATAACTATGAATGCAAAACTAGTGCATTTTAAAGAACTAGATCTATAATCTAAAATATTTTATGTATTTACCACTGAGTGTACTTTCACTTTTCATGATATGTCAGATTATTTTCTTGGTCAGATATAGACTCCTACCTTTGCCTCTTGAATTTCAGCATCTGCTGTTTCTAGAACAATCTCCTTGTCTCGCTCCAGCTGTTGAGCTAATTGATCTATTTCTGTGAGCTCTTTACATAGTTCATCATTCTTGGTACTAAGATTTACCACCTCGGAGGTCACATTCTGCCGTGTTTCCAAGAGGTTCTCAATGCGTTTCTCAAGATCTCTGTTTGCTTGCTGGAGGCATTCAATCTAAAGGATAGTGAGAAAACCATGACAGCAGTTTTGTTTAAAGACACTCAAGTAAAACCAATAATAAATAACAATAGTCACAAGTCACAAGTCAAAAAATAAAAAATAAAAAAAAAATACAGAATCTTAAAGGGAAACTCCATGCCAGGCTACCCCCAACTCGGGCCCTCCAGATGTTGATGAACTACAACTCCTATGATTTTCAGCCTATTTCATTGATAGAATCATGGGAGTAGGAGTTCAGGCAACATCTGGAGGGCCAGAGTTTGGGGAAGCCTGCTCTACGCACTACAATTAATCTCAATTAAGTGGTTTTTATTGCCAAGTCCTGGTCTCTGTCTAGCAATTATTACATTTTGTCATAACCACTCCTCTAGTAATTGTCAAAGTGACAACCACTAGAGACCCTTCTTAGAAAAAAGACTTTAAATAACTTTAAAATCCCTGAAGTTTGGAGTCATCACCACAGCATGATGCCATTGAATGCTGTGAATTCTTCTATATGAAAAAAATCCAACTGGCTGAGGCAAGTGCCAAGATGCCAATTAAGTCCACAATGCTTCTCTTTCAGGAGCAATGGTTTGCCAACAGATCATCTAGACAACTGATCTCAGAAAAGGAGCAGTTGCCTGATAGAAACTGTATAGCGCTAAATATAAGGTGAAAAGAATATTGGTTTTGTTTTAAATTTGGGTCTCCTACGATCCAACATCTACTAATGATTACTCGAACATTAAAAATAAATATGTTTAAGTTTAGTGTTAAGAGTTTTTTTTGTGTGCATATGTTTAACAAACAATCTGAAAATGCCCCAACAGCATTGGCAAAACAGTGAATGGGACAAAGCATAATAGGTACAAGGCATTTGAGTATACTGCACAATTTTCAATGTAGTGTAGAATACAGGCTAAGCAGAACATGTCTAGATTAACTATTGAGAGAGAAATACTCAGCTATGCAAAGTCCTAGGCATGTTGATCGAGGTATTTAAAAAAATAAAATGAATAAAACATGCTAACAAAATAGGTCTAATGTTCTGGTTCACGTTGGTTTTGTCAAGCTTGAGACATTATACATGAAGTGAGTCTTAAGTGTGCAAGAGTAAACAATGTTAAAGAACAGGTTTGTAGATAGAGGCATGATAATATAACCTTGCTAGCTAGACACATCTATTTACTTGGCTTGAATTAAATTCTGTCAAGCATATAAGACATAGTAAGCAATGAGTAGTTAGAGACATGCTAGGTATGGATAGCCACTGTTGCCTTAACTCTGTTTGTGCTGCGCTACAGGAAATCATAGTTAATAAACATAAGAAACACTGTCATATCTAATTCTGCATCATGAGTGTTCTGGTAAGGCATGCTTTGATAACTCGCTGGCTGATCCGATCCGCTAGGAAGGCAGTCATCCAATACCCCGGCTGGGTTCAGAACTTCCATGTGGGTACAGTTCATGAGGGTGGGTGACCTTGCATAGGCTGTGTGAGGCGACACTCCTGACCCCGGCCTGCGATGGGACCAGTACTTCGCTGCCACGAACTTGGTGACTGCTGAAGGCCAAGTTCTTTCCATCCTGGTTGGTGCTTAGGGCTCTAAGTGTTGCGCTCTTCCGCCGGCATGGCCGGTGCCTTGGGGTTGTCCCCAGTTTGTCCCAAGGCTTGGGGAGGCTTAGATTAGTGGAGCTTGGTGCTTTTGGGGTTATTTTGCCTGTGTGAGGCACCAGAGAGCTCACCTCATAGTGTTGCGATTTTTCAGCCTGGGGTACAGTGGCCATCGCATTCAGCGTCATCCTTTTCCTCCAGTGACGCCAAGAATCGGTCATATATTGCTTCTAGTCGGTCTTTGATGTTACTGTGAGACGCAGGGAGGTCAGCCTGACATGGTGCTAGGCCTCGTGTCTCCTTGATGAGTGCATCCGCAATCTTGTGCAGTGACTTGGTTCCCTCTGTGCAAGCTTGTTTTGAGACCAGTGTAGCTTGAAATACGCAGATAAGAGGCGGCAACAGTGGGTTTTGTGGACCGTCATGACCCCCACCGGTCCTGGGAGGTACAGGATTCGGCCGTGATTTAGCCCGCTGGCCCTGCTGTGAGGGTCGGCCGCCACTCCCAGCCGGGACCACGCTAGGCCTCCATTTTGACTCAGGTTTGCACCAGCTGGTGCCCGCTGCGTTCCCGGTAGCACTCGGTATGGGTGGAAGACGGATGCACTTCAATATTGGACGGTTAGCGGGCTTTAAAGCAATGTATTGGAGCCCCAGTCCTGTGTGACCGCTCAGCTAGAGCCCCGCCCCCCCAAAAGTGTTCTTTTAAAGATCTTAAATGCCTTTACCATCTGGGAGAAGATAATAAAAGGATATTATACATTAAATATAAAAAAGTATTTCAAATTTTTTAGGGGCAAACCCAAAGAACCTTGAAAAGGGGAGGTGTAATGGGATCTTAAACATAACTGTTGCACTTGGAACTGCTGTGCATGAATACAACTGTGGGGATAAAATATGCACTGAGTACACAAGATTCATGGTAAAGTTCTGCACACTGTAGAACAAGTAATGATGGTAGATATATATTTTCTCCATTTTGAAGACAATGCACTAGATTAAAGGGGCAGTAGTGCACCCATCTTCTCTCCCTATGAACCATCTATGATCTCTGGGTTAAGCGTTAAGCATTAAACTACTCAATTCCAAAAAAGGATCATAAGACAGGCTACAGTGACAGAAAAGGGAAGATCTTATAACAGTATGGTTTTTCAAATCAGAAATGTCATGCAATAACCATAATCCATTGGTATTTATACAACCAAACCACTAGAAATGGGTTTTACTGTTTCTTTGATTTGATAAAGTGTGAAATTGCACAGATTACAGTAAAATAAAAATGTATCAAATATATACAATAAAAATGCATCATTACAGCCAGACTGTGGTTTTGACTTGGCAACAAGAATAAAACCAACTCACTTGAAGATTTAAATGGGCAACAAGCTTCTCATTACTTCTGTATCTGGCTTCTAGAGAAATAACATCATGCGAACGCCCACCATCCAAGGCCAGTGCCAAACGCTCTATTTCTCTGTCTCGTGATTCAACCTTGAAAAAGCAATGCAACAAACTCAGTAAAAGGTGATGCTCTAAAAAAAGTACAAAATAAGCTTTACAATTACTTTAGTATATCACGTATATTGATGCAATCCACAATGCTATGGTGTTAAGTATCATAACCCTTGTTTGAACCTCCACAGATAAGACTGCTGATGTTTAGGTATACAGTAGCTTGCCTTTATTGGCATTGTTAGCATTTGTAACATATCTAATAATTTAAAGAGGCAACAGTTTTACATCAAAATGTAAACAGTTCACGAACAGCTTAACCACAAAGTCTGTGATCTTGCAGTGTTCTACTCTATTTCGCCTTTCTAAAAATGTACATTTTTCAAGCAGTTTTTATGACAGCCACTAGAGGCAGATATAAACATTGCAGTTTAAAAACCAAAACAACAAAACAAAACTGGTTGAAAGGACAGGCCACTGCACACACACCAGGTCATTTAGATGAAGTGGTCAGAGTGATTATAGTTTTCCTTTAGGAACCTGTAGGGAGACTTGGAAATTGGAGTTCAAGCACCAAACTTGACAGAAGCTGTGCAATTTTACATAAATAATTGTGAAAAACTGAAGGATCAAAATATGCATGTATTGCTGGTAAAGACTGAACAACGACAGCGGTAACTGCTGCCAAATGTGGTTCTACCAGGTAGTTGTATGCAATCAACAAAAGTCTCCTCCCCCTTCACTATGCTATTAGAGTGGTAATACTACAAGCAAATTTGAGGGTAAATTCCTTTAATTGCAGAATGGTTACTTTGCGGATTAGTAACTACAGGAGTAGGCAATCTTTGGCACTCCAGATGTTGTGGACTACTTCTCCCATAATGCTCCTACATCTATAATGCAGGCAAAGTATCGTGGAAGATGTAGTCCACAACATGTGGAGTGCTGAAAGTTGCCTACCTATGAACTAGACCATAGTGATGGACACTGTAGTAATACATTTATACAGTGCCTTGCAAATGTATTCACCCCCCTTGGCTTTTTTTTCATGTTTTGTTGCCTCTCCAGAATATCTCCAACTACACACTTAGAAACAGCACTTAGAAGTAGCACCAAGCTATATTAGGCTTATTTTTTAACACACTTGCTATATTAGGCATAAGGCTATCCTAACTATAAGATAAGACTAGGGACTAATGAAAGTATTTAGAAAATTGAGCAGACTAGATGGGCCGAATGGTTCTTATCTGCCGTCACATTCTATGTTTCTCACAACCTGGAATTAACATGGATTGTTTGAGGATTTGCATAATTTAATTTACAGAACATGCCCAAAACTTTGAAGATTTTTTTTATTTGTGAAGCAAACAACAAATAGGACAAAATAACAGAAAAAGTCAATGTGCATAACTATTCACCCCCCTAAAGTCAATACTTTGTAGAGCCACCTTTTGCAGCAATCACAGCGCCAAGTCGCTTTGGATAAGTCTCTATGAGCTTGCCACATCTTACCACTGGGATTTTTGCCCATTCCTCCTTGCAAAACTGCTCCAGCTCCATCAAGTTGGATGGTTTGCGGTTGTGAACAGCAAACTTTAAGTCTGACCACAGATTTTCTATTGGATTCAGGTCTGGGCTTTGACTAGGCCACTCCAACACATTTATATGTTTCCCCTTAAAACACTCAAGTGTTGCTTCAGCAGTGTGTTTGGGGTCATTGCCCTGCTGGAAGGTGAACCTCCATGCTTGGCAGGTTTGCTGTTGTGCCATGTTCTTTCCATTTGGTTATGATAGATTTGATGGTGCTCCCGGGGATCATCAAAGATTTGGATATTTATTTTTTTTAACCTAACCCTGACTTCTCAACAACATTGTCCCTTACTTGTTTGGAGAGTTCTTTGGTCTTCATGGCAGTGTTTGGTTAGTGGTGCCTCTTGCTTAGGTGTTGCAGCCTCTGGGGCCTTTCAAAAAAGGTGTGTATATGTAATGACAGATCATGTGACACTTAGATTGCCCACAGGTGGACATCATTTCACTAATTATGTTACTTCTGAAGGTAATTGTTTGCACCAGAGCTTTTTATGGGCTTCATAACAAAGGGGGTGAATACATACGCACATGCCAATTTTCTGTTTTCTATTTCTAAAAAAATAGTTTTATGTATATATTTTTCTCTTTGCACTTCACCAACTTAGACTATTGTGTTCTGATCCATCACATAAAATCAGATTAACAAAACATTGAACTTAAGGCTGTAATGTAACAAAATAGGTAAAAAGTCAAGGGGGTGAATACTTTTCCAAGGCACTGTAATTCGGCATTAGAGCAGGAATACAAATGTAATCCGATTGGACTGCTGACTAGTACAGGTAATGTTTGCTGTAACCTGGTCAGGGAGAAGAGTGACAGCTTTGGGTAACTGCAAGATAAAAGAACACTTAAAGGGACACTATAGTCACCCAGACCACTTCGGCTCAATGAAGTGGTCTGGGTGCCAGGTCCCTCAGGTTTTAACCCCTCAGATGTAAACATAGCAGTTTAGCAGAACCATGGACTCAATGACTTTTCTGCCACAAACCCCATAACCAACACGATATGTGCATTTCATCTTTAACTCTAAAAGGATGAAATGCATCTTGTTTATTTAGCATTGGTAGCTATAGAAAAATTGAAAAGGCCATTTTGGGAAAAGATTCTTACAGAATATTACAACTGCATAGCGTCATTAACCCTTACGGGGTTAAATAGAGGTGCTGACAGAACATAGCTCCAATTAAATCTTAATGCCACATTATCTACAAATGCATTTGATTACTTTAAAGAAAACAAAAAGTAAAAAGGCATAATCATTTCTACAAAGAAAGCAGAAACGTGGAGAATATCATACCTGCTGGTTAAGATTTTTAACAGTTCTTTCTGCTATATCCAGCTTATCCCTTAACATTGACATGTCTTTTTGTAACCCTCGGACCCTAAAAAGGATAAATCAAGAACATAAATGTATAAAATGTATTTATACACCACAAATACCTAGTATTCCTTGAACATGTAACATATAAAAAATGTATAATACCTGTCATCAGCCACTTGCAGCAGATCTGCAACGTAAGGGTCCTCAGACTGTGGAACAGGGCGACTAGCGGTTTCATATGGCAATGGCTGATCAATCTGCATGCGCTGCCGTCTGAAAGGTATGTTTCTTTTCTTGCCACCTACAAGATAATAAGAAAATAAAAATAAGTAACTTCCCCTAAACAACTACAAAATAACTAAACTAAAATAAAAAAATAAAAATATGAACAATGCCTCACTCAAATAAAAGACCATCTTAAAACATACAGAAATTAATATTGATGGTAAGACCCAAATTTCTGCCAGTACATACTGATCACTTCTACCAGGTAATCAAAACACAATTTTCATTTTTTCTACAAAACAATAAATAAAAAAATTTAAAAAAAAATTTAAAAAAAAAACCACAAAAAAAACAGACAGTTTATTAATTTTGCAAAATTCCCTTCACTTGTGTCGATATATCTCACCTGGTGTTTGTACAACCGCCTGCAGATTCTTTTCTTGCAACTCCTGAATTTTCCCTAACTTTGCTTTACTGTCTTTTTCCATGGAGCGAATCTTGTGGACATATTGATTATTCAAGAATTTTAGGTCAGCTGTCTGGTGTTCAAATTTCCTTAGGGAAGCTTTTAAATCTTTAAAAAGAAACATATTTAGTATATCTGTCAAATACATTTTACTCTAAAATTTCTAAAACGTAATGTAAAAAAAAAAAAAAAACATTTTAAAAACAAATCACAACATAATAAGATTAGTGAATTGAAAAATGGAAAGATCTAGGCTGGGGGAAACAGTATGTCTTTCTGTCAGTGCTGCAAACCCTGGCATATTTTATTTAAAGCATTATTTATGAATTTTATTTAGATTTCATATATTGTCCAGAGCCCATTTAACAATTTATGAGTAATGTCACATGAAAGATATCTAATTATGATATACTGTACCAATGCAAAACGATTAGAGGCCTGCCAGAAGCTTTAAGTCTAACATTCACTTTTTAAAAAAGTGCTATGCAAAGCAGCCCGTGAGCTTACAATATAAACAAAACAAGGGAGGGAGAAATTCAAAATTATGGTTAGAGTAAGAAGGGAGAGAGCTCTTTAGGTAGGAGGTGAATAGTTAGTGAGGATCACATACAACTGGAGGATCATGCCATATATCTGACAAGAATCAGGAAAGATAGGTGGGTATTTACAGTGGCCAACTATGCACTAGATCAGGTTGTGTCAGCCTTTTTGGGGGCAAGACATACTTCAACAAGAGAAATATTACTGAGGCTCACCAATTCTTTTTAGCTTACTCATTACATTTTCTTGCAGCCTTGCAAAAGACAAATGCATCAGCTATAGTGATTCATACTAGTTTTAATTACTACTAGATATAAAATATTATTTAATGACACTTCTGAAAAAAACATATATACTTCACATTCAACTTATAGCATTGAAGTCAATGTTTATGTGGCACACATTGAAATGGCTTAAGGGACACTGGCAGAACACCGCTGCACATAATTACACTATATTCTACAATAATAATCATTATTAAAATAACTTTTAAAAAGTTAGTATTTATGTATAAAAGTATATCTGCACAAAACAGACTGTTGTAAAACTTGCAGGGAACAATAAACAAAATTTATATATGATGTTACAGTGCTTGATCTCTGGGCAGTAATGCTTAGGGAGAGCCATACTGAAGTAAATGAAGCTGGAATACACCACATTTTGCAGATGTGATAAGTTTTTATAAATGACCCCCACTAGCAAAAGTTAATCAGCTAGTGGAGTCTCTGGACAATATGGATATCAAGAACATACAATTCATTGCACATAAACAAATCTATATTTAATGTATCTCAGGGACACATGCCAGTAGGTTTCCAGACATTTGAACAAATTGCTCATTCAAACCTTTGATATGCCGATCAGAGTCTTCTTTCAGTTTCAAGAGTTCTAGGTGCAGCTGATTGTTCTCCCGGACTAGTCTGGCATTTTCAGTTTTGTACGGTTCTATTACAGAGTCAAAGTTTTTCCTCTCTTGTTCTGTCTTACCAGCTGATAACTTAACATTACGAAGACTTTCAGTTGTGTGAACAAGATCGCTGAAAAGTGTACACAAATGGCAATATCACAATATATCAGTGAAAGCATAGTAAACGGCACCATGATATTCTGGATTAATTAAAACACTAAACCTCATTGCTCAAAGTAAAAAAACAAGAATATATATATTCTATGTACTTTGTGCAACAGTAATAAAAAGGTCAATAGAAGAAAAACCCTGTTTACTCAATAACATCAATGGACTAATTAAATGTCTTCTGCAGCAAATATTATTCAATATTGCACATTTTGATGCAAATTATGAGATACGGATGATGTTTCTGTAGTACAAATGTAGCATATGGCATCAGCAAAAGATTAGAAAATTATTACTAAAACAAATACAAAGCTTTGAACTGTCTTAGCACTTCAAACAGCAGTCAGACTGCACTGGGCATAAACATAATTTACAGTTGGGAAGGTAACTATGGGATCATGATCTCACAACAGAAGCAAGTACTGGAGAAATGGAACAAGCGTTCCAGGCTGGCTAATGTCAACACTGTGCATAGTTGGTGTCTGTCATCAGCATGCACAGCTAATGGCGACACAGCCACTGCCTCCAAGTCCTTCCCTCAGTCTGTCCTCGCTGAAATGACGTCAGCGGTGGAAGATGGGACTGCGGGGAGAACTTGGCATTGGGGCTGAAATGGAAGGAAGATCAGGTCAATAAGAAATACACTACTCTATTAACATATGCAGTCAAAACAACTATTCTCCTGAAACTATGGGTTCAGATTGATTTCTATTTATCAATGAGATTACACAACACATTGCAACAGGATATATACACATCTGAGAGAACAGAAAAATAGGTTCTTATGGCAATCACTATATGAATTAAAGAAGGACGGTCCTCTGTGTTCCCCATATCTTCAGATATTATAAGGCTGTCCATCTCTTGATGTTGTCTCAAATAAGCATGATGGCTTACTAAGCCAGGTCGATAGCTATATATGTTTATGTGGTTACCCCCCATTGTATTGTCCACCTTATTCCACTATACAATGTTCCCTCAGGGGTATTTGTCTGTGGCCTAATAGAGGGTGGATATCACCAAAGTTAGGCATTTACTGATATGAAGAAAGCTGTTGACGAGAGTCTTCTTGGAAGAAAAATCAGTTCTGGACCGAATTTTATACATGTATGCAATTTCTACATTTTGCTTCTGTATGCGAAAATATCTGGATGATATCACCACTTTCAGATTACTATAAATGCCCAGTCTGGATTATGCCTTTGCTGTTCATTTAATTACTAAGACCAATCCCAATATTCTAGATTTTGCCTGGAGGTGGGATACCAGCTTGGGAGACTCTTTACATCAGACTAAACAGATACTTCTGATAATACAAGGCACATCACTTCATGTACACTGATCAAGACAAATGATGTTTAGATAAGTGGTGTGTCTAAATACAACTTAAAATAAGCTACTATAGACACATTTATTTCAGGGCTTTAATACAGCGGTTCCCAAAGTGTGGGTCGCAGAGTGATTCCCAGTGGGTCGTGCTGACCCACACATCCAGGGCCGTCGGGGAGTCAGGCAGGCAGACTGATTAGATGGGCTCTCGGTCCATGACCTTGGGCCCGACACCAGGAGTGAGCACGGCGGCTTGCCCTGTATGCCGCTGGGCTCCCTCCAATCAGTCTGCCCAGCAGCTCCGGTCTGCAGCTCCGCCAGGTGCAGAGCTGCAGACCGTGTGGTAGAAGTCTTGCGAGCACCCAGAGCGTTACCATGGCCACTGCAGACCGGAGAGTTACCCCACTAGACCACCAGGGAGACACTGGACCACCATTGAATTTATGAAAGGTAGGACACAGCCCCCAGACATCCCCACCCCATGTAACCCCTTCACTCCCTGCCCACCCCCAATGTAACCCCTTCACTCACTTCCTCCCTCCCCCAATGTAACCTTCACTCCCTGCCCTCCTCCCCACACTGTAACCTCTTCACTCCCGGCCCCCCTCCCCATTCACTCCCTGCCGCCCCATAGCCTTTTCTCCCCCTGCCCCTTACACTGTAACCCTTTCTCCCGCTGCCCCTTACACTGTAACCCTTTCTCACCTTGCCCTCCACACTGTTACCAGCACACACACTCCCTCCCACACTGTCACCCTCACCCTCACCTCCGGTCTCTGCGTGTTTGTGTATCTGTGTGTCCTTTTGTGTCAGTGTGTGTGTATCTGTGTATCTGTGAGTGGGAAACTAGGTGTCATTGTGTGTCTGTGTGTATTGCTGTGTCATTGTGTGCATTTGTGTGTGTGTGTGTATATATATATATATATATATGTGTATACTCTTCACACATACTCCATACAAAAAACATGCTTACATTCAAACACACGTTGTGTATATGTATATTTTATAAATACACACACTGCATCCACTACACACACACTGCATCCACTACACACGTACTGCAATCGCAAACATTACTTTCAAACACACCCCGGCATTAAAACACTAAAATTATCTACAAACACCCCTTCATTCAAACACCAACACTACACACAAAAAGCACACCTGCATTTCAAGTCCGACACTACATACAAACACCCATGCATTCAGACGCAAACATTACAAACAAGTACACCACTATATTCCAATGGCAACAGTACATACAAATACACCCATACATGCACACAAATACTCAATACAAAAACATGCTTACATTCAAATGCTCAAACACTGCTCACAAACATAACCCTGCAATGATAAGAAAATGGTAGATCCCCCTCTGGTATAGCATTGTTTAAGTTCTCCGACAGATGGAGATCTACCTTTTGGCCACACTTGCACTAGAGGGGAGGGGCTGAAAACATTCTTGCACCAGGGCTAACGCTACATTAGTTCCACCACTGGGATAATCAATGTGATGTGCCTGGATGAAAGAGCAGGACACAGCACTTCTGATTCTGAGTCTGTGAGTAAGCAGTGGTATGTCTCTAAAACTGATTGCCATGATGTGCAAAGTTTCTGCCTCTAAAACTGCCATGATATCCCAGAATTATGCCTCTAAAACTGCCATGTTATGCATCTAAAACTGATTGCCATGGTGTGCCAATTGTATGCCTCTGAAGCTGATTATCATGATGTGCCAAGTTTATGCATCTAAAAGTGATTACCATGATATGCCAAGTTTATGCATCTAAAGCTTATTGCCATGGTGTGCCAAGTTTATGTATTTAAAGCTGCCATGATGTTCCAATTTTATGCCTCTAAAACTGATTGACATGATGTTCTGAATTTATGCCTCTAAAGCTGGTTGCCATTGTGTGCCAATTGTAAGCCTCTAAAACTGATTGCCATGGTGTGCCAATTGTATGCACCTAAAGTTGCCATGATGTGCCAACTTTATACATCTAAAACCGATTGCCATGATGTACCAATTTTATGCATCTAAAGCTGATTGCCATGGTATGCCAATTATATGCCTGTAAAGTTGATTGCCATGGTGCGCCAATTTTATGCCTCTAAAACCGATTGCAACGGTGTGCCGATTGTATGCATCTAAAGCGAATTGCTATAGTGTGCCAATTGTATGCATCTAAAGCGAATTGCTATAGTGTGCCAATTGTATGCATCTAAAGCGAATTGCTATAGTGTGCCAATTGTATGCATCTAAAGAGGTTTGCCATGGCGTGCCAGTTTTATGCCTCTAAAAGTAATTTTCATGGTGTGCCAATTGTGTGCATCTAAAGCGGATTGCTATGGTGTGCCAATTGTATGCCTCTAAAGCGGATTGCCACGGTGTTACCGTTTTTAAAAGTGGGTCTCGGCCCATAAAAGTTTGGGAAACCCTGCTTTAATATGTTTATTGTTATTCTCAATTTATTATTACTATGTTACGGGATTAAAAACGGATTTCCGTTTTGTACAATTAATTAAAAGGAAAAAAAAAGTAAATTTAGCTAGAAATATGCAAATCTTTCAAATGAGGCCTCAACTAAATATGTAATCTAAATAAGGTGTACCTTCGGAAATTTACTAATTGAAATGTGTCTTGGTCCAAAAAAACAAAAACAGATGGAATCCAATGATCTAAATGGTATCTTCATCCTTTCAAAACGGCTTACATTAGTCTCAGAATGGTATTGAGGGCCCAGGAAGGAGATCCCCTATTTTCACTTATTGTGGTCTTCAAAGAGGTTCTCCCTAAGAGGATTTACGTACATTTTTTTATCATCAAGCTGATAAAGATTTAACATAAAAAAAAAATCATGATTATATCTACATTATGGATATATAGGTGTTAAGTACTGTGCCAAAGCCCAGTATTCAACATCTAAAATACATAAAAGGACAAAGTAAATATCTGCCTCACCCCCATTATAAAAAATAAAAAAGTACCTGAAAAGCTTTTCCACTAAAGGTAGAGACTCAATACCGAGTGTCTGCTTGTATCCCAGCTGGTCAAGGCGCTTCCGAAGATTGATAAACTTCCTTTCTGCTGCTGTACTCATTGTTACTGATTTTCCAAATCAAAATGAGTAATCTAGATGCAGGGTCTACATTTAAAAAGAGTGCATTAGTTAGTGACAGATTACACAACATCCAATAAATCAGTACATCGGGTGCTTTCCTTTGCCTGCCACATAATGAACAGATAACATTAGTTCTTGTTTAGCCAATCACAAATACCAGTATTTTGCATCATCAAGCAGCAGAAATGTAAAGGGACATTTGAGACATACTAGTGATCAATACATGCAAACATATTTATGTAAGCAGGAAAAATTTTTTTTTTTGTACCTTAGAGGGATAATTTAAGCATTAGAACAACCACAGCTTAAAAGACCACTATAGGCACCCAGACCACTTCAGCTTAATGAAGTGGTCTGGGTGCCTGGTCCAGCTAGGGTTAACCCCCCCCCCCTTTTTTATAAACATAGCAGTTTCAGAGAAACTGCTATGTTTATAAATAGGTTAATCCAGCCTCTAAAGCCTCTAGTGGCTGTCTCATTGACAGCCGCTAGAGACGTTTGCGTGCTTCTCACTGTGAAAATCACAGTGAGAAGAGCAAGCGTCCATAGGAAAGCATTATGAATACTTTCCTATGAGACTGGCTGAATGCGCGCGCGGCTCCTGCCGCGCATGCGCATTCAGCCGAAGAGGAGGAGGAGAGCTCCCCACCCGGCGCTGGAGAAAGGTGAGTGTTTAACCCCTGCCTCTCCCCAGAGCCCGGCGGGAGGGGGTCACTGAGGGTGGGGGCACCCACAGGGCACTATAGTGCCAGGAAAACGAGCATGTTTTCCTGGCACTATAGTGGTCCTTTAATTTGGTGGCTTGATGCAAAGACATTGTCCTTGCAGTCTCAGCAAGTGTTTACATTGCTTCAATTCTTTTGAATGTATGCATTCTACATATAAAGAAAAAAAAAAAATCTACTTTAGATTACACCTTTAAAGCAATCAGTGAGCTGTATTTTCCTTCAATAGTTTTTTTTTTTTTTAAATCTGCTCTTTGGTCAAAAATGACAAATTTCCTTATAAATGCTGAAATGGTTCCCATGTGTAGCACAGTCATAATCTGGTCTCAGACTTCAAGATTACTAACACTTAGCTAAATATCGGTCCATACACAAAAACCTACAGTTTATTGTATCACACAGAGAGGCTGATATACACAAGGCAGCCTATTATAGCTATGGGCTTACTTTGGAATGAAGCAGAAGAGTGTTCTGTTCTCTCTGATTTAAATGTAAAATCACATAACTGAGTAATAGGAAGTCCTTTTACAGGAAGTGCACTATGCTGCTAGCTGCCATTTTCACATTAAATACACCTCCTCATTAATTCTTTGCACACTCAGCATGCATCTTTCACTTTCAAACTTGAAAACCAGGCTGCAACTCTTTAAACTGTGGAAAATAAACATCATAAAATGGTGAACTATACAAGATGTAACAGTATATTGGGGTAGGTGGGGGGGCAACCTTATTACAAAATATTAATGCAATTCTCTGAATATAGCTACATCCACCTCTAAGACAGACGGAAAAAATAAATGTGGCAGCCGTTGCAAGGTCACACTCTGTCATGGCTCAGCCCGAGCCCTGCAGACAGCAAGGCGTGACTGCCCTTTAAGAGACCTGGCTGGGTGAACTCACTGCTCCAGCATCCCAGTTAGGTTCTCTGCCATGATATCCACCAGGGGGCTTCAGTTTTTGTTTGCATTCTTCCGCTTTCTGACCCCTAGTCTGGATTAAGCAGTGCTGATCCAATAAGGGTTAGCTGCACCCAATTAGCAGGCTGTAAAAGCCAGCCCAGCCTGAAACCTATTGTGGTGGAATCTCGGTAAAAATAAATTTAGTAGGCCGAGATTACCACGTGGCATGTGTACGTGCATATGCTGACGTATCGATCAGTTGGTTGCACGAGGCAAGATACGATCAGTAGTGTACGGAGCATGTGCAAGAATACAGGATGTAGTATTCCCCTCCTCCATTGTGCTGGACAAGCCATGCGGTCAAGCAGGAAGTTAATTCTTATTTGTAATGATTGGTCAAGAGAATGTGCGGGTGGAGCTTAATATGGGAGGAGTTATGTGCCTATATAGGGAGCCTGCACTATTGTTCAGGGCTCAGAACTTGCTGTATTTTTGGTGACATTAGTCCCTCTGAGTCCCGATCGGTGATCCAATAAAGAATCTCTTCCTTCCTGAAGAAACCTGTGTCCATCTCTCTGTGCTTTGCTTCCGTCAGTTTCTCCGGTATCACTATGATCTTGTTATTTGGCCTGTTTGGTGTTTCCTGTCGGAGCTTTGATTTCCTACTGACTGATTTCCTGGACTCTGACCTCTGCCTGATTTACCGACTTTGTTACTCCGCTGCCAGCCCTGACTTCTGCTTCTCGCCTGACCCTGCCTTTGGATTTTCCTTTAATCTGTACAGTGTTTTGGAGTTAGCCTGCTTCCTGTGCCATCTCCTGCAACTGGGCTCCAACTCCTGGTAAAAACTGTTCCATAATGACCAGATCATTACCATGGAGCCCGCGGAGATGTTGAATGTTAGGACTACCCTCACACAGCAAGTGACTCTCCTGTCCCAAACTGTAAGTGAATTGCAGCGTGGGTTTGCTGAGTTAAAGGGGAACACACACCATGCTCCTGAACCTGATATTGCATTACCTGACAAGTTCACTGGGAAAAAGACTGAACTTCAATCATTTATCACAGCCTGTGAACTGCTCTTCAATTTAAAACCATGCACATACCCCAATGATTATGTGAAGGTTCGCAATACAATTGCCCTGCTGTCGGGTAAACCCCAAACCTGGGCACACCAACTCCTGCACTCCAACAGTCCAATACTGGACTCATGGGACTCCTTTGCTGCAGCAATGCGTATATTATACCATGACACCCTGAGACCCTCTGCTGCACGCACTGCTCTCCGTTCACTCCGGCAAGGGAGAAGACCAGTGGAGGATTATACTACAGATTTTCGGGAGCTAGCTGCTGACACCGGTTATAATGAGACTGGTCTAATAGAGCAATACAGATTGGGTCTGTTTGAGGCATTAAAAGATGAACTAGCCAGAGTTGGGGTACCCACTTCATTGGAAGTTATGTTCCTTCTGGTCACCCAGCTAGATCGCCGGTTCAGAGAAAGAAAACAGGAGCAATTTGAAATCAGCCTTTTGCCCCATCAACGTTCCAAATCTGCTGGTGAGACCTATACCCCTATCCCCACCATGGACACAGAGGAACCCATGCAAATTGGAACATTGAATACCATGCTCACGATAAATGAAAAAGCCAGAAGGAGAGCCAAAGGCCTTTAAGTCTAATGTGGCAAGTGAGGCCACTACACTAGCTATTGCACGATACATCCTCCTCGCCCTAAACATAGCCATGTGGGGACTCTGTGTCACCATCCTACAAGTCCGTCATGGCCTGTTTTTTGTTCAACTCTGCATGCGACTGAACCGCAAGGACCACCTAACCAGACAAATGGCACCATCACAGCCCTGGCTAACCCTGCTCCAGAGCCTCAAAAGGAGGTTGCTGTGGCTACCTTCCAATCCTCAGCTTCTGTCTCCCCTAAAGTTTCCTGCTCTAACACAGTGGATCTGTCCCCAGACTGTGTAATTGCCTCCAATGGAACCGTGGTCCGCAGGCAAGATCTAAAGGTCTTTGAGCAGGCTCTTAAGGTCAGAGCTGCATCCCCTTCTCGAAGAATAACAATCTGCAAAATGTTCCAACCTTCTCAGATCCTGATGCCTATGCAGACCTGGATTTCCTGTCTAAACCTGAACTGGACTAGTTAACGCCATGTCTGTTCGCCCCAGGAGGTCGCTCCTTGTGGGGGGGCTCTGTCACGGCTCAGCCCGAACCCTGCAGACAGCGAGTGACTGCCCCTTTAAGAGACCTGGCTGGGTTTGAACTCCCTGCTTCAGCATCCCAGTCAGGTTCTCTGCCATGACATCCATCAGGGGGCTTCAGTTTTTGTTTGCATTCTTCTGCTTTCTGACCCCTTGCCTGGATTAAGCAGTGCTGATCCAATTAGGGTCAGCTGCACCTATTTAGCAGGCTGTAAAAGCCAGCCCAGCCTGAAACCTATGATCTGGTTATTTGGCCTGTTTGGCGTTTTCTGCCGGATCTTTGATTTGCTACTGATGGATTTCCTGGACTCTGACCTCTGCCTGTTTTACTGACTTTGTTACTCCGCTGCCAGCCCTGACTTCTGCTTCTCGCCTGACCCTGCCTTTGGATTTTCCCTTGATCTGTACTGTGTTTTGGATTTTGCCTGCTTCCTGTGCCATCTCCTGCAACTGGGCTCCAATTCCTGGTAAACTGTACCATAAGTCCCCTGGTGACTGTTACACACACATTGAAAGTGGTGCTGCTCACCCCAGATATAGAAGTGTAGACATGTTTGTATGAACCACGAGTTATTGTCCAACACCATGAAACTTTCCTGCTAATTTAACCTAGTCACAAGTGCCAGATGTAGCAGTAATTAATTCCTAAAGGAAGTGGCCCTGGTTAGTCATAGGTTAAAGGATTAAACAAGCATATGTAGTAAGATAGTGGCTACTGTACCCTGTGTAAGCAGCACTTCCACACGTGATGAACATAACGGCAAGCCACATGAGCGGCTCTAAATCACCTGACTCTGCTAGTCTGTTGGAGTGAGTTATAATATTAGAGCAAACTGGGTGAAATACCATTTTAATCACTGCAAATCTTTCTAAACAGTCATCTTTGTGATATGGCAAAGTATTTGTGCAATTTTATTCAATTTTCGAGATACATTCCCAGTTTGTGTCAAAAGAGGATAGTTCTCCTGGCACCTACAGCCTGTTCCCACGCCTGCTATACAGCTAATCAGGGGTGTCCGAACTTTTTCCAAAGAGGGCCAGATTTGATGAAGTGAACATGCGTGAGGGCCAACCATTTTGCCTGACATTCTTTAAACCATTAAAATTAAATGCAAAATATTGCAAACGGCACACTTTTCATATTCGGTCTCAAATCTCTTTACTTTTTCACCATACAGATCTCTTTATTCTGTCCTTTCTCGCTTTATTCCATCTCAAATCTCAGTATTCTGTCTCTTCTCTCTTTATTCTGTCTCAGAATCTCAGAATGCTGTCTCTTCCCTCTTTATTCTGTCCCTTCTTTCTTTATTCCGTCTCTTCTCTCTCTGAGAAGAAACGCGCCAAATCCTGTGACGTCGATAGGATCCCACGATATTCAAGAGATTGCGAGAACACAGATTAAGGGACATGCAGTCCCGCAGCGTTCAAAAGATACAGAGAATCTCTGAGTGCCGCGGGCCTGCACGTCCTCAGCGGTGCTTGGGAATTCACTGGGGGCCACATCATATAGATTTAACAAGTTACCTGTGAGGCCGGATAAAACCGGAACGCGGGCCGCAATTGGCCCGCGGGCTGGACATGACTGAGCTAATCCATGATACATTTGCCATCCAATTTTGGACACCAAGGATATGTTCAGATCACTAAGGGCTTTTACCCTAGTATTCTCTGCATATCATTGCCACACTAAGCTAGATGGGCTAATGTGGAAACTTACTTCCCTCATTCCTTGAGTGGCAGGAGTCAGGAGTGCCGTTGGCCTTTGTCAAACCATAACAAATGTTTAATACTAACCAGTGGAATAGCACCTTAATGTTGACGGTTTCTACCAAATTCACAACAATGAGCTACGCTGGTTAGGGTGTGTGAATTCAATGGAGACTTTGGAATCTGATTCAATCAGTTTTGGAGATTCTATGTGAAAATGTATTTCCAAAACACCTGGACTGAGAGAATCGGTCAAACCTGATGGATAAATTTTGCCCTGGAGATGAATTAGTTCTACACGGTCAGCCAATTGCCTCTATTGCGGGTCGACAAATACAAGGTGGGTTCTTATGCCACTTAAAATACTGGGGACACTATTCCCATTTTATCTAAATGAATTAATGCCTGGAGTCAACTTGTGTGGTCCCTGCATTCAGAAGTAAACGGTTTTCAAGCAATTTAACACAGAATAAGGGTCCCTAACCATCCTCAGCCTGCACCTACTGAAGATGTGGCTAAGGCAGAGATTAAAAACTTCCTTCTAACAATCTAGATTCATACCTCCAATGGACTCTGTGATAGGATGAAAGCAGTCACTGACACCCTTAGCCAGTCATAGCTGCCCATTGCTGATCAGGGAATTGCTTCCTTATTAACCCGAGATGAGAACTCTCGCATAGCATTAAAAACAGTTTAGCATTGAATGGAAGAATGGCGCCAGGGGACTCCACACACACTATAACCACTTCAATGAAATAAAGCGGTTTATTTGTCTACAGTGTACCTTTTGGGTGACATTATAGCCTTATTAAAAAGAGTATACCTAGAACTAAAACAAATTTAGCTTAATGAAGTGGTTTAAGTGTACAGATCATGCACCTGCAGTATCACTGATTAATTCTTTGCCATTTAGGAGTTAACTCACTTTGTCTTCTTCACATAAGGTGAGGGTTTGGTTCCCTAACTAATAAGCAGGACATTATAGTGTTTGGAAAATGTTTGTATTCCTAATGCTACCATGTTCTTTTAAAAAAACACTATGCTAAAATTATTTTATGCTTTTCATGAGGTTTGTTTACAGTTATAATACTGCACCCCTATTTATAAAACTTACATTAATTCCAGTAGCAAGACTGCAACGATAAACATTCCAACGCTCTGGATGAAGACGCTGAACATTCCCCATAGACACATTGATGCATCTCTATGCGGGTATTCTGTTTGGAGCAACACAGGGTTTTGTCTTGCATGCATAATAGCCTTCCAATGATTTCCTATGGGAAAGCATTGGATTGGCTGAGATCAACAAGTTTGATTATCTCAGCCAAGGAGACGAAGCCAACTGCAGTGAGACTGGCGTGGTGTCGTAAAAAAGGGGAGTGTTATCCCCTTTTCAAAGGGAGGCCAGGAATCCAAATAATTATTTTACCACTATAGTGTCAGCAATACATATTTGTGTTACTGACACTATAGTAATCCTTTAAGTCCTTAGAAAAATCAAAAGATATAAGGAGGAAGTGTATTTATTTCTGACAGCCCATAGTGGAGTGTTTATGGCCAAATGTAAATAGAAATAGCAATATTTGACGCCTCAAAAGGGGTAGCATCTATACTCTAAAGCACTGCAGTAACATGTAGTGATTATTATTCATTAATGTGACTGGTCAGGAAAGAACCGTGAATTTTGAGCAAATTGGAAAAATAATCCCAGTCAGAGACATTTTAGTCTAAACTTTGAATTCTCAACTATTTCCACTTTAGTGATCAACCTTGCAAAGGTGTATCCTTCGCACCAAAAATTCCCTCGGCTCAGACAATCCTGGTATTTAATTTCTCTGAGTGAATTATTGAGCATCCGCATCTCTACCAAATCACACGCATACTCAATAATCCCTCAAATAAATAAAAAATACACACGCATCCTGTCCCCTCAGAATCCCATTCAAACAAATTAGCAATAAATGAATGGATACTGCACAGCATGCCGAGCTCTGTTTGGGGACACATATTTACAGGGAAATTCATTATTGAGAGACCAGAAAGAAGAAGAACTCTCTCTTTAATTGTCTGCCCTTAATTGACTTATTTTCTTTATCAAGCATTTGGCAACATGTCGCTGACCCCTGAAAATCCTCTGAAAGGGATTTACTAGACATAGTCCAGGGATACAAGGATTAGGATGCTCCTTTAAATATCACTGATACATCTTTTATTTTTTCCCCCCAAGTTTTTGTTTTTCCAATATCTTATCTCTAACCCAGAGGTGATCAATAAAACCATCCCAGGTTCTGCTGGACTCCAACTCCCATGCCTCCTAGCCAGTCTTACAGCCAGCAGCACAGGGTGTCTGGATACACGGTTAGCAGTAGCTGTGGTCCTGCCATTTATCCAGCCCTGATTTAGCACACATTACAATATAAATCACATGTTACCAAGCAGAGCAAGGCTAACTGCTAGCAGTACAAGAAGAGAAGCATGAAGGGAGTTGTAGTTTTCAGGCTGCTCTCGCTCTTCCAGTTATTATGGCAGGAGAGATGACAGTGTGACTTACCGTGACAGCATCCACCAGGCCTTCCGCCCGCTCTCTCTCTCAGTCAGTCAGTCTCTCACACACACACGGTCATTGCTGGCCCGCACGGCTGGAGGGCGGAGAGACCCTGCGGTGTCCGAGCTCGGCGGACTGACTGACTCCACGGCGGTTAGAGAAGCGGTTTGAAAAAGGCGCGCGGGCAGCCCGGCTGCGAAGCAGAGCTGGATCCCCATAGCAACGCTTCCCATTCGATCAGGGAAACCGAAGCGCCGAGTTCTAAACACGCGAGTCCTAATCCATACCGGTTTTCAGAACTTTGGAAAGTGAAAGCTGGTCAAGCTGGCTAATGCCTCTGTCAGGACAGTGACATAACTCACAACTGTCCCCATGCTGGCCCCAGCTCCCTCTGGGCTGCTCTTCTATACTGCTGCCTCCTTTCTATAGGAGCTAAGAGTTCTTGGTGTGTCTCATGGTGTAACTAACAGAGCTCCACAGGAGGGTATAGCAGAGCTCCACATAGGGTGTAACTAACAGAGCTCCACAGGAGGGTATAGCAGAGCTCCACATAGGGTGTAACTAACGGAGCTCCACAGGAGGGTATAGCAGAGCTCCACAGAGGGTGTAACAGAGCTCCACAGGAGGGTATAACTAACAGAGCTTCACAGAGGGTGTAACAGAGCTCCCACAGAGGGTGTAACAGAGCTCCCACAGAGGGTGTAACAGAGCTCCACAGCAATGATATTCACAGTAAAGTGTCCCCAGCCCTTCATCACAGTTATAGAATGTAAGCTCAATTGAGCAGGGTCCTCTTCAACCTATCGTTTCCGTAAGTTTTTTTGTAATTGTCCTATTTATAGTTAAATCCCCCCCCCCTCATAATATTGTAAAGCGCTACGGAATCTGTTGGTGCTATATAAATGGCAATAATAATAATAGTTCGCCGGGGGCCTCCTGGCACCATAACAATTGTTATGTTATTATTATGGTGCCTAGACTGTCCCTTTTATCAAAGGACCACTGTAGGCACCCAGACCACTTCAGCTTAATGAAGTGGTCTGGGTGCCAGGTCCAGCTAGGGTTAACCCCTTTTTTCTATAAACATAGCAATTTCAGAGAAACTGCTATGTTTACATTAGGGTTAATCCAGCCTCTAGTGGCTGTCTCATTGACACAGTGAGAAGACGCCAGCATCCATAGGAAAGCATTGAGAATGCTTTCCTATGGACTGGCTGAATGCGTGTGGCTCTTGCCGCACATTCAGCCGAGGCGGAGGAGAGCTCCCCGTCCGACGCTGGAGAAAGAGGTAAGTTTAACCCCTTCCTTCCCTAGAGCCCAGCGGGTGGGGGCACCCTCAGGGCACTATAGTGTCAGGAAAACGAGTGTTTTCCTGGCACTATAGTGGTCCTTTAATGGCTGCACACTAATACCATTTAGGATAGGCCTAAAAAATGTACCTTGTTGAGACCCAACTCAAAACTAGGATCCATGGATGTCTGTGAAGGGAATTTCTAGGCAAAATTAGCAGAAGTTGAAAACTTCAGTTTAGTTTTTTTTTTCTTTTCAGCTTGGCTGCTTTGCTCTAACATTCATGATTTTCTCCTCACAAATCACACTTTAGTAAATAAACCAGGAGCAGCTGTGGAGAAGTGACACATTTTGCTTAGCAATCCCTCAGTTTTGTGAATAACCATCCCTATGAGCATTTTTGGAATGTATACAGATATATTGTGAAGTAATTGATTCACCTTAAAAATATTATCATGCCTTTGAGCTACATAAGCGAAGACACCCCAGTACAATTCAAAGATTGATACTATGAAAACGTCTATGCAGATCCTTACTGAATTAGAAAATTGGTACTTTTAGCTACCCCAGACAGGATTAGTTGTTAAAATGTGAAATTGTTTATTGATCTTTATTTAAATAAAAAAATAAATAAAATTTAAAATCATTAATCTAACAAATAACAAAAACAAACAACAAATGGTAAAATTACATGACTTGTCTCAGAACATATAAGCAAATATAACCAAGTTCATACCCTTAGACTTATTATCTGGAAGTAAATTACAAGATTTAAAAAGGAAACTATTTCATCTCAGGTTTTAATATTTAAACAAATAGTCATTGGGTACACGTTTCATTCAGTTGGTAAGTACCATTTTATCATAAACATTTATTGACGTCACTTTATCCTATATGGAAGAGACATTGAAATAGTAATGTCCCCCTTTCATGCTTTTGTCTTCCAGAAGATATGAATCTTCTGTCATGATGAATGATGTAGAGCAGGTGTAAGCAACCTTCGGCACACCTGATGTTGAGGACTACAGAATAGTTCTACAGCCATAATGGAAAAGCATCAGGAAAATGTAGCTCATAACATCTGGAGTGCCAAAGGTAGCCTACCCCTGGTGCAGAGCAATGAGGCATTATACATTTTGCTAAAAAAAAAAAGAAAACATTTGATGTAAACACTCTCTCATACCACCATCCTTGGCTATTTCCAGTACAAAATAAATAAATTCTTATTGGACACGTGCAAGTGCATAATACATTGCACATTTTTCCAAGCCAGACTCCACTGCATACTGAATATCTATTTGTTACTGCGGTAGAAGCCACTTTTTTAACCTGTCCTATTTAACACTAAAAAGCAAACCCCTGGCTACTGATGAAGACTTATTGTGGGTTCGGTATCTGTATACATTTTGTAAGCACAACATTAGTTGAGATTCTGCCATGTAAATAGAAAGCACTGGCAAAAACCAAAACACATTAACTTGTTCTTCTTACAGGCACATCAAATATTTTATATCTGTTAACCATTTAGAAAAAAAAATGAGAAAAGGAGCAATCATAAAAAAGTAAGTTGTATTTACATTTCACATACTAATTAACATGAATAGCTTCTTGAAAATTATTGAATTGTGCCATTTGAAATACAGTAGGGTACATTAAAGGGGAAGGAGATTGGGCTTAAAGGAGCACTATAGGGTCAGGAACACAAACATGTATTCCTGACCCTATAGTGTTAAAACCACTATCTAGCCCCCTTGGCCTCCCTAAAGATAGTAAAATATTACTTGTATTCAAGTCTGAAGCTGCTGCCTCTGAACTTCCTCTGACATCAGAAGTGGTGGTCTGATCCAATCACAATGCTTCCCCATAGGATTGGCTAAGACTGACAAAGAGGCAGATCAGGGGCAGAGCCAGCACAATTCAAACACAGCCAATCAGCATCTCCTCATAGAGATGAATTGAATCAATGAATCTCTATGAGGAAAGTTCAGTGTCTGCATGGAGGAGATACTGAATGTTTGGATGCATTTTAGGCAGCCATGACCCAGGAAAGATCTCTAACAGCCATCTGAGGAGTGGTCAGTGAAGTTATCTCTAGGCTGTAATGTAAACACTGCATTTTCTCTGAAAAGACAGTGACTACAGCAAAAAGCCTGAAGGTAATGATTCTACTCACCAGAAAAAAATTAAATAAGCTGTAGTTGTTCTGGTGACTATAGTGTCCCTTTAATTTTATCACAAGCAGTTTACATTATCCAAAACCAGGAAGAATGTATCCATATAGCAACTGTCTCTCAAGACATGCAGCTCAACACAAACTGGGATATCTATTTTAGCTGCTATAATTGTGTACTTGTACTTCTTGGAGGAACAATCCAAGCACCATAACAACTGCAGATGGCTTAGTGATTATGTTGCCAAGAGTACCCTGGTACATCCAATGGTATATAGTCAAACCATGGATTGACATCTTACCTGGTCTCACTGGACGCCTGCAGCCCCTGCTTCGAGGAGAATCTGGTTAGTGCTACAGGGCCACAGAAGATCGCACTCATTAGGAGCTAGGAGTTTTATCATGGTATGCAGAGTTTGATTTAACCCGTAGTCCAGGCATATAAAACTGTGACCCCCAATGTTGCTGAACTACAATTCCCATAATACTCTTGCAAGCTACAGCATCATTGAAATAACTCAGGTGGTGTGAGCTGAGTTTGAGATCTCTACCATAAACCCACCCCCAGCTATTCTTTTGTTCATATGGTTGTGAACAGAGTATTTACAACGTTCACCCAAGCAACTGATGTGCATGCATACAGCTCAGTCTCTCTCCAGAATTTGAGGTGGGAGAGATATGCATTACTGTGCTAGCCCATCTTACACACATAACTTGGACAGCAAAAGAGGAACTCAAATTATTTTTGACCAATGAAGTGAGCATATGTTATTATGATGCTTAGCACTTCTCTTCAATACATACTTTAAACAGACATTAAAACATATTTAATTTAGCCTACCTTTTAACTGCCCCTCCACCTCCAGAGCTTTGGGCAACAAATAATGAAAGCAATGTGTAAACTGATTTCCTAATAATCACTGTCCCAGTTTGCAGAGCCTGACAGCAACATCTCCTTTATTTTTAAATCTACCGCCCACTTCCCATGCAGATCCAGTCACATGGTCTGCTGATCTCAGTTCCTCCTGCTGCTCCCCAACTCCACGTGGATAGATACCCACTGCACAGGCCAGTCAGCTGTTTCCGGGTCACAGGTCACGCTACCTCCCATCATGGCAGCCTCCATGTGCGACGTGTTCGCCTTTTGTCTCATGCCAGAAGAAGCCCGGAGGGTGGCTGAGATCCGCTTCATCAACAGTGGCAAGGTACTGGTGTGAAGCCAGGCAGGGAGAGGACAGATCTGGGGAGAGAAATTCATTTTGTAATTTGGAATAGGGGCTCTGCAGACACACACAGACACATGTCTGTGCATATACAGTCTGCGAACAAAGGGATCCAGCCCACCCTGTGTGCATGCTGTCTGTGGTGACAGGCTGGTTATATATTAACACATACACGTAAGGGGACATGTGGACTTTCTAACCAGGATTGCTACTCTAGGCCACTGCTTTCCTGCAAGTTTATCCATGTCAATTATACTGTTACTGCTTAAACTATTAAATAAACGACATCTGATTGTGTGCAAATGTGATAGTGACAGAAAAATAAAATAAAAATCCCCACTCACGAATGTAGGACAATTGTATGACATACTTTAAAAGGGAGGTTTCCCCTGAAATTGTGCTGAGCTGTCATTGTCAGCAAATTATATGAGCTCCTACTGTGTGCATGGTTTTGCCAATCTCTTTTCGTGCCTGTTCTTTTTTTTTTTTTTGACGTTTTTATTACAAAAGCAAATTGCACGCTTTAGATTTAAAATAACCAAAAAGTTGGGTATTATTACATTTTGCTCTAGTGTGACCTAAAATGAATTCCCTTACTAATTCAACCCATTCTTTTTTTTTTTTTTTTTTGCAAATATTATATACAGTGTAAAATTAGTGTAGTTGTTACATCTCAGTACATACCGTACTTGAAAAAAAGAGAAATCTTATTTTGCAGGAAACATATAAAATAGTTATAGATGTGTGCCATTTTAAAGAATTCCTCCCATTCTGTATCTGGTAAGGTCTGAAGAAATACATCCACTGTCACACAAGTGACGTTTTTACTGAGCAAGAAATTGTATCATGTTGACAAGATCATTCAAAATGTTAGGCATTGCTACATGCCTTTAATCCTGTTTCAAGCTCTATTTTGGCTAAACATTTGCAATTCCCTTTTCAATTCTCCAAGATTCCACTTTTAGCAAATAAATTCCCAAATTGTCTAGCTAAAATACAGTATTTCTCCCTGTTGATGTTTCCTTTTGGGTGGAGAAAAGGGCATAGCCTCTACATCCACCTAACCTCCAGGGCTTTTGGAAATGTTATCTCTCTCACTGTTTATGTATGAGACCTGTGCATATTATGCCAAGAGCTTGTATTGGTTTATTTGCCAAGTAATCATCTTGTCTATATTTTGCATTTTACAATGTTCTTGGTATCATTAAAAACAAAAACAGGTGACCGTAATTTGAACATTGACAGGAACACTCTAACGTTACAGTTAACATATTTATTTTTACCTTAAGAGTGTTCCATTAACATATGATTTGCTGCCATCTCGAGCTGTGTGCCACAAACAAACAAGTTTTTGCAAAATACATAGCTGGACGCTGTCATTTTTCTTATCCAGGGAAAGGGTCTGTTTGCCACCCGGTCTATAAGGAAAGGGGAAACTATATTCCGTGAGAAACCACTAGTCTCCTCTCAGTTCCAATGGAATGCCCTGTACAGGTATAGAGGTAAGATCTCCAACTCTTTCCATACATATGCTAATGGGTAAAGGGTGATTTGAAGCATCTGACTCCAGTGCATATACGTAGTTTGGCAGGAGATCACTTGTATTACCTGCAGAGCTCCATGCCAATCTTGGAGCTTTAATAAATGTTTTAATGATGTTTTGGCCTGTATGTTGCCCAGTAAAATATATGGTATGTGCTTGATGATTGCTTTTACTGGGTTGCTGTATATACGGGAAAAGTTCCTGAGTGAGCTTTTTTAGCAGGATAACTCCCTTGGTTTTTAAAGAATTTTGTAAAAAATGTATTCACAGCTTGTGATCACTGTTTGCGTTCACTGGAGACGGCAGAGGAAAATGCGCAAAGACTTTCTGGAAACGTCAATATAATCCTCCCATACCCTGAACTCTGCACTATTCAGAATGGACTGCACCAGCAATGTCCACGATGCCGGGTCAGGATTACGTGTATTATATGCAGTTTATATAGAACTTTAATGGAACACTATTTTGAATTTCTTTTTTTTATTATTTTGTTTTCATGTTTACTAGATATACCCCCAAAATAAAACTTGCATGTATCTTTTGGAGGTATATGAAAAAGCTTGCAAAGCTGCAGACTTGCTGTCTGCAGCCTTTGCAAGCCATCCGCTCTTTCCCCCACTTAGACTTTTAGTTTGTGCTGTCAAATACACCAATCAGAGGCTTTATATTGAGATGCATCTGTTCTGGAGCTGCACAGCTTTCCCGTGCTTCTCAATCTGTATTACAGCTAATTTAGAATGGGGGTAGGGGAGGGAGAGGCAGGATCGTTCTAGCCCAGTACACCTGCCAACTTCATTAACTTTGTGGTACTTGCAGAAGAAGAAAAAAACCTCTCTGGCTTTCTTAGTGACATCCAGGGAGGTGTTTCTGCCCCCAGTTATAAAAGTGCTGTTTTCTATTTAAATTGGCAATCTTATAAACAGTTGAAAAAGTGGCAGACCCCAGACACACAAAGCACATTGCAAATTGCAGTGCTTTACGTATGTTAGAGCGTCAGCAAATTGCAGTGCTTTACGTATGTTAGAGCGTTCCTTTAAAGGGGAAATACATTTTTTCCATACCTTTTTTTTTAAGTGGTGTTAATTTGTAAAAAAAAAATAAGTAACTGCCATCATATATCCTTATGCCTCATAAATATATTTTTAAGCACAATTAGGCCAAACCTTTCAGAGTGCACTATTTTACTAGCTGTACAGTTTACGGATGATATTGGAGTTTATTTAGTTAAGTGCCATTAGAGCTGAGGAACTAGCTATGCCTCCGGTTTAACACTTGCTTTCTTCCTGCACAGGTCTCATACTGTAGTGCTGAATGCCTTAAAGCTGCAGCAGAGCATTATCACCAGGTTCTGTGTCTTGGGCCTTCTAGAGATAACCCTTCACACCCTCTGAACAAGCTTGAAGAGGCCTGGCGGTAGGTTGCAGTCTCTGTTTCCTTAGCACTAAACCCCAAATCTCTATTTCTGAGTGCCAAAAAGTGTAAGCACAACTGGGAATAAAGTGACAAGATTCTGTTTTATCATGACACGTGTCATCTTTCAGTTACAATATCCCTATATGGAGTTTCTGGATCATGGCCAATCATTCTGTACCTGATCTGTATCTAGGTTTATGCTCACTTATGATGGCATTGTACATCTTTTAGCATTTAGCACAGTATTCAAGCAAGAATATTTCGTTATTGATTTCTTCTCATTCTCCCCTAGAAATATACATTATCCTCCTGAGACTGCCAGTATCATGCTGATGGCTCGGATGGTGGCCACCATCAAGCAGGTATGTCCTTCTCCTCTGATCATGTGCATGGTTTGTTGATTTTCTTTCTGTGTGAGTCTAGATGGAAAGACATATTTGTGGTTAATGGTTATGTAGCGATGTTAGAATGTTGATCCGTTTCTTTTAAAATAAGATGTGATTCGCTGTCCAGAAATGTTCAGAGCTGTGCTTTAGGGACAGGACAAAGGAACATTTAAGGACAATACAGAGCCTGTTCAGATTTACATCCAAACATGCATCTGTAAAGCTAAATGAAAATAGTAACTAAGTGGAGCAGCATTCACTAAGAAGTTTGGAATGACATAAATAGTTAAAAGAAAATACAGACACTGAGCATTAACAATTAATTATGTACAGCTATATTTTCGTTAAAATAACAGGCTAAGGACAAAGATTGGTGGCTGCACCTTTTCTCTCAGTTCTGCAACAAGACAGCCAATGAAGAGGAGGAAATTGTCCATAAGTTACTTGGGGACAAGTTTAAGGTAATTTTCCTAAAAACAAATACTTCATTATATCAAAACCCAATCCCCAGTTATAAATGTGCTTTTTTTTTTTTTTTTTTTGGAAAGAGAACATCTTAATATCATGTGTATATTGGAGCATTAAAGGGTCACTCCAATCACCATTACAAAATTGCAAAGCTAATGTTGCACAATGTAGACTGGGGCTACTCTTTGCTTAAGAATGGCTTGGAACTGCAGCATTTTGTAAAAAATCATTGCAGCTCTAAGACAGCTCTCTTAGTTGTCAGTAAGTCAGCCATGATGATTAGTTTGTAAACACCTTTATTGCCAGGAGAGAACTGAGCCTCACTACATGCATTTACATAATGAACTGGGCTGTCTATAATCTAAAACTTTTCCTATAAACCTTTGCTGGTCAGAAGTTAACGTGGATAGGAGTATTATTATTATTTATTATTATTATATATAGCGCCAACTAATTCTGCAGAGCTTTACAAAATTATGAAAAGGGGGGAGGAATTTACAGTACATGAGACAATTACACAGTGATACAGAAACAATAGGTAGATGAGGACCCTGCTGAAACAAGCTTACAGTCTAGATAGAGACCCCATAGACAAGAATGAGACACGCCTGATTGGTTTCTCTTCCTGGTGAGTGATGGTTCTGCACGCAGCTACAGAGAGACCCAGTAAGCAGTGTTTCTGAAGAATAATTTAAAGTTATGCATGTTTCCAAAATTTATTTATTTTTCATTACTTTTTAATGCTTTAATAAGACTCTCTATTTTAATGTGACTGGAACTAATGACAACTCTGTTTGTGGCACATCCTTTGGTATGTGGAACCTTCCTGGTAACTAAATGAGTTTGTATAATCTTTTTCTACCTCTCAGGGTCAGCTGGAACAGCTCAGGAAGTTATTTATGGAAGCCCTGTATGATGAGCGAGTGAGCCGGGTAAGTCCAGCATGGCAGTCTGAGAGCAGAGGAATCGTGCTATGTGGCAATATGGCTTACAATTATCTGGCCTACTAACATAAATTGGAGTTCACCTGTTCAGGCACTTATTGTGTGGTTTATTTACTAAATGGTGAAATGTGGTGAATTGAAACCTTTATCCGTTTGCAATAACCGGTTTGTTTACTTTTACAGCTGGTAACTGAGAATATGATGGTATTTAACATGGCATTCACTCTTCCTGTTTCTTACACAGTGGTTCACCCCTGAAGGCTTCCGGTCTTTGTTTGCTTTGGTTGGAACCAATGGACAGGGAATAGGCACAAGGCAAGAAAACACAGATCTTTTGTAGACAATGCAATACTTTCATAATGATGATATAACATAACATAATTGGTTTCATTGAATACACTCACTTGTGTGTTTTTTAATCATAACTAAATTTGTTTCCTGTTGCCAGTGTACAATATATTTTGTTTTGTTTAGTATAATGTTCATATTCAGCATTAAAGGAATAATCTACGCACCTAAACAACTTTAGCTTAATAAAGCAGTTTTGGTGTATAGCTCATGCCCCTGCAGTCTCACTGCTGAATTCATTGCCATTTAGGAAGTGAATTACATCTGTTTCAATTTGCATCACACAACAGGTCCTGTTACTTCCTGGTTTGGTGAGCTTAGTGCAGCTAAACTCAAGAGGCAGTACCTGCCTTGCAAAGACTTTTCATTGAGCTGCATTATTAAGCCTGTGATTGGACAGCCACAGAAAGTCTGGACTGAGGAAGAAGGGGAGGGCTTGCAAATGCTGCAGAAATGAAATCTTAAGCTCTTGCAAGCTATGTTTTGATATACCCTTAAGGGAAAATTTAATAATGCAGTTTTGTTTTCATTATGGGTATATCTACTAATCAGTGATTTTTATTTTGTATTTTGACAGTAGATTGTCCCTTTCAAATGCTATGCTGTATGTGATACACATACACAAGTTTGGTTGGTCTTGCAAACAAATTGCAGACATTTTGGAAGATTGTTAACTATTTTGCCTGTTACCATGTAAACGCATGTTAACTTAGAGTCCTGGGCCCTTGCCATTCTATCCCCTTTCAATATTTTTGATAATGCTGAACACTAACTGGATAACTGTAGCCACAAGAAATGCTAGATCATAATTTTAGAATTACAATAGTAAAAGGTACCTAAATGATGCTTCACACTAAATGTATCATGTAGTGGAAACAGCCCAAACTCCCATCCCATATGCATAGAATGTCTCCTATATTTCTCAAGGTTTTGGCCACATGTTTGAGTAACTTCTTGTATTCTGCCCCCTTTTCTTTAATACTCTTGGTACTTTTTCTGTTGGCTCTGGATGATCAGACCATATACTTCCTTGCAGTTCCTTGAGTCAGTGGGTTCATGCCTGTGATGCGCTCGACCTACCAGCTAAGGAGAGGGAACAGCTGGACACCGTTATAGACCAACTCTACAAAGATATTGAAAAAGGTCAGTGCTGGTGCACTAGAATAGATAGTCAGGACAGCTAGCTTAAAAAAACTAACAAAACAAAAAAAGCACTCTACGCAATTCACTCAGAATTTTTTTAAGTAAAGACATTTTGCAGCTACAAAAAACAATGTGAATGTATTTTTATCTTTACATTTTATGCCAGGAGTTCTTGGTATAGTCAAAGCTTGCCAAGCAAATATATTTAACCCACACATGTGGGCATGCTACACATTTAGAGAATGCATTTCTGTGCACCCAGAGCATCATGGAGTGACTATATCACCTCTGGCACAAGAGTGCTGAGGGGTTAAGTGGGTCTTTGACTGCTCTGCACAGTTCGCACCAATACATTCTTCAAGATTGTCTCTACAAAATTGGACTGACCCACTATCTTGTCTTACAAAAACACTATGAGCTCTGGAATTGCAGTTCCAAAATCTGTATTGTATTTGAAGAAACAAATTGCATGTTTACTTCCTATGCAGGATTCCTAATGATTGATGTTATTAAAAGTAGTATATACAATTATATTGTAGTATATATAATTGACAAACCTGTACAATGTACATACATATCCTTGAAATACCTGCCACTACACATTTACACTTTGGAGCCAAAGGAGAGGATGGAGAGGATGGATCTTGTCTAGACACATAGCCAGTTTCTAGGTAAATGCCATGTGCCTGCTGCAGTCTTGTGAACCACAATAACTAAAATGTCCTGCTGTTGCCTTTGCTGAGTTTTATTTACCATAGGTTCATGTCTTTCCTTTGTAGAGACGGGTGAATTTCTAAATTGCGAAGGATCTGGACTGTACATGCTGCAAAGTTGCTGTAAGTCGGTGCTATGTGGTGTGGTGTAATATACAACAAACACTTTTATCTGATCATCTTAATTGTTACAGTTCCTTATGATGAAAGGGGTATATATGAAAATAAATTACGATGATTATAATATGCTGCTAATTGTGTCTATATCAGTAATTTTTCATACATATACAAGCTTTTGCAGAAACAAAGAGATTAATGAGATATGAAGTGTAGGGGAACTGCAATACCGGCCATCGGTATCTCCGCCGAATCCTCTTGAAGCTGGAACAAGCGCTGTTAGTGAATAACTCTATTCCATCCAGTAACTAGATGACAGATAGTTCTGGGAGTATAACTAATTTTATTTTCCACAGGCGTGATCTTTTATACACAGACCCCCAGCATGTGGTGTCCATTCACACACCGATAAGCCCGTTCAGGCGCCTCTGTGTCTGGGAGATAGTTCAGCCAGATAGCGGTTAAACTAATTCTCTCCTGAACACAGAAGGTGTTGCATACAAATTATCCCAAAACACAATTAAAAACAAGCAGAAACCCCAACATGCTACATATCCCCAGATAGCGCTGATCAGAGTACCCAAGATGGTAAAATAGTGCTCAGATCCATGGTGTGTAGACCACCGGGGTAAGGTTTTGACCTGCCACTACCAAAGTTCAGTCAGAAAATTGTTCCAGGGGAAATGTACTTGCAGCCAGTCAAATGTCGGAAGCTCCTGCAGGCACATGAAAGAGGGCTCCCCCTGGCTCTCAGGGAGTGATTGGTCACATTAGTCTATAGTACCTTCCCTCCAAATAGCTCTCTCCTGGAAGGTTTGGAAGTGGGGAAAAAAGAGGGGTTAAAAGTGACCGGAAACTCGAGGGTGAAGTGTTCAAAAATAGTTCCAGGCAGTTGGCAGCTAAGTGCAACTGAGGACCATTTTGCTGATTTGTGGCCGGATGACTACCAGGTTAGAGCATTCGGTAGTTGGGAAGGTACGGAGCCAGGGTTATTATAGTTAATTCAGGGAAAAAGTAGGCGAATAGGACCGGGTCTGCCACATGAAGATAATTCACAATACCATTTGTATTGTACTAATCACTGCACTAATCTGCCATTTTTGTAAATTGTGTTTGGAGTGCCCTTTTTAGTTGAAACTATTTATATTTTAGCAGTTTTATTTATAAAGCAGTTGAACTGACAAACCATTAATTAATGGTCAATTAAATAACAGTCTAAGCATCAAAACTTATTTAATAACCTGCAGGAGGTGTATGTGTGTGTGTGTGTGTGTGTGTTAGTTAAAAGTTTAACATAGTGGAATAATAAAACTAAAGTGAACACACTGTGCTGTCAGATCTGCTTTAAAATGAAAAAAATAATAACTTCAAGTTGGCAGTGTAAGTCACAGCCGGGGGAGATGTGGCTAGGGCTGCATAAACTGCAGAATTTGTTTTGAATTATTATTTATAAAGCGTGAACAAGTTCTGTAGCACTGTACAATGGGTGGACTAACAGACATGTATTTGTAACCAGACGAGTTGGACGCACAGGAACAGAGGGATTGAGGGCTCTGGTCAATGAGCTTATGTGCTAGAGGGCGTGGGGTATAGTGACACAAAAGATAAGGGTAGGGTAGAAAAGTAGGTTGCTAGGATAGTGTTCACTGAGGGCTTAGTGTTTTGATTACAGTTGCAGGAGAGGAATCAGGGGGCGGGGAGGGAAAGAAAAAAGTATGGGTGAACATCTAACAGAGGGGAAGGGCGTTTTCTATGAACGGTGCAGCCCTAGAGAAGCCTTTAAGGCATGCATCAGGGGGTAGGAGTACGAACAGAGGTTAAACGTTGGTTCACCGGCAGAGCGTAGGGGCCTAGATGGGACTCCTAAATTGCAGAGAATTGAGCAGTGAGACTTGAGCCATTATCTATACACTAAAACTGCTTCATTAAACTAAAATTGTTTTGGTTCCTAGAATAACCCTCTAAGAGTATTATCTCTTCAAAGATGTGCATGAATGGGAGAAAATAGAAATGAATAAATTGTAGCGTTTATGTACAATCATGAAGTGCTTTATTGGCAAATTAGATTAGTGTTTCCTGTAATGCAGCAGCTAAAATATCTCCAGGTTGTAGCTTCACTCTACCTGCATGGGCCCTTAAAACACTTACCACAGAGAAGCCTTCCTAGAAGCTGGACACGTGTGTGGCAACTGCCACACTGTGCCTGCAATGCTTCTCATGAGTAGCACTCACATCCAGAATTTCAGTATGTAATTAAGTTAAACCAAAGGGGAAAAAAAGAGAACATCCAAATCAAATAGTGTGCCTTAAGATTTAGATTTTTATAGCTTTCAAATAGCAAAAAGAAAAATATCCATCAGTTTATAAACCGATTGCTATTTTGTCTGGATCCAACATTCTTTTATCTTTAATTCAAAACTTTATCCTAATGCCGTACCCAATGTCTGTCCATACAGATACGTTCTCTTGCTCTGAATCTCTAATCCTAAACTTCATGCTGCCAACCCACATACGTTAAAATCACTATCCTGTGTCTAACTCCATTAATTCATAACAATAATCTGTTTTGTTCTTCTCTGTTTGGCTCGTTACTGATTAGCTGTATTAGTCATGTTCCTTTCGGTGTGTGTTTGTTTTTTTTTTTGTTTTTTTATGCCAGTAAGTTTTGTTTATTTATGTGCTTCCATAGGTAACCACAGCTGTTTGCCAAATGCTGAGGCTTCTTTCCCAGACAATAATTTTCTCCTTCACCTCAATGCATTGGAGGACATCAAGCCTGGGGAGGTAGGTACCACGGAGAGGAACGAACTTCCTTAAAATATATGATATTATACTCTATAACTTATTCCAGAAACAAATTCCTGCACTTTACAAGTTTACACATCCAAAAACTTCATCTATAATAAAATAACCTGTTTGTCATTGCCATTGGTACAACCTTTTTCTATTTTTACATACATGATACATACAAGGCATTTGGCTGCAGCTCGGTGGGAGTTAGCACACATTCCATAAATACCTTTTTGTTCTCCCAGGAAATTTGCATTAGTTACCTTGACTGCTGCCAGAGGGATCGAAGCCGCCACAGTCGACACAAGATACTCAGGTAAACTAGCACTTATGGGAATGTGTACAAACACATTGGTGTGTAATATAATAGTAATATCAAGGACTGAAATTTCCAGCACTGTGCTGTTAGCCAGGCCTTAAAAGTTACATTTGAGGCTAGAGGATTCATGGCGGACTCCTCGGGTGGATTTCTTCTAGCTCTCCAAAGGCTAGTGGAAATTTTTATAATATTTTATGATTATATAATGCATGCTAAAAACTGAAAAGTTAAAATAAAATAATATACGGATAATAAAATAGTGTAATAGTTATAGTATTGTATAGATCTAATGTAATAGTACGATACAAAATAGTATAAGGGAGAATATTTAATTGAGATAAAATGCCTTAAATTGAAATTCCAATGCAATTAAATGATATACCAAAGTAAGGGACTACTTTGTCTTATGTACAAACCTGAAGTTGGAAAAAAAGCCGAGCTTATGATGACAAGTTTTGTCAGTTCCCAAAACCATTGCCAGACATGGTTGAGGGAAACAGTCATTTAGAGTTGGTCTATGGATGGTCCCATGATCCTTATACTTGTTCATGAGAGGCCTTTTAGTAAAAACTTTCTACGGTTTCCTTTTGTAGGGAAAATTACTTGTTCGTCTGCTCCTGCCCAAAGTGCCTGTCACAAGCAGAAGACCCAGACTTGACATCTGAGGAGGAGGAAGACGACGCGGACCTGGATGGAGAGACTGATGATGCTGAACTTGAGGATGAGATGACGGACGTGTAATAAGTTGAAATGATTTCACATTGCTCCACATGTGCCAGCGTTTGTTATCCTTTTAGAAAGAAAGAAAAAAAAAAATATCCGATAACAGTTGTCCAATAATCAGGAGACACCTCCATCATGCTTGGAACATTAAAAGCTATGGCTGATTTTGCCTACTTCCTCAAGAAGACTTTTCTCCTTGCAATTGTCCGCACGGTACTTGGGAATGTTTTGATAAAGGTCGAAACACAATGCCAATTGATACCCACTACACTGGTTTGCATGTAACCACCCATAATCCTTGTTAGCTGCCTAATTATGAAACAGATTTGTGCACCCATAGGGAAAATGTTAGGGTTATTTTGTTGCAAATCTGTAGTATTATAGATTATTAGAAATGTCCCTGGCATGACCACTTATTTATATACGTAATTCTGGCTGTATAAAGGATTCACATAACATCCATTCAAACTCAAGGTTGTTGGTTTTTTATGAACTCCAGGAATTTGCCATCCCTTGTTCAATGCAGAGTTTCTGAAATGTCCTTTTCACTTTTAATAATTGAAGGAAAAAAAAGTTGTCTCTTGGTCTCTTATTATTTTACCCTTTAATTTCTGTTTGAAATGTGTGATTTGTCAGAGGCTGGGAGACTACATTTACAATTCGTTCATCTGTGAAGTCACCACTATTGCAAGTGATCTAAAGCTCCAGTTAAGGTAACCGACCTGTATAAATGCTCCTGACTTTGCCCCTAGTCACACTTGGACATAATGTCATCTTGCCCTCTTCTCCATTTTGTAACATTCTGTCCTCAGACCTGATTTCCTCTTATGAAATCAAATTCCAGACTACCAGGTTACCTACTGGCTAGTGTTTCCTAGTAAAGGAGATGCTTGCCATTGAACGTGAGAGTTTGCTTTTTTTCTGCTCATCCTTTTAGGATCCAAGGTGAATAACAGGCATAGGCAGTGGATTTTAGAATTCCTCCAGTTTATTATTTTTTATTTTTTTATATACATTTCCCCCCCCCCCCCCCCCAGTATTTTCAAATTGGCAAAATTAGATGCGATAACAAAATGTGCTAGGGCATGGACAAGATGAATAGGTAGTACAGAAATATATAACATCAGGTGTCGCAGAACGCGTGTAGTTTACAGTAAACAATTCAAGTGCATACATGTTGTTTTAATATGTGTACATTTGGTACATCTTGTATAACTGAGTAGTCTACCCCATTCATCACCTTTGGTTGTTTGCCAATATATTTTAACTTTTAGACCTAAAGTATATGTAAATTGTCAAAACCAGGACAAGGCACGCTTGGACATGGCACACTACGATGGGCTAATGATGCAATCAAGGATATGGGGTGCTGCACCTGGCGTCCCATGTGGGCACACCGTGTCTCAAGTTCTCAGATTCTTACTTGGGGCTTCGTTGGCCTGCATACCTAGTGTTACCCGTAGAAGATAGCAAAGAAAAGGTCAGCAACCTGGGGGGAGGAGAAACCCCGAGACTAGCAGAAAGGGAGTGAGTGTAAAAGAGACAGGAAAAAAAGGGAGGGGAGAGAGGCAGGGGCCGGGTGCATCATGAACGAAGGGATTGACTTGGTGACGCCCTCTTAAACAATTATCTATATAAACTCATTTTTATAAATAATTATATAATGCAAAGCTTCTATGTAAAATAGTTTTTTCCTTATTTCAGTTTGCTGTATGTACAGTGATGTATGCACCCCATACACACATTAATACACATACATATAAATCCACAGATCATATCTCATACATAGACGTGCACATTCACATACAGACACACACTGTCACATACAGAGGCATATATCAATATACACAGTCACATACATACATACCGGGTTATTTATAAAAATGAGAATTGTCAGGAATTCAAAGTGGATTTCACAATGGATGACACAATAGTCAAACTGGAAGCATTGTATTCCTGACAATTATTTTAGTGAAAAACCTCACAATCAGACACACATCAACATGGACACAGACACACCAAAACACAGTCACAGACACACGCATTAACACAATTACAAACATTCATAAAAAAAACAGAGGCACATACATTAAAAGACACATTACACACTCAGTCACATAGACATAGGCTTATGTATAGCAGGTTGGTTGGTAGGTTATTTGAATTGGTGTTCAGGTGTGTTATGTGACAGGGTAGGTAGGTAGTTACTCAGCAGAGTATTGCTGGTGTAACACAACCTCCACTCAGCAGCTCCTTTGCCAGCTACATACGGGGGGGAGTTTCTAGGGTTGGGTGGTTTTCAAGGCTGCTTTCTAAAGCAGCTACTCACTCTCCTGAGTCCTACGTTGATCCAAGCTGTAACACTCTTCCCTGCAGCGCCCCCCTCATTCTAGTGTTTGGTCACAAATGTCCCCTCACATTACCCCGGTGGTCCAGTGGTATCCTATATCTGTTCTCTGGCAGTCCGGTGGTGAATAGCAGGAAGCGCATGTCCTGTTTCAGATCATAATGCCCACTCCTTCACGGCACTCCTATGTTGTCAGAGCGCAGGCTGAGAATCTCTGAGCCTGTTTTCAGACTCGCTAACTAAGCGCCAGAACCATCCAAAGGCTGGTCCTGCTGACAGACACACTGGCACTCACTCTCAATGACACACACATAAACCCTGACACACACACTCACTGACAGACAACCACTCACTTGACAGACACACATTCACTGACATATACCCAAACACATTTACTGACAGACACACACCGAGTCACACTGGCAGACACACTCACTGACATACATTTACTGACACACACACACACACACACACTGACAGATAAATTTACTGACAAAAACACACACTTACTGACATACACTCACTGACATACCTACACACACTTACTGACATACATACACAAGGTTCAGGATCCTCTGGAGGGGGAGACCAAATGCACGTGCGTGGTTATAGCCGTACTCTAATTAGTACTTCCCCCCCCCATAGGAAAGCATGTATAATTTATTCCTAAGGGATTTTACATGACTTTGCATGTCCTTATGCATAGTGTGAGGACATCCAGTGTCAGGCAACCAAAAGTCGCATAACGACCGGAAGTCCCTCTAGTGAGTTAATCTTCAAATGTTTGCAATGATTACCTTTGCAGGGTTAAGCGACTTGGGACACTGCACCCAGACCACTAGAGTGAGCTGAAGTGGTTTGGGTGCTTATAATCTTTAAGGTTGCAGTTCGCCGGCCCCTCTTTCTGTGGAGTTAAAAGGTCACATTTGTAACTAATCCAGCCAATTCAATGCTTTCCCATAGGAAAGCGTTGTGAGGCTATTGCGCATGCACATCTGCACCAATCAACATCTCCTCCTAGAGATGTATTGAATCAATGCATCTATATGGGGAGCGTTGGAAACATTACACATGTATACATTGCAGCACTGAACTAGGAAGCACCTCTCGTGGCCATCTAAGCGGCTGGCACTAGAGGTGTTAATAGACTGCAGAGACAGGCTATAGACACCAGAACCACTACATTAATCTGGTGACTATAACGAGTGCGATTAAAACCCCCGATTGTGCTTCAGGAAGAACAGGTGAGAGCCTACAAAGTGGACCAGTAATGTGAATTGAGTGTTCACAGAGACTAGCCGGTAAAAACAACCCCATTGGGAGATCTAACCAGGTAAAATCTTGGGGAGTAGTTAAAGGACCACTATAGTGCCAGGAAAACATACTCTACAGTGCACTGAGGGTACCCCCACCCTCAGGAACCCCCTCCCGCCGGGCTGGAATGGCGAGGAAAGGGTTAAAACTTACCTTTTATCCAGCGTCGGGCGGAGAGCTCTCCTCCTCCTCTCCGGCTGAATGCGCATGCGTGGCAGGAGCTACGCGCGCATTCACCCAGTCACATAGGAAAGCATTCATAATGCTTTCCTATGGACGCTGGCGTCTTCTCACTATGATTTTCACAGTGAGAAGCACGCAAGCGCCTCTAGCGGCTGTCAATGAGACAGCCACTAGAGGCTTTAGAGGCTAGATTAACCCATTTATAAACATAGCAGTTTCTCTGAAACTGCTATGTTTATAAAAAAAAAAGGGTTAATCCTAGAGGGACCTGGCACCCAGACCACTTCATTAAAATGAAGTGGTCTGGGTGCCTATAGTGGTCCTTTAAGGGGAATAAAATAAATCACTTTGCCAGCCTGGAAACTTCACGATTGCTGCATGTGATTCTGGTCACGTGGCCCATGGAAGCTTTTAAATGTGTCGGCTGGTGCTTCAGTGAACCATCACCTAATATAATGATTGCTAAGAGGAAGCTTCCTGGCTGTAATAGAATTACACCTCCCATGATGCTTTGACAGTGCTAAAGTTGTGGTTTACTTACATGACTGAATGACCTAACAGCTGCTGTTGCATTGTGACTGTCCTAACACTGGATCGATCTTACAGCTGAATTATTTCATGGAGTGTTCTCTTGTAATTTCACAATGCCTGTCATGCAGATTATATTGTGCAGAATAAATTATGGGCAGTTTATAAACACTATTTAATTGTCTACCCATATTTAGAAAGTGGGAATTGTGAGCAATACTCTGTTCAACAAGCAGGAAGGGGTTAATGAACTTGGGCAACAGCAACACACCCACAGCCCTCCCATTCTGGGCTGCTCCCAGCTCTTTGAATAAGGAAGTGCAGCAGCAAGAAAAGTAGCAGGTTTATAGCATTATTCCTGCTGCTGAGAAGTGAAGACATGCTCTCAATCTGCCGTCTCCTTACACACCGAGCCCAGGTATACCCAGAGCCCCTTACTTACACCCCAAATCCAGGTATACCCCCAGCCCCTTACTTACACCCCAAATCCAGGTATATCCAGAGTCCCTTACTTACACCGCAAATCCAGGTATACCCTGAGTCCCTTACTTACACCCCAAATCCAGGTATATCCAGAGTCCCTTACTTACACCGCAAATCCAGGTATACCCTGAGTCCCTTACTTACACCGCAAATCCAGGTATACCCTGAGTCCCTTACTTACACCGCAAATCCAGGTATACCCTGAGTCCCTTACTTACAACCCAAATCCAGGTATACCGTGTGTGTGTATGTGTGTATGTATGTATGTATATATATATATATATAAGTGAGGCCAGGTATGCACATAGACCCATACTCATACATCTGTACATATTGAGCCAAGAAACACCCTTTTAAAAAATCGTTTTCATACAATGAGATCCTGCTTATGCTGTTGGAACTGCCTGGGTGCAGACCTTTCACACCCTGAACCCAGGTCCTGGTTGAGTCCCTAACTAACACACTCACAGGGTATTCACAAAACCGTGAATTGTACGAAATGAAAATCCAAATTTATAGTTAAGTAGGAAATGTTTTCGCATTTTTGATTTTAATACTCAGTTTGTAGTTTAGTGAATAAACCAGTCCAGTCCTAGTCACACACGAAGCATAGAGACTGATTACCAAGGCTCATGTCTGTACTCAATGCCCAGAAAGGTACGAATTCCAAGTACACTCTTTCATATGGAGTTCAGACTAGACTTGTACACACAGCCTACATCTTGACTGAGTATCCCTGCTCACAATGCACTCACAAACTGACTGAATCTAGAATTACTGATCACATCTCCGTACTGCCTGAGATTAGTGGGAGTTACAGCCACCACTTATTTCAACTTCTGCCATTAAAATGGTGTCAAGTGCCACTTGGGAGTGATACCCGCACTAATCTTGGGCAAAGAGGGAACCATGTACGTCCCAGTTCTGCCACAGATAAGGTTTCCACAAACCATGCAAAGCAGATCAGTGCATTGTTCCTTGTTCATTTTGGTAAATGATCATACAGGTGATGTCACCATCCATGCAGTTTAGGAAACTAAAAAAAATAATTGTAACATGAAATCTATCTGCAGACACAAGATTACAACACTGCGAGCCAGTTTACTAATGTGGGTCTCTTGTGCCATGTAATAAAAATGATATAGCATACCTCCCAATATTTCAAATGGACAAAAAATAACCCTCTAATTTGACCGGTGTGACTGGGGGTGTGGCCAGGGGAAAGGCAGTTCGGAGAAATTTTAGATGGCTCACTAATAATTTATGCAACTAGAATAATGTATCTCACTTACGCAAAGTGATTTCTAAACACACCATGTAAATTAAACATACTTTACTGTGAGTATTAAAGCTGCAGTCACTCCTTCCCTGAAACATGTTTCATAAAGATAGAATCTTTATAAAATAATACTGAAATTCCAACTCTGTCAAGAGATATACTGAGACAAATAAGGGACTTGTACCTTTTAAGGGTTAATGACAATATATTGCAAAATTCTCTTGTATGCAAATACAGTCGTGGATGACAGAGCATGTAAAAACAAAAAGCACCTCTGAACGGGCAAGAGCAGACCGACTTTGCGAAGTTCTGTCTTCAGCTTATTGCAAATCCCTACAGAGATTCAAACATTATTGTATATAAGCACCTGGGAAAAATAAAATAAGTCTGGCTACTCTCTACCTGAAAATTCCTGGCTACAAGCAATTAGTATGCATAGGAGCCATAACACTTTGTGCTTCCCATGTTGAGATCTCTCAGAAAATGCTGTACAGATGGTATTTAGTTCCTACAAGAATAGCTTCTATGCGCCACACAAAATCAAATAAATGTTGGAGGTTTACCCAAGAAAAAGGCACTACGTTACACGTCTGGTGAGGATGTTCCAAACGTCGCTAATACTGGCAGGATGAAATCTGTTTTTCTGTGTCTCCTTATATTTGTAGTCCGAGACAAATATCCTAAACATGTAGAATACTTAATTTTCCACACCCTTATAGCTGCTCTGACCCTATTGGCTAGAAACTGGGCCTTTACAGAGATCCCCACAATACAAGAGTTCTCCAAATGGATCTCTCAAACAGGGAGATATGAACTGTCAGTCAGTCAGAATGGCATGCTCCCTGGGCATCTACTGGAAGAATGCTTTTTAAAAGTGGTACCAAACGCCAGCCACAATGAGTTTTCTCCATAGGGTTCATTATTTCATTTTGGAGATCCAAAGATCGGACAGCTGCACCTATGGATTTTAATTTACAAGGAATTGAATATATGATGCATTCTTAAACGAAAATGTCAGTTTTAAATCTGTGTAGGCAGACACCTAACAACCAAAACTACTACTGGCAGTGAACACTTCTTGCTGTTGTCTCTTCACTGAAGCACACTATGTACTCCCCCTTTCCCAACCCCATCCTTCCCCTCTTAGACATTGTCTGTTTGCCAAAACAGCAAATTCACTATATACACTTATGTTTGTCTTATTGATTGTGTGTGTAGGGCTAATTCCTAATGTATGGCATACAACTGTACTTAAGGGAGTCTTTTTTGACTGTGTTGTGTATGCTGCTTTGTACTAAAAAAATAAACTTCTAATTTTGAAAAAAATAAAATAGCCAAAGACAGCTTTCAGTTCAGTTACTCTGGCCTACAAGGTTTACTCCAACCACCATGACCACTTCAGTGATTTGAAGTGGTCATGGTGGCTTGAGTATGTATGTGCAGTGTTTCTGCTTGAAATACTGCACATACACAGATGTTAATTGTGTACTGCAGGCTAGTTGCACCCAAGTACACTTAACATTTGCAGCCCAAAACTCTGTTCCAGGCTGCCGATGTCAATTCTGTGCATAAAAAAAAAAAACACCTGTCATTAGTGCATGCTGCCGACAAACGTAAAAATTGCTTCCCACTCCCACCCACTGTGCGCAACCTTCCACTACGTAGCTTTGTTTTTTTTTCAACCCTCCCATTTCCCACGATCCCTCCAATTGCTGGCCCAAAGCATGCGCATACGCTCTGAGCCAACAAAATGGTCCAATCACAGGCTTCTCTGTGCAAAGCCTGAGATTGGACTGTGCCCGGCCCCTGTGACGTTGGATGGGGCATGGAAGATCAGTGTCGGGAGCCACACCTGATGCTGGATTCAGGGTTAGTAAAAACGCTATTTTTGCAAGCTATACTGCAAATGGATGGGCGGACGTTCGCTACAGGGCATTGTACACAGAAAATTTCCCCCGCCCCCTTTAAATTTAAATTTTATTTTCAATTCTCACTTTAGTGAATAACTCTCTAAGTCTCCATAGTCTTCCCAATTTTTGTGCAGAGAGTGAATTAAGGAAGACCACAGAGACTAACAGTGTTATTTACTAAACTGAGAATCCAAACTGATTTTCAAATTTAAGGCCAAATTAGCCAACCTGGAAGCATTGCTAAATTAGAGCATGTTTCCAGTTCAACTATTCTAACCTTAAATTTGAAATGCACTTTGAATTCGCTGCTATTGTCAGTTTTCAAACTCTGTCTGACCCAAGGTGTATTTATATGGCTGAAGGATCATCTCATTTACTAAAGGTAGGGATGAGTTTTTCTCTTTTATTTATTTATATACACACTTCATCTGAAAAACTCTTATTCCTGTAGATTACATGTAATATAGGTCACTGGTCTAATTTAGTACATGGTGCGTTATTACTACAGCTCCTTATGTCCATAAGCAATACAATATACACTCCAGGTAAATTTTTTTTAGGTTGCACCCTTTATTATCCTACAAAATATATAATAATGTATAGATGTTATACTGTAGATAGAATGTGCTAAAATGAGACTTTCCACATCTGCAATGCAGTTATTCCTCTTTTTTGCAAAAATACACCATGGTCTAGTTTCCTGGGCAGTGATTTAATTCCCAGAAGTAACATGTAGAGAGGTAAGTGAGCCTGGCTTCCAGCCACACTACTGTCACATCACACACGTGTATATTGACACGTATCACTTTGTTTTTTTCAATCCATGTTTCAGGTCTCCTCTGCACTTGTCCGGTATGCAAGCAATTTACAACCCCCTTTCCAGATTAAACATCTGGATCATTTGGTGCTGACTGTACGGTGCCTGGAGAAAACCGTCAAGTTCTACACTGAGGTCCTGGGCATGGAAGTCACAACCTTCAAGGTACAAGCAGATATAGCAAAGCAAACAGGGGGAGAACGGATAAGAGGACACATAGGTCAGAGCCAACATATTTAAAGAATGGCAAAACACAATACTACTGATCGTTCTTTTTATACTAGGTGGCAGCTTTGAAAACAACTGTGTGTGTGTATACAAACAACCCACAACCTCACCCTCGGTGCTAGGTGTGGATCAAATGCACTGACCCTTTAGGACTGTATTAATTACAGCTTCCCCAGGGCATATCCCAGAGTATATTTCCTTATAAAACAATCAACCCACATTTTGTTCATACCCTGGTCGTTTGAGTAACAGTTGCCTGATGTAAAACAAAACAAAAAAAACATATCCTCTGGCCACCTCCACCAACTGTAATGAGCCAGGGCTTCAGCCCTTAAGCTTCCACTATATGGCAGCATGGATAAAGTGCATGATATAAATGGAACTCATCCAGGCATGAGGGACAATGGGAAAGAATGTGAAGATCTTTCTCAATTCAAAAAAGATTAGGTGTACACTCAGTATTGGAAATTAATGATAAGAACCACCACTGGTGTGCATATGGAGCGCTTACAAATTTGTCCATATGCACACCAGTGGTGGTTCTTATCATTAATTTCCAATACTGAGTGTACACCTAATCTTTTTTGTACTAATCTATAGGGTAGAGAGTCCCTATTTGTGTGGTAGCTGCTGTCATTCTATTCAATTATTAACTGAAAGCGCCTTGAAAACACACAAATTCTTATTTCTGTGAACTTTCTCAATTCAGTTATGCCAATCATCAGACACTCTAGTTATTTTGCCATGTCACGGGGGGAGCAGAGAACACAAAAGTGGGTGAAATGTCAGGTTGAAATCTAAGACAGACATAGTAGGGTCCAATGACGATAGTTGGAAGTTAGGGGTGACAAAGAACATCTTCTTTGTCACCCCTAACTTCCAACTATCGTCATTGACAAGAGAGAAACAAGTTTTAGGACATGTGGATGAGATCAGTGGGGAGGGTCATACACTCTTAAACAAGTGCTGAATACCAAGATTTTGTGTGGTAGCCCTCCTTGAGCTACGCTATCCTCCATTAATTCACTTCTTCCAAAATGAATACCAGTAAAGCGGTTAAAAGCACACTTAAGGCACCCAGACTACTTCATCTCATTGAAGTTGTCTGGGTGCAGTGTCCATGTCCCCCTTAGTCCTGCAATGTAAATCATTACAGGTTTAGACAAACTGCAATGCTTACTTTGCAGTACTAAGACTGACTCTAGTGGCTGTCTATCAGACAGCCATTTGAGGCGCCTCCTGTAGTTTCACAGAGTTTGACTCCATGAAACAATGCTGGAAGTCCTCACACTCTGCATAAGGATATAAGGCAATGCTTTCCTATGGGGAAGGCCTAATGCAGATTAGGTTCCCCATGAGATGACGGAGAAGGCAAAGCACGAGCTAGTGCTGAGGGACATCAGGTAAGTAAATTAAGAGTTTTCTAACTCTTTATGTGCCGGGGAGGAGGGCCACCAAAGGGCACAATATTCATAACTTTAAAAGTATACATCAAATTCACATAAAACCAGCATATGTAGTATTCAAACATATGTCAAAATCATACGAATTGGTCAAGTGGTTCAAAAGTTATATGGAAGACCTTTGTGATCGACTGCAAGCATGGCTTTCCAGCCCAAACCAGTTCCACAGAGTTAGGCTGTGCAGCCGGTCTATCTTCTCCTCTATCCTGGAGATAATTGGCTTAACTGGGTGTGGTAAGCCAACTATCTCCAGGTACAGAAAATATCTCTATTCACAACAGCAAAAATACCTAACTCCTATCATACTCAACAGAACCCCTACCTATTCCCAGATAGCATGGATCTGAGCGCTCAATATATCCGAACAGCGCTCAAATCCCACAAACACAGTCAAATCGCCATACACACTAGGTCCATAGTCATGGGGCAGAAGACTGGCAATTAGGCTTCTCCATAACACAGGGAAGCAGGGCAATTTTTCGCATAAAATAAAAGTTACAAAAGGCCTTTTGTAACACTCACCCGCTTTGCTTCCTCTCCTCCAACTGCTTCACCTAACTAATAAAACGACAGGCTATAACCATTATATTGTCTGTATGAACGGTTTTCCTCTAGGGTTAATGTAATTGAATTTAAAGCCATAATGCATCATTCCTTTGTATAGGTGAAATAAAGTGTTTATTGCACTCTTTGTTTCAGGGTAACCGCAAAGCCTTGAGCTTTGGAATACAGAAGATTAATCTTCACGAGGCAGGAAAAGAGTTTGAGCCCAAGGCTAACCTTCCTACTCCAGGTTCAGCAGATCTGTGTTTAATAACAGAGACTCCAATAAGCACAGTACTTAAACACCTCCAGGTACATCACTGACCTTCCAATATCCCCTTTAACAATCATTTCATAGATTGCAAGTGCTGCTTTCCCGATTACCAGGGTATTTTGACTGGCTAAACGAACACTCCAAACATCATGGCCACTACAGCATGTTCATACTACTAGAACGCACTGTGTGTGTAACTAATTATATATATATATATATATATACACACACACACACTTATTTATATATATTTTTTCCTTTTAACCAACGCTAAAATCTATATAGATTTGTGTAAAATTAGGTATGAAGACCTCACTCATAGGTAATTAAATAAAGCATGTGTATTGTTATTGTTGCAGATCATAACATTCACAGATTCCTTCAAATGTGTTCAGAGGGTTTGATTCTTGATAAATATAACATTCTGTGCATTGATATTCCCTTTACCAATGAAGCCCAGTGTGATGCTTGTGCTCATTTAGAATGGGAACTTCCAATTTACTAAATGACCTAAATATCAAATTGTATACACATAAAAAGAGGGACCACTCTAAGTCCTAAATTGAAGGTGACACATACTGACCCAAGAATAGATTTGGAGCCCCCATCTTCATCCGGGGAAGCACCTTTGAAGCGTGCTTTTCATCTATATTCTGTGAGTGCATTCTACTAAGCGCTAAGAACCTTATTTTACTGTATCATACTGTTTCTGTGTATTTTGATTTCTCTATGCTCTACCAGCTGTATCCCTCTTCCTATGTGTATACAATTTGGCTATTAAGATTACTACCTGGGAGGTAATCTAAGAGAAGCTGTTTTATTTATAGATAAGTATTATCATTTTTGTTATCACCACACTCCTTGTACACTTGTGGTGGAAGTACTTTAAATAATTTTTGCCAAGGAAACCATGCACTTGCCCCACACTCCCTCTATTGGCTTGACCTGTGGTTTTAAAACCCATGCATTTCACAACCCCTCCAAATTATCAATGTGCAGTCCAATATACTTGCTTGACAATTCCTTGAGCAGAAGGAACGTTGCTGACATTTTGCATCTGGATTGCTCTTGTGGGCGAGATCAGTCTGATATGCAAATTGTATAGGTTCTCTCTGTAATGGCACAAGTGAGCAAAAACTTTTTTTGAGACCTGAGCGGGGACTAAACAAAAAGCAACATATTGCATTGTCACAGCTTTTGCTCATTCTCATATTCTCTGTTTTCGCATCATCACCCCGTATACATTTACAGAAAGTGAGATGTTGAACTACAAGCCACTTTATTCACTAAATATTAAATTATAATATAAACCAAATTTTTTTCTATTTTAAACTCTCTATAGTGTTCCTTTAACACATGATCTGATTATCATCTTTGTATAAAGATATATTTTTTACATACTGCTAGTTGAGTACAGCCAGGGATGTGTCTACCGCAAGGCAAACAAGGCATTTGCCTTGGGCGGCAATTTCCAGGGGGTGGAAAACATGCCGCCCCCAAATGCCCAGGCAAATACCTTGTTTGCCTCGTTTTATGGGAGCCCATGAGCTGGCCACCTTTGGGCTTCTCTGGGACAGGTGGCCACTTGTTTCCCGGGCAGGCGGCGAGGGAGCACTTTCCCCTGAGCTCTCTCGCGCAACCCGCAGTAATGCCGGGTGCCGGAATATCATATCACTCTGCGGTGCGTGAGGGAAAGTGCTCTCCCTCGCTGAAAACTTTGAGCGCCTGCCTGCCCGCCCGTCCGCCTTCCTGCACAACAGCCCCACTGGACCCCAGGTAAAATCCACCCAGCTATCCCAAATGTTTGGAGGCTGGGTGGATTTAAATTAAAAATAATAATAATTGTGAGTGTGGGGAAATGTCAGTGAATGTGTGTGTGTGTTTCAGTGAGTGTATCAGTGAATGTGTGTATCTGAATGATTGTATACGTCTGTCAGCGTGTGTTTAAATGATTGTATGTGTGTCAGATTGTGTCAAATCAGTGAGTGTATGTGTGTCAGTGTATCTGAGAGTGCGTGTTGGTCCGTGAGTGTCTGTCAGTCAAAATGTGTGTAAGTTAACAGGAAGGGGTGGGTATATTTAAATTAGGGGGTGCCCGAGATCTGTCATGCCTAGGGCAGTACCATATTAAAATACACCACTGAGTACAGCTATACTTAAACGATTTAATTTGTTTGTTGCAGGACTGTGGGGTCAAACTCGAAGAAGGGCCAGTGCCACGGACAGGAGCTGTAGGGGAGATCATATCTGTGTATTTCCGGGACCCTGACCACAATTTAATAGAGGTGTCAAATTATCACGGAGCTTTAAACACGAAGTCTTGAGCAGATTTTGTGTACTTGTGTAAAGTGTGCATTTTTACTAAATAACTTTTTGTCCTCCCCCACCAAGTATAAGAACATATGAAGTCTACACCAATACTTTACTTACATAGCAAATTCTGTTAATAAAGTTTAAAACATAACTAAACAGGAATACAGTTTACTCTGATGACGTATTGAAAATAGTGCTTTTGCCCTCTGATGCTTAGCTCTGACAATTTACAACACACTGTGCAGGCTGCAGGGATCCTCTACTACCAAGAAAGCCACAGGATAGGGGAAAAAAACTCCATTACTTTTTAAGTTGTAAAACAGAAAATAAAAAAATCTTAAAGTAAAGGATCATACATTTGTAACATTTCAGAACAGAAAATATTATTCATTGTGTGTATGGATCCGTTTAGGGTTTAGTGACCACTTATATATTACATTCTGTAAATTTTATAATTGAAACAGCAATGTACTTCTTGTAATGTAGGCTCTAACGGACCAAAAATAAATGAAAAACCTAGGCATACATAGTATTTTCAAAATCAGGACAGAACATTTTTTTCTTCTTTTATGTATTTTTCTGAAAATATTTATTTGCAATTTGTAATTATGCTAATTGGTATCTAAATAATGCCAAGTCTCTTTATAAATATATATATATATATATATATATATATATATATATGCATATGTGGGTGCACTTAAAGACAAGGGAAAAGAAATGCAGTTGAACAAGCACATAGCAAAAGTAGATTATTTTTTTACATCAGCAAACACTTTTCAACTAATATATAAACCAAAATAAAGCTTGAAAAACTTTGAAAAGTATGTAATAAACAGTTACAGACTTACTTTAAACTTGGTCAGATTGCATTGTTGGGCACATCTCTCAGCTAGTAGAGTTTCTTCAGCCTTTCCCCCTGCCCCCCACCCATCTTAGTTTCAGACCAGTCTACTAATGGCAGCAAACAGGAGCATCATTGTGCAGCAACAAAAGTGGAAAACCTGATATCAGAGCCTGCTCTGCATTAATTACACTGATCAGACTCCTCTCCTCCCCTGTTAGGATGTTGCAAGGTGAAGAAAGAGATCTTCCAACTGCACATGGGTAAATCTGTCGGGCATGCCCAATGCACTTTTCCAACATTCCTAGGGATAGGACATTGATTGGATGTGAAAATTTGAAAAGCATAGGAAGAGAAGAAGCAGATACATATGAAAATAAAAAAAAATTCACACTTTTTTAGCTTCCAGAGTGAGGTGACTTTCTCATTCAAAGCTAAAGTGTTTGAATGAGACAGTTGTCTGAAAGGGATGCATGTCCCATTAAGAAGTTAGACAATTGTCTTAGTCCTCACTAGGTTAAGAACAAAACAATAAAACATGCAAACAGTAGTCATTGTTTTTTTTTATTTGTGTAATACAAAGACAGGATCTATATTCCAAACCTTCATTTAAATAACATCCATAAAAAACACTTATTTTATAAGCTTTAAGCATGTTGAAAGATATACTGTGACCGAGATAAGCTTAGAGTGACACTGCATTGGTTCTAATGGACATCAGATTTATCAAAGCTAAATAGACAATGAAGAACAGTTAATAAGCATCTGTTTATATCGTACACACCCAATGAGTTACAAAATAATGGAGCTATGGAATGCAGCACATACAATATATTCACTCCAATGATCATCTTGGATGTACAATGGCAACTGTGTCAAATCATAAATTCAACACATATTTTGGGAATGCCAGCTCCCTACTGTACAGAAGGCTTTTAGAACTTGGTACAGAGCCAAAATAAGGATTATAGGTTCGGTTCTTTTTCCCCTGTTGTTACAAATCTGAAATTGCAATGTGTCTCATAGCAATAGCTTAGAAATGACTAGCATGACAAGTGTGCTCCTATTTAAGCTTACATACAATCAAATAAAGGGTTGGGATCAACAGGTAGGAAACATCAGGTTCCTATTAGAGTGGGTCTCTCACCATTGAGGCTGTTGCCTATTCTGCATTTATAATCAATCCTGAAAAGTCTGGTGTAGTGTTTCTTGCGAAGAGAAGGTAAATTAGAGAAAACTTGGAACTCTGCAAGCATGTTTGCCAGCTTTTCCTAATTATTCTGCTTGTCAGGAGATGTTACCACTTCTAGCACATAAAGAAAAATACACAATTCAAAGCGATGTCTGAGGGATCTTCATTGGAATCTTCTAAGAAACACAATGAATTTAAATTAAATCCAATGTACTTCACATGAGAAGATCCTCCACCCCTGTCCTTTAGTAGTTTGTAGCTGCCTTTTAATATTCAACCATCCACCCCACTAAATCAAGACCTTTAAGGAAGCGACTGCAAAATGGAGTAAGATTTGTTTGCATTCCTTTAAAAAGTTTTACACAAGGAAAATTAATCTTTAACTTTACCATAATTTTACAATTAATTTTTATTAAAAGCTTTAATACCTAAAGTATCAGTGTATCAAGCAATACTCTCTGCCACTGTAAATCTAAATGGAGTAAATAGGACTGATAAAGAATATTTTAGGTGAGAAAGGATATGTCAAGACAGTCCTTACCAGGATACGCAAAAGAATTTGCTTGCAAAGTGTGTGTGTGTGTGTATATATATATATATATATATATATATATATATATATATATATATATATATATATATATATATATATATATACACACACAATCATTTTACTGATCATAGTAACTCGTTTTGTTGTTAATCTGACAAATCTGTACAATTTCCAGCATTTTTCATGTCTCTTTGAAAACAATCACCTCTTCCTTGTAAGTAATACAACTTGCTTCCTAAATCCCTGCTGCGTTTATACAAATCTCAATCTATCAATACAGTAGTATTGGATCACCTTCAGCTACTTATGTCCATTGCAGTCAAACTAATATAGAACTACTCTGTGTAGGACTGCTGAATTTGTTTATTCAACATTATCAACATAGATTGGCTAAGGATATCTCTAGCAAGTGTTTTGGTACAGAAAGCACTGAACAAGTATGAAACAGTTTTACTTAATATATTTATTTCCTGACATTGAATCCTTTTTGTAGTATGTAAAGGTTCACTACAAGCATATTTCTTGCATAGGAACGTAGCTATTTTGTGGAGTTTCATGAATAAAACTGCTTTCTCTAAATTTGTTACAGCAGAAACCGATTTGCAGTAAACTGTTGGTATTTTTTTTAATTTATACCTTTTTCTTAAATTCAACAAAAGGGTTCAACTCCTATCTGACGTGACTTAAATTGTGATAATGTAAAGCTGCAGATTAACAACCACAAAAGTTTAATCTAGCTATAAAACAGAATTTTTAAACAGATTTCCCTTTAACAGTGCGTTATATAACATGAACAGGAAAACGGTGTTTAAACAAAAGACCATTGGATGGCACAGTTTAAAATGTAAAAAGCTTTATCCAAGTACATTTAGATTTTCTTTTCCTGTATCTTTAAAAAGCCTGGGGTTTTTACCTCTCTGCATGCGCTAGCGTGGACTACATTCAGGACTTATTTTAAACAGGTTTAGTAAATGGACCTGCTGCTAATTATTATGATTTTGCAGGCACAAGTTGGTTTATTTTCTATACATCATGACAGAGTTTTGATTATTTTCCCACAACGGTCCTGTTTGGCATCAATATTGCCGGTCATCAACTAAATAAACCATTCGCTTTAAAAAGTTTTTTAAAAGAAATACGGAAAAAAACAAAGACTTTTTCAGAATGCTCTGAATATATAGGACACACATCACATTTTAAAGTACTGCTCAATTCTCATGTTAGCTATTAGCGAACAAATTAGCATAGTTATCTTTCATAACATATCTCTCATCAGTTTCTCTTCTTTCACTAGGTGTGTTTTGCCCTGTAAATGATTCCATTTAGCCCTTTGAGTGCCAGAAGTGTGCCATATGCACTCAAAGTGTTAGCCTTGGCAAGTTTACACAAAGGTTATAATTCCTTTCAGTAGTTTTATAGATGACACAAACACAATATAAGGTGACCCTTTGTAGGAACTGCTTGTTAATGCAAATAATACATAAAGTGCAGTATTGCTCATATTATGCCTTTTTAAGCTGCTGGTTACTAATGCGACTGGGCAATGCTAGAGAAGTAATCCAGAATGTCCTGGATTGTAAATTCCATGGTAATACCAGCTCCAGTGTAACATTTCTCAATGAGACCCTCAAAGTGCTTGTACTGACGGATGAATTCATCCTGCATGGAGTGCCAGACCACCTGTTGGAGAGAAGAAAAAACCCAAAACACATTATAAGCCATCTATCAGCACCGACACTTACACCTTGGAATGCTGAGGCAGAATGGGTGAATCCTGCTTGTCATATAGTAAATATTGAAAGGACACATAAGAAGAAATGTTGTATTGCTAAATATGGCACATGTACCCAGAGTATAGAGTGTGTTAAGCTTTTAAACACAATTCAAGAATAAAAAGAAAGCAGATCCAAAAAAATGATTCTTACATCGATAGACATTTTGCTGCTTTGACAGTAATGTGACATAACTATTACTGCCTTCTCCTTGTTTCACATGACTAAGTGTCAGAATTCATGTGGCCAAAACTTTTATTAAAAGGGACAAAACATGAAATGAATTGGTTATTTCTGTGAGAGCTTTGGCCATTTGAAAGTAAGAGGGATGTTATTTCAAATAATCCCCTTTATAATCAGGAGCAATGGAGGAGAAAGAACCTTTGTGACTCACCCTAGCGTTCTATAAAACATAGCTGCTGGGTTGATTCTGTGATAACATCCATTCAAAGCAAACATAAGATGAAAGGTTAAATGAAATCTGCATTATATAAGGTCATAAACCTTAGATTTATTTGAAACAGAATCACTCTGCTCACTAGATCAGGGTTAACTATTTTGGCTCTGAATAGCAATGTGAATGGCTCACCTGCACGAAGGTGGTAAATGCAGTTTACAAATCTTTGCAGGGCCAAGCTTAGTCACTTCTACTTTATACTCCGTTTGGAAATAGAAGTATACCTTAATTACACAAATTATCGTTTTCACCAGCTAAAGGGACACACCCAGCACTATTTCCACTACACTTCATTGTATAGGTTATGGGGTCCTATAAAATGTCCTGAAAACAGATCTCTAAAATATGTGCCATTTCAGTGATTTACATTTACACACTACCCACTGATGTCATGTCATATAGGGAAGTCTAGCTTCGTTACTGAGACATTGCAAAACTTGTATGGCTCCAACATGTTCATTCTGTTCATTCAAGTCAACTCCTGCTTTTGCAACACATAGCTTAGTTTCCAGATTGGCACAGTAGTCTGCTGTATGTGTGCACCCACTCACCGCACAACTCCTGCAAATGCTGGCTTGCACACAGAATACACGTTGTAGGAGATGACAATGAAACAACATTATTGAAATGTAAAGGATTTAAAAGATAGGTTTTCAGATACAGCTTCAGAGCACTAAAAACACTACAAAGAGCTTTATGGGTTATGGGACTAGAAGTGTTTGTTTAAGTCACAAGTTAAAACACTACATGCAATACAAACCGCGTTATTCACTTAACTCGGAATTCTAGTAAATTAAATCTGAATGGCAATATTGAGGCTAACTTTGCAGATGTGAAATGATCTCCAACTTCATTACAGTCACAGCTTAGCTATTTTAGGTTTACAGTAAAATATTTATATTTCTAAAGTGTATAATATTTACCTGTAACAAGTTCTCCTCCTCACATAGATGTTTGTCCACTTTGCGGTAAAGGTTATCCAGGCCTTTCTTCACTTCCTTTCCAGGGTAGTCCTTTATGACTTTCCGCAGTTCTTGCTTGCTAAAAGCTAGCTGGTAGCTGACTTCATCATAGCCAATTCCCTGGGCAACGCGTGCTTTCACCCCTTCAAAGAATATCTTCAGAAAAACATAACATCACACCCAATATGAAACGTAACACAAATAGGCACACACTGATATAAATGCAGATTCAATAACATGTACACCACAGGATAGAAAAAAAGTCATAACTTAGAAACAACACGTTTCCCATTGTAAGAACAGGCCTTTGTACAAAGCTGGAAAATAACAGGTGCAAGCTTTTGCATGACAGCTACAGAGTGACACATCATTTACAACTACAAATACTACATACAGAAAAAAAGTAAAATACACATATACATACACACACACACACACATTATATATATATATATATATATATATACACACATACACACACAAGCTTGTGTCTGAAACCCAAGTATGCCAGTACACACACACACTCTCTCCTCTCCCATTATCACTGAAAGTGTAAGTAAAACTGCTAAATCTATACATGTAGGGTCTGTGAAAGTCCCATTGCACACAAAGAATGAGCAGACTGGAATAACAAATAAACAAAACAATCCAAAAAAAAAAAAAAAGGTGAAGATCACTGGACTTCCAAAAACAGTTTTAGGCCTTTCAGGGTCAAGGGATTGGCCATCCACTTGTACTCAGTAGATCTATTAACTCCTTTTGGGCCAGGGGTTGAGTAGTCCCTAGTCCTCAGTACATTTAGTATATTTACATTATTCTCTGCCTGCAAGTTCCACAAGAAGAAAGGGTAGAGACCAATCATAGAGAGTCATCATCTATTTCCCCCCTCGATTTAATATGTTTTGCAAATAATTTCATGTGGTTAAAAAAAAAAAACAATATTCCAAATAATTTATCTAAAATTTGCATCACAAGCACAGCTCTTCTTGTCCAGATCTTATAAATTCCCAACTTTGGGAAGTATGAAAATTAATATCTTCAATTAATTTTATTACTTCTGACAGATAAATCAAATGGTTTATTTTGATACATAATTGCAGCTAAAACAAAAAGTTTTGACCTTCACAAATATAGAACATGATTCTTCCTGTATTGAACTACATATGTATAAAAAGTCCTCTGGGTACCTACAGACGTGCTCAAGAACATGAGGCTATTGCTGGAAGAGAAAATACTTTTCAGCATGAAAAACCAATCTATATTGCTTTAAGCTTCTGTAATGTTTCGCTCATGACAAATTCTTTCACAACATTTTTAAATCCTTAATAAAGTTACTAAGTGAATATAGTTAGTAAAGTTAATACATTTTTATGAGACAACTCCAAGATTGCAGAGGATTGACATAATTTTGGGAAAGAACAATTTTGCATGTCACCTAAGATCAGGTGTGAAATTGTAGATTTTCTGGACAGAACATGTAGTATTATATAGTAAAAAAACTACCATAAAATCTGTTATTATTCATTTAAACATTCACTCGCAATGAGAGGATGTACTGTTAATGTAAATCTCTTTAAAGCTGCCAGAAATGTTTCTAAATTGAAGATGGAACTTTGTCCTAGACCAGGAGATAGGAAAATGGAACTTACGTTTAATTTTTCCAGTGGGTGTCCCAGTGAGTATATGACATAAGACTGCAGATGGTCACCGTATTTTTGTTTGGCTTCTCTCTTCTCTGTTTCTAGACATGATATCTTTAGGCGGGAAAGAGTAGCGAAAATGTGGTGGAAGTTTTCCATCATCACCACGTCCCTAGGTGTCTTTTGACTTTCGTTAGCTACTTTTTCAACTAAGACAAAAAATACCAGTAACAAAGTCAAAATTCTATCTTGTATGCATGTACTCCAATCCCTGCTTTAAATGCAGTTACGGCAATGAACACTAGGGGGAGCAATCCATTTAGTTTAACCCCTTAAGGACCAAACTTCTGGAATAAAAGGGAATCATGACATGTCACACATGTCATGCGTCCTTAAGGGGTTAAAGGAACACTATAGTCACCTAAATTACTTTAGCTAAATAAAGCAGTTTTAGTGTATAGAGCATTTCCCTGCAATTTCACTGCTCAATTCACTGCCATTTAGCAGTTAAATCACTTTGTTTCTGTTTATGCAGCCCTAGCCACACCTCCCCTGGCTATGATTGACAGAGCCTGCATGAAAAAAAAAACTGGTTTCACTTTCAAATAGATGTAATTTACCTTAAATAATTGTATCTCAATCTCTAAATTGAACTTTAATCACATACAGGAGGCTCTTGCAGGGTCTAGCAAGCTATTAACATAGCAGGGGATTAGAAAATCTTAATTAAACAGAACTTGCAATAAAGAAAGCCTAAATAGGGCTCTCTTTACAGGAAGTGTTTACGGAAGGCTGTGCAAGTCACATGCAGGGAGGTGTGACTAGGGTTCATAAACAAGGGGGTTTAACTCCTAAATGGCAGAGGATTGAGCAGTGAGGCTGCAGGGGCATGTTCTATACACCAAAACTGCTTAAGTATAGTGTCCCTTTAATGTACAGATCTGCGGTTAAAACAAATACTCAGAAGACTGGTAACATCAAGAAGTAAATTGCCCAGAATTAATAAAGATTGCAAAAAGCACACTTGGCATGCATCAATTATACATTGATCAGTTCATATGAATAGCTTAAAAAAAAAAACTATTACTGTATAATTACTAGAATAATTAGTCTTCTAAGGTCATAAATCAAAATGGAATGAATAATTCATTAAGAGACATCAGCTGTATAGGGCTATAAATGCCAAATAGTCAAAACTTTCCATGCTGACTGTTTTTGGGACCATACAGTGATTATCATAAGAAATATATTATCGCTTAAGAAGGTAACTGCTTCTTGGCACAGGTTAGGCAGATTAATTTATATAATGACAGTCTTGGCATTCATTTTCATAACGTGGACTACATATACTGCACTGTATATGAGAGTGCTTTATTATTGATCACACTGCGCATGTATAGGATTTTAAAATTGCAAGTATTAAACTTATAAAATATTTCAGGTTGTCAAACCTGTACTCTTAAAAACCAACACAATAGGTCTACAGAATCCAACACACAGTCATGTCTACTGTTAAACCATCCCAGTCATTGATTCATTGGTTGACTTCCACCCAAAGAGAAGCATACATTGTATTAGACCAAGTTGCATGGTTTGCAGACAGACCGAAGTAATATGTGATAGCTTGTCAAGCAGAGTGAGACGATGGCTGTAGGCTCTTTCTATAAACCTACCATTGATGAACACAGCTTTGATAAGTTTAGTGTATGCTTTGTCCAGATCTCCACGTCTCTCTGCTACACGAAAGATTGATTCTGCAAGTTCGGCAAACTCTTCAAAGCCTGACACAAATGGGAGGATGCCGACTTTGCTTTTCTTCGAGATCTTCACTTCTTCCATCTGCTTTATCTGATTAATCTGTAGGTCAAGCACACATAAGATGAGAGAGAAAAAAAGGCCTTTGACCATAAGATAGGAAAATGAAAGTCAACATAAAAATATATCTGATGAAATCAATAACTGCTGACACACAGCAAGAGGAAGTAGAAGCCTAAGAAAGGATGGGGTCACACATCTCCCCAAAGATGGATTATAAGAAGTCACACAGCAATGTGCAATATTTAAGGATTATAAACTCTGTCTTGGAAGATATTATAGGAATAAGCATTAGCATAAGCACATCAAATTATTAAGGTTTCTGCATAAGAAAAGACAGAAATGACTTATGCTTTGGCATTATTTTTTAACTTAACAATACTGAAAGTAATCATGGGGTTAACCAAACAAACAATAAGAAATTAGCATTAGATCTATTTTATTTTACAAGACATTGTCTCATTCTAAGGAAAACAGCGCACTGCTGCGCAGAACTACATAAAAACGGAATAAAACCATACATGGCATATCACTTACTATGCATTTATCAAAGTTTCTCTTCACGGTTACAAGGACATTGCCCAATGTGGTGCTCAAGAAGGAGCCAGAGTCTACATTTTCTGCTGTCCAGACGTGGTGACTCATCTTCACCAGCATGTACAGAGAATTAAAGCTGTCAATTTTATCACCCAGCGCTATAAGAGTGTTCAGTTCTGGCTCAATACTACGAAATATGAAAGTCATCATCTGACGGATCAAATCCTTCCTGCGAAAACAAGTATTAGAATTTGTATAGTATAACAGGGCTACTATATAAAAATAGAATAGCCAATCTTTTCTGAAATCCTAAACTGATTAAATTATTGTCAAATAAGAGACAAAAGAACCTATCAAAATGAAAGATTTTACACTCCTCAACTGAACACTTAAAGTGTTTGTCCAACACTCTTATTTGACAATAAATTAATCAGTTTAGAATTTCAGAAAAGAGTGGCTATTATATTTTTATGAAGTTTCAGCAGATATATAATTATTACACACACTGAAACATATTATAGACCCCAAATTTTTTTTATTGGACTAACAGAATTTTTTAATGACAAGCTTTCAGGAGAACCTCCCTTTCTCAAGTCTGAAGTATTTCTGAGCAAGACGACACATGGAATTCAAACATAAGTTGTGATACAGGGGTTAAAAGGACATGAGTGCAGATAAGACAGGTTTGATAGAACATAGACACCATTCTTACAGAGGGTTGTAAATATCTTATGTGAAGATCCCAGAGTGAGGGGGGAGAGAGAAAAAAAAATAAAAATAAGCGAACTGTGCAGAAGATGGTGCTAGAAGGGAAAGTATTAATATTAAGAATGCATGAATTCCCATCAAAGAGTTACAGGATATGCATGAAGGCCTATATCCAGCATGCACAGACAGAAGTACACACTGATGTACATATACATAAGTAGTGCATATGTACAAGTATACACAAGAACATACAAACTGTATACTTGAACACTATATACACATATATATATTTATACACACAAAGAATTTTTTTTGCCAGAGTCATGTCTACATACTCTGATGGCACGGACTGCTGTGCTCCAGTATTTAGATGTCGAGGTAAAGTTCCACCATCGCTCTCATCTTGGTCACCCTAGAAAGGAGATTGCAAGGCATTAAAGACCTATTATACAATCAAAAACTAATTGTAGAATATTACCACTACTCCCACAAAGTGGCCCCCTCCATTTTTGTATTGTCATGATATAAGAAGCTATAGGCCAAATTAGGGAAGTGTCCTTTCTCATTTACGTTTCCAAATTGGTCATTCTGATCAATTGATTTTCAGGTCCCATGACTCATTTGGGACAGCTTAGCAGCCAATCAAATGTAGGCGTCACAAAGTATGTCACTTTGAGCTTTTTAACAGCTTTCATGTAGAGAAAGTAAGAGTTTCTCACTTTTTAAAAAAAATTTAATTCAAGTTTGACAACTTTACTGTTATGTCTTATCTGAGGGGATTTATTATCACAAAAGAATAGCAATAAAAAAACAACACAGCACAAAACACCCTATATAATTTTATATACCTCCACAAATAGTATCTGCATCACCACCACGATAAATAAAAGTATGATTCCCAATCTATGTATCTATCCAGCTACCTAACTTACCATGGAATTGTTCATAACAATTTCAATACAGTTTTTGTATATTTTAGTGTTTACTTTTCCTTTTTGCTCTAACCTTCCAACCAGACTTACGGTGTGACCCACATTTTATTGTAAAGATAATATTACGTTTCAGACATAGTCCATGTATATGTTCTTCCAACAAAGTACATTGGATAAAGTATGATAGTATAGTAGTAACACAGCTGAAGCATATCTTTGTAGTCAATTATTACTGACAAAGCCTAATTTGGTTATGAAGACACGCAACGGTACAAGTTTTAGAAACCCTTCATGGTCAATGCCTTAGGAAATCTAACAAAAATGAAGGAGGAGACTTAAAAAAAACAAAAAGCATACAAAAATCCACTAAAATCCAAGTATCACTAGAAAAGTGTCTTTATTTCTAAATTAAAATGTTCCTCGTTCTGTGTAAAAGTATAGGAGCTCACAACATCTCTAATCCATTATCTTTACGAAATATGGGATATGAGTTTGACTTTAACAAAACCACAACAGATGAGTGAATTTAATTATTTATGCCATCATTATTTTAGGTACCTAATCAATCTTCCATGCTTCCTTGAAAATGTTTTACATATTTGTGGTTTACTCAACTGTTTAAGCTGACATAGTATCCCTACTTAACCATGTAATATTTTCTGGCAGATGTGTCCCTGGTTCTTACACTAATATTCTAGTTGGGGTTTGTACTTTCAACTTGCCCCCTCCTGAAATTCCTGCCTCTAGGAGTTTGGCGTGATATTAATTGTGGTTCTGCCTTGCAGGATCTCCTCATCTCCAGATAATCTCAATCTAGGAGTTTCCTCATCCAGGCATAACAAGGTTCCCTTTCAACCTAGTTCTCCTTCACAAGCCTGTTTATCAAAATGTTACTTTGTTTAAGTCTAAAGGATTCACAACCATGCTGTTAAAGGGACACTATAGTCACCAGAACAACTACAGTTTATTAAATTTGTTCTGGTGAGTAGAATCATTACCTTCAGGCTCTTTGCAGTAAACACTGTCTTTTCAGAGAAAATGCAGTGTTTACATTACAGCCTAGTGATAACTTCACTGGCCACTCTTTAGATGGCTGTTAGGGTCATGGCTGCCTAAAATGCATCCAAACATTTAGTGCTTCCACCCTCTGCATGCAGACACTGAACTTTCCTCATAGAGATGCATTGATTCAATTCATCTCTATTAGGAGATGCTGATTGGCCAGGGCTGTGTTTGAATCATGCTGGCTCTGCCCCTGATCTGCCTCCTTGTCAGTTTCAGCCAATCCTATGGAGAAGCACTGTGATTGGATCAGGCTACCACTTCTGATGATGTCAGCAGACTGCTTTTTTTTCTGAGTTTAACAGCATGCAAACCTACAGCTTCAGGCTTGAATACAAGTAAGAGTTTACTATATTTATGGAGGGGACCAGGGGGGCAAGATGGTGGTTGTAACCATATAGGGTCAGGAATACAAGTTTGTGTCCCTGACCCTATAGTGCTCCTTTAAAGTTTACACTATGGGAGGTGATTTTCCCACAGACTATAAGCTATGACTGCAAATCCCAAACCACACATCTCTCCACTTGAGTATCTAGGACTAATTCCTGGTCTAAATTTTCAGATCCATGTGTATGACACAAGAAGCGTTTTATCCTCCTTTTACATATTATTCCTCCTCGTGCTTTACCATCATACCATTACTCTGTCTTGTCAGGGCATTTTCTCCTCTCCACTCTCCTCATTGTTCATATCATGTGTATCATGTTTTAGTTGTTAGTGCCCCTTTCCTTTTACTACCTGTTGGTTTCCCTAACGTTCCTGCATGCATGTCTTGCAGTACACTCTAGAATGCAGCTTTGCAACATGTGCTAGTCCAAAATATACATTATCTATGTTGCAGGAGAGAATGGAACATATTGGGAATCTACATCAGTCTACTATTCCCATCGCACACACCATCAAGGAAGAGCAAAGAGGGTGATGGTGGTCTTTGGTTTCCAGGTTTTAGCACCCCTGCATTTCTTTGTTAAAGCATGGCAAGAATGCACTTCTACTGACTGGATATTGGCAGCACGGTATTATTTACGGTTAAGCAAACCACTTCACTGTCTGCCTGCCAGACAAATCCTAAATTGTTTGAAATACATATTTCAAACAAACAATGAAGAATTCCGTTTCATAAAACTTCTAAAACATGTTTTTTTTTACAACTTGCTCAGGTTTTAATCATTTAATACCAATGACTAAGCAAAGGCAATCTATTTAAATCTGATCTAATTATATAACACTAGAAAGCATTGGGTAAATTGATTGCACTGATATTTGTAGGAATCTCATTTCGCTCTCAGTAAAGTAGGAGAAGAATCAAAGGCACAAGTTGAAATCAAGCTATATCTTCAATATATATAAAAGCAGGTAGAAGTCATATAATTAGTTTGTAGGAAAAACATTTGTATAACCAAAACAAAAACAAAAAACCCTATGCAACACTGATCTAAGCTACCTACACGAATGAAAACAAAAGTAAAGAAAATATATTTTTATAAAAGATCTGTTACTAGTTTTCCCAGTATACCTGTGTCTGCTACTGACGTGTCTGGTGTAAGCACAGATCTGTTTAATAGACTATATTAAATCTTTAACGACATATTTGAAAACGAAATTCACTAACAGCATATAAGGAATGCATGAAATTAATTGTCCGGAACAAAGAAAAGATAAAGCAATCTCAAGTTTAAATAATTGAGCAAAGCGCCATACCATGGGTGTTCTAGACATGCTCTGATGTTGGGACAGATTAAAGAATTTACTGATGAAGTCTTGCTCGGCCAGACAAAGAGGCTCCAGTTCACTTAGAACCTGCGCAAAGATCTGAAAAGAACATTAAACATATTGAGCTTTCTTATCGCCTTAAGAACATCTGTGCATTTAAAATTCTGTCCTGTGGTAACACAAATCACAAAGGGCAATAGATATATATATATATATATATATATATATATATAATATTAATGCACTCAAAACTATGTTTATTTTCATGCACAGAGCTGTCCATAGAGATTTTGGCACATCAACATATCAAACATCCAACGTAGACTGATCATGACATTATATCATATTACATTTGGCAGGGCATATTGTCTTCATGAATATGATTTCTAATTTAAACTTGCTTATACTACATATTTCAGTTTACATTACTAAACTGAATATAATCAGTGGAGCAACTACAAGAATCAAAATAGGAAATTACCAGACCAGATCGCTTTTTACAAATTGCCAAGTGTACTGATTTAGTCAGCTGTGATACAGATTGAAATATCCTACACCATTAAAATGGAGAGAAAATGAGTAAAGTAAAGCAGCACTAAAAAGTTTATGGGAGATACCTTGTCAAACTTCGTTCTGTCTGCTACATCCAGATCTGAGGCAGACATGTTTCCCATGTCTAGGAGTGAGGATGATTGAGACCTACGATTGCCAGGGCCCTGAACAGTGAGTTTATTGAGGCTGGATGTGGACCCCGTCAGCTTCCCAGAACTTCCATGAAGACCTAGAAAAACCAGCAAATGTAAAAGAAATCCGTAAATGGAATTATCATGGCTGTTTTTTGTTGTTGTTTTTTTTAACATTCTTTATTTTTTTAATTCAGTCGAACATAACAGGAATGTAGTTATCCGTGTAACACATGAATGCAGTGGAAACCAATATACCAAAGATCGCTATACAGGCATGCGTTGTTATAGAACCTTTCCCAATCAGAAGATCAGAAGAGCCGTGGCTCCACCTGAACCCCCTCCCCTCGACACCCACCGGTTGTTACTTTAGGAGGCAGAGCAGACATGACTAGGAAAGTAGGATCTCTTTCCCCATTTTAGGTGGGCTGACATTGTTTTGGACTCAATTTGCATACATCGGTGTTGTACTTTGTGACGGTGCTAACCTGTGTGTGAGGTTGGGGCTCCCTATTCTAGGCGTGTGTGTGCTTTAGCCTGCCCCACGACCTCTCATGTTGCATGTTATGTTATCTCTCGCGGTGAGGGGAGGGGGGGCATTGCACGATAATCGGTGCATGTTTATGGTTGTGATTTGCCTGTTGGGAGAGGTCGTAACACCCCTATTCCATTTCATGCTGTCCCGTCGACTCATTTTTTTTGCATCAAAACTACTGTATTCTGAATGCACAATGAACCATCCACTATAATACATATTACATATGCAGAGCTACTGACAACATGTGGCTTTCTGGTACTCATACTGCTACACACAACCTCTATATCCAGAAGCTGCTGTTGTACTCATCCCAACTCATGTTTAAGCTTTAAAAATGTATCAAAGTGTTCTGTTCTACGGAGTTATCTAAAATACTAAAAGTGGGGCAATCACATAAAAGAAATAAAAACTGAGAAACCAGCAGACACATTCCATTGTTGACTCGTTCCCAATGACATTTTTTCCCAAACTTTTTAAATCAATACACTAGCTTAAATGTGCCCCAGTGACTGTAAAACTGGCTCACTATTTCATGCATATGTTAAAAGGAGCTGTGGCTGAGCAGAGTGCAAACTCAGGGGAATGAGACAGCAGGGTAATAGGTCATTGTGTATTCCAGGGCGCACTTTTCCCATATGTGGGGCATAACTCATCATTCTAGGCAGAAACGGACTACAGAAGACAAAAGAAAATTCAGTTTTAATCATAAATAAACTTAAACATTAAGAAGGAACAGCAATGGGTATAAAAAGGATTGTGTAATTTCAGGCTACTTAAAACGACTGCTACAAAAACACAGTTCTGGGTTCTTTCTTTTTGTGTACTTTTTCAGTTGTTTTAGGGCTGACATGGATTTTTGGAGTAACCTAGTAGCTCCTGTCATCACACTCTTTTCTTGATTATTTACGCAAGGCAAGATACACCAAGTATATTATTACAGTCTCAGTTTTTCTACAGTACAAACTGTGTTAAACAAGCCTTTTAATAAACATTACTGTTCCATTTGCTCTGAAGCCCGGCTCACTTCAGAGATGTTCAAGAGGAAACCCTTTTTATAGAATCAAAACTCCCATGATGCACTGCTTGAAGAGGGTAAAAGCATTGTGGGAGTTGCAACCATTAGCGACACTATATAGCCATTAATTGGCCGCAATTATTTTATTATTTGTTTTGTGTTCCGTTCTGAAACATAAACCCACTTCCACAATGCTCAGTGGAATGTTAATGAACAAATATTTCAGGGCAATCAAGCCAGAGTTTTATTCTACATAAAGTGTTAACATACAACCTGATTTTCGTCAGATTTCAATTATACATGAGTGAAATATATAATCATGCTTTAATAAAGTGATTGTTATGGGGTAATCCGGAGTAGATCAGGTGGGAAACTCACTGCTCATAAATGACAGAGTCTGAGATTCGGAGGAACAGTGGTGTCATACTCACTCTCCGTCTCCTGTTTCATGGCGGTTTCTTTTCGAGGCAGCGTTGCTGGTTTTGGATTAAGTGGCAAGCGTTAAAGACAAAGATGCATTAGAAAACAGGCATTTAGCATGGACCGTGCACAAGAGGCAAGTTAGGCACTAGTCAGAAAAGAAACATGCAAAAAGATATACCAAGCAATTACAGTAATCTAGAACATTGTTACATGGATAAACATATCACTAAAAATGGAATGTAAGAGATGTCAAGGAGGGAATTCTGTATTAGAACACGTAATGATGGGTGGATGGTTCTAGAATGAAAGGATAAGCCTTATTAATTCTGCATATGGTGAATGTATAATTTCATGGAGAAAAGACTGAAAGCTTGATATTTGCATTGGTGTCCGATTTTTGTTTACAGTGGGAGATTGGCCATGTTTATTAGGTTTTTTTATGACAAATTGCATGTTTTTGTTTGGCAGAATAACTACTGGTTTGCATATTTTGCAATTATATCTCTCATGGATAAATATAGAAGATTACAATAAAGGGTGAGCTTCATCTCAAATACTGGGAACTATCCTCAGCTCACTGTATGGGATATATTGTTTCATGATTGTCCATTATATATCAATATATTTACATTAATGCTTTGTCTTTTTACTTTGCTGGCAGGGGTCTCTACTTGTTTTTATTTACCAATTATAGACCCCTCTGTCCTCATCTAAGTAAATGTTAAAGGCTAAATGTTGTAAGGCGTTTTGGATAAGAGCATTTTAGAAAGAACAAAATATTGTTAATACTTTATTGTTCAATAGTTATTTGTTAATTATGCATATATCAAAAGAAATGCACATTTACTTTAATATAATCTTTATTTAGGTGGGATTATGGAGAATTGACAAGGAAAATGTAAATTGTAGGCTAAAATAGCAGAACTGAAATATTTTCCCCCTAACTTCTATTTTTGCAGGACACCTATTGTGATCTAAAATTTGCAAATCCTCAACAAGCCCTGGTTTAGTGAGTTCAACCGACTGTTTTATACTTATAGTTAATGTATTTTATTGTTTCTAATGAAGTAGCAGTACCAGTAATGAGACAAATCGAGCAATGCCATGTAACTCACACAAAATGCATAGTAAGGTCACCCCACACCAAGCATGGCCTCTCCATAGCAAGTCCTCTTCCTCGGACACTAATAGCACTATCTCAAATATAGTGCTGGAGCGTATTTTCCAGAATGAGCTGTTCCGCACAAGCACACAATTTGTAGTTCTCAGAGGCCAGTGATGTCTAATCTTGGAAATGCAGATAGATGTCCGCAAACTAGGTTTTGGATGTTATTCAGCAAGTTTTTAAGTAGTTCACAAATATGTGCACTGCCAAGAGTAGTCACCTGTGTCGAAAGGCCTTGATGAAATAGAGTGTTTTCTGGCTATTTCAACCTTCATGCTAACAGAACGTTTTCTATTCATGGAATAGAAAGGCTGTTCTTCTTATATGTAGACAGCGACACGTTTTAAAAAGCAGAAGCATCAGGTGTTAGTTGGTATTTAAACTGGAATCTGTAAGTGCAAGCAGCACTCCTAAGGCACAAGAATAAAATAGCAGGAAGAGAGGCATTTTATTTATAATATATGGCAAGCTCAGCAAATCGTGAACACAGAGTGGACCAGAGGGTTGAAAAACTAATTGTTAAACCCAGTCGAATTAGAAGAAAAGTGCTCTCTGCACTGCTAATCGACAAGTCCCATCCTGGATTAGATGTTCCCAGAACTCGGCATATTGAAGCTTGTCCTGCACTAGACGTTCATTGAGCTTCACATAACATGGCCTATCCTGGAGCTCTCGTTAACAATGCCTATCCTGTATTAGAGGTTTCTGGAGCTCACCGTATAAAAGCCTATCTAGGACTAGAGGTTTCCAGAGCTCACCGTAAAAAGGCCTATTCTGGAGCTCTCGTTAACAAGGTCTATCCTGGTCTAGAGTTTCCTGGAGCTCTTCTTAACAATGCCCATCCTGTATTAGTGGTTTCCGGAGCTCACCGTAAAAAGGCCTATCTAGGACTAGAGGTTTCCAGAGCTCCCCGTAATAAGGCCTATCCTTTAGCTCATGGTAGCATGGAAGATCCTAGGCTAGAGTTATAGTAATATGGCAGATTCTTGGTTGGAGATTCCCTATGTTTACAGTAACTTGTTAATTCCTATTCTGATGTTCCCTATGCTTACAATAACATGGCTATATTTACAGAAATAAGCCAGAACCCAGGCTATAGGTAACCTATGTAACAAAATAACTAACTACACCAAAAAGAGAATGAAGAGTCACTGTGTCCATAGCACATCAGTAACTATTAGAGGGAAAAAAAATGTTAAGAAAAACATAGTTACAAAACATTTTAATTCAACAAACTTACCAAACTTCTTTCCTTCTTTAGTTGCACCAGTCATCTTGTTCCTAGCAACTTCAAAAAAGTCTCGGATTTCTCTATCATACAAGCGCACAATATAATCCTTGTAATTCTACAATACAAGACAAACAGCAAGAAAAAAAAAATAGTAAAATAATGCACGTGTGCCTCCACTGCACCCTGTATAAAACCAGCAGATTGGACTCCCCAATTCCTGACATGTGACCCCTTCTATAACAAAAATACACCTTGGTCTTAACGTGAGGATTCCTCCTTTGAAAATGTTGAACTATGGGGTTAACGACAAGTAAGGTTAACTTATAATGTGTTTTGGGCAGTGGGTATTTTTTTTAGTCGTACCGTTTTTTGTTTTTTTACCAGGAGAACAGGAACCCACGGAAACTCGAAGAACTTGAGATGGGGCATCTCCAAAACAGTATATTTTTATACACATAGTACTATTTAAGCCCCTTTGCCACAGTGTTCTAGCCCTTGTTTTTATATATTAAAAGTTAGAGGAAGGATTGTTTATAATCAGATCTTTCATAGTTATATAGAGGTCTTGAGGATAGAACTGCTGTGGACAATACATTTCATATTACACAAGGGGCAGCACACGACAACGAGCAACAAACTGCTGTATGTCAGGCTTATCTTATTATATCTCTGTTAAATTGGAGGTCCAACAAACTTCAATCACATTAAGCAAAAAACCAACCTTCATAAGGCCTTCATATCTATTGTATTCTGTTGTTTTAAGCCACTCCATTAACTTGGCATATCGCAGCAAATCTCGGTGGAAAGGATGGTGGTTTGGTAATGTCATTTCAACAGTTAGAGCAGAACCCTGATCATGACCCTTTAGGGACACAAAAAACAAGAGAAAGTAAAGAAAAGGTTCAGATTGTTCAGTCTGTCGATTCATACATTGTACTGAAATTCCAAACATACATAATGAAGCTTGGCAATTTGGACAATACCATTGTAGAAGGTTTATTTCGGGTAATGAAACCTGTAGTCTTCAGATAGTCTAGACAATAATGGGATTTTGCATAGGCAAATATACAGCCTTACTAAAGCCACCAATACCACTACAGCTTAATGTAATGTTTCTGAGGCATACGGCCTGTCTCTGCAGTCTGCGCACTGTAAAACCTGCCTTTGTTGCAAAATATAGGCAGTGTTTACATTGCTATCTATGTCCACCTCTAGTGGCTCTCACTCGGACAGCTAATAAATGGACTACCTGCACAAGTTCCTGTAATCTGTGCAGGACTTTCGTTCAGCGTCTCCACACTGTGCAATAAGGTGCTTTATGCTCCCCATAGAGAAGTATTTAATCAATGTTATCATGTTCCTTACGGCAATAGTAAATACAATATACAAAAGTGCTTAAGTTTTAGGCTAGAGCCTTTCTTATCTTCATCTGATGAATACTACTCAAAGATCACTACATGTAGAAACAGAATAGAACCCATAAGTTTCCTACTATGTTTGTTGTTACATACATAGTGTATAAATGGTGAATCACATGACATAAAAAACTGGCATCACCGTGTGAACCAAGTGAACATTTTGCTAATTTTTCAGCAGCAATAGTTGCATGATTGGTGTTGCTCTGGACATCACGGTGGCCTCATCTGCAAGGTCAGGTGGGAGAGGCAGCTTCTTTCTCGTACTCTCGTGCTTTCTTTGGCATATAGGATGATAGGCATTACATTACTCAGACACACTGTGATTTCAATAAATAAATAGCCGCTGACTCCATGCTGTAAGTTTACAGGCATTTGATGAGTTCTGTGAATAATTCTGGGCAAAAGTAAATCAGCAAAAACATATGGTGGACCTCAGTCTTTACCTTCTGGGTGCCATCAAATGACAGTCACATATGAATATGCTGAAAATTTATCCACATAAGCGAAACATTGCAGGTAGATTTCCATTCTTATTAACCAAGGTTAAATGTCACATGGGAACTGCCTCCATAACAAAGTAAGATCCTCAGGGCGTGCAGAGGGAACGGACGGGGGCACTTTAAGAAGTCAAATTCAGGGTCATAGGGTGCTAGCTCACAAAGGGTTGTAATTCAGAAGTGCACTGCAATGGATATTATTTCATAAAATGGACATGCACGGAGTCCCTAAAGTGGGTACTGTGTAACTATCTTTGGTCAATTGGCTGTGCCTGAATCCTCGGTTACAGATCTTTCACCATGTTTATTTCCATCACTGACACACCGTTTTCTCTTTTCATTTACCATAACACTTACAGGGATATTGTTGTTGCTTATCATTTTGTGTTCTAGTCAATAAGCAGCTGCTGCAATTTCCATGATCATAGAAATATAAATTGTCTTGCTATTAAGCAACTTTTCTTCAATGAGAAATCTCATTGACCCTTCAGAGTCACTAAGCAATTTTTCCCCTTCTTGAGGCAAAATTTGAAAATCGCTTCAAGTTGGCTTCTTTTGGATCAACAGCAGTGATACCTAAAAAATGTGACAGCTTAAACTTGCTGGGCTTTTTCAGAGAGGTACTGTTTAGTGCATAGTATTCTGAAAAGCTGTCTACACAATGGAAGGAGGTCCTGAAAAGTATGGTCATTTAAAGTTTATGTATTGTCTCTATTGCAGAGATTACTAGTAGTATTTATGCCATCAGATAAGAGTATATGAAAGCCTTAGAAAATGCAATAGTTATTCCCCTTACCATTTGGAAAGCAGACAATAGTAAAGTCTAACACAGCGGTTCCCAAACTGTGTGCCGAGGCGCCACGGAATATTTCCCCGGTACTATGATTATAACACCAGGGAAACTTTACTGCTCAACAGGGACCCGGTCGATTGCCGCAGTCCTTTAAGATCGTGACTGGGCCCCTGTAATGTCGACTGGCTGGGAGGAAGTGACAACCTGTCACTTCCTCCCAGCATCCTGCAGGAAGACAGCACGGGAGAGAGAGGAGGCAGCCGCATTGTGAGGGGAGAGGAGCATGAAGAGCTTCAGACCTCACTCCCACAGCAGCAGGACTCTAAGCCACCCTCCTGGCACATAAGGTAACCTGACAGCAGGGTGGCTGGAGATATTAAAAAAAAAATTATTGTGTGAGTGTGTGTATGTGTGTGAATGTGTGTATGTATGTATGAGTGTGTATGTATGAGTGTTTGTATGTGTATGAGTGTGTGTATGTATGAGTGTTTGTATGTGTATGAGTGTGTGTGTCAGTGTGCTTCTTTGTCTGTGTGCGAGCACACATCTGTGTATGTGCATCTGTGTGTCAGGGTGCGTGTTTTTATGTCAGTGTGTATCTATGTCATGGTGTGGGCATATGTATCAAAGTTTGTGTGTGTCAGGGTGCATCTGTGTATATGTCGGTGTGTATCTATGTGTGTGTATGTGTCTGTGTATTTATATGCATCTGTGTGTTAATGTGCATGAATATCTGTGTAAGTATGAATGTATGTATTGTGATCCTTGTCACCAGGTAGCACGGCCCTCTAGGGTAAAAACATGCACAGTCCTTGTAATTGCATATACTCAGGCACTTTATTTGTAAATCCACACAGGATACAGCAGTAAATGAAAAACAAAAGTAACAGAAAACCCTATAAACAAACACCTAGCTCGTCTGAGCACTAACTGACATTAGTTCCCTATCTCTCAGGGTTAAACTAAACACAATATTGCACCAACCTTATTAGAGAGCAACGCTCTGCTATCTAACCTGTTGCTTTCCTTTCTGCACTCCCAGTGCTCCAAGCCAGCCTTGCCCTGACTGCTTTGCTTTCTGCACTCCCAGTGCTCCAAGCCAGCCTTGCCCTGACTGCTTTCCTTTCTGCACTCCCAGTGCTCCAAGCCAGTCTTGCCCTGACTGCTTTCCTTTCTGCACTCCCAGTGCTCCAAGCCAGTCTTGCCCTGACTGCTTCCTTTCTGCACTCCAAGTGCCTAGTCTCCTTGACTATCTGGAGAGAACAGCCTCTCTCTCCTACCTGCTTCCTGGGAGGAAGCCAGCAATCCCTCTCCTTTACCTGCCTAGCAGGGAGGAGTTTATTCCAATTGCAACAGCTCATTAACTGCAGCTGAGCAGTGGGTTGGAGACGGTCCAAAAAACCCTGGCCTGGATCTATGTTTCCCCAGAAAACCACTAAACTGTGGAGTGGAGCACTGGCCCACCCTTCTCTCCAAATGCTCCACCCCAGGGGCCCATAACTAAACAGAGCTTTGTGTAACACACACAAACTACACATACTCCCCCTGGGGTTAAAAGGCCTATCTGCCTTCATTTTATCACAGTATGTATACATCCAATCAATCAAACACCAGCACAACATAGAAGCACACTCCTGCAATCTAACACAAATATTACATACAAACACACCCCTGCATTCAAACAAAAAAAATATACAAACATACCCCTTCACTCAAACACAAATACTTCACAAAAATGTACATCCACAATTAAAAGTGAACATTACATTCAGATACACCCTTGCAATCAAACGCAAACATCACATACAAACACACCCCTGTATTAAGACACAATAAATGCATACAAGCACACTTTCAAACACCAACACTGTACATTACACTATGACACCAGTAAACGCAGCAGAGCTGTACCGATATAAAACCTTGAAATTTTGACTTGGGGTGCCTTGGAAGAATACTGACATATTAAGGGTGCCTTGAACCTTAAAAGTTTGGGAACCACTGGTCTAACAGCTGGTCTATGAACATGGTTGTCATCAATTAAACCTTTAAGAGGATGTTTACATGTTACTCACAGATGGGTTTAAGTACAAGAACCTGTCAATAACATTATGCTGCACCATAAATAATGCATCCTTTTAGTGTTGCGCAAACTGGTCATTACCTATAAATATACAAACGATTTAGCCTGGAGAGTAGCATTGCTGCATTGCATGTACTGGAGGAAGGAAAAACTTAGGGGTTATTCTCTAGATCTGGAATTTGAGGGAAAACTTAAAATTTTAGACCAAAATACCTAAACTGGAAAGTTGTAGAATGGCTCTAATTTGAATTCTGCTAATTTAGTCTAATTTATGCTTGAAGGAACACTTTATATAGTTCAGCATACAAACCTGTATTCCTAACACTACAGTGTATCCGTCCCTATCACCGTTTGTCATAAAAATATTACAAATAAATGTTTGTACTTACCTTTTACAGCACCGAGAATCCCTCAGTGCTGCTGGCCTCTCCCCCTCCGGCAAACTCATGGAGGAGGCATGGCTTCCTCCGGAGATGGTCCAATCCAAAGCTCCTCATAGAAGAGCACTGGGGACCTCATGTTTTACTTTGTCAGTGCAGCAGAAGTATGCAGTCAGTGTGACAGCCAATAGAGGTGTGTTTAACGTTTCAAGGTAAACATTGGCGTTTCTGCAAAACGGGAATATTTTACCGTGAAGGGTTAAAAACATACAGGACTACTGCACACGGACCACTTAATTAAGATTATGTAATCTGGGTGACATCGGTGGTCTTGTTAGAAAAACCAAGGCAATTTGAATATTTGTGAGGGAATCAGTGCAAAAATGCTGTATCTTATTGACATGACAACACAAAATCCAAGGTAAGTTCTTACAATAATATACATGTGGCATATTACTATACAACATCAGTAACTAATTGATAACGCTATTTGCCTTTTCAGCTGAAAAAGCAATTTTAAATTATATTTTGATTTTGTGCGCTCTCCAATTCCATTGCAGGTTGAAGACACAAATGCATTTATGATGCTAAGTGACAGGTATGTTGTTAACGTTTTGTATTCCAAATGGACTTTGCAGTGTGTGTATGTGTGTTTCTTTAAAGACATTCCAGCGATTATGCACACATGTAATTGTCATGAGATTGATGTTCTAGTGAAGTTACTGGGCTCATTCATCAAATATGAGTCGTAAGTAAAAAATGATTGCACATATCATGCTTTGTTCATGTGCTATTTTGGTGTATTGGTTAAGTGTTAGAAAACAATAAAAAATGTATAGAAGGACTTGGGCTTGAAATACAGACATTTAATAACGATGTAGATGTTCTACCACTAGGCCATGCACAAGTGATGCATGTCAGTCTGTATTCCACCACAGGGAACAAAGGAGCAACGCCACAATTGTTCAAGAGTTAGCATTATTGCTCTATATTTATTAAAATAAATACAAAAGAATGTCTAGCAGGTATCCTCCCTATTATTAGCAACTTTACAATAAAAAAAAACAACATTAAATCGCTCTAAAATAACAAACAAGCCAACTCACAACTCATTATCTCACTTCAGAAAATGCACATGTTAAAAAAATCCAGTTCATAGAGACCACTGTGATATTAGTAAAAAACGAAAAAAACTTTAAATGCTACAATGAAACCATGCTTTGTTAATTACTAAACAGGAATTACCACTGCCAATAACACAAGTGTGATAGACAGACAGAAACAGACACACACACAGTTGTTTTATAGCTGTGGAAAAACTCTTCTGAAACTTCTGTAATGGTTATGGTGCCAGGATTGCCCTGGTGCTGGTCCTGGGTAAGATGTCAAAATGTTTGGCACAACTTGACAACTTATCTGAATCCTACCAGGTACACACTTCACATCTGCTGCATCCAGTCTTATCAGGAGAGTGCTTGGTGGATATGTTCTGCAAATTGCTGCTGTCCTGTGCGTTTTGCATCTCCTGATGGAGAAGACAATGCAGCTGATGCAGTGCAGACACCCGGCAGCACTTAGGTAAGCAGTAAAACTGACACCTTACCGTGGGATTGACCCAGAGCACTCCTGGCACCATAACCGCTCTGTCACATATGGACACGGCAGTACGCCAAAATGATTTGCTGCTGCTAATGAATTTCATGGAGTGGTGTTTTCCGGTTTAATATTAGAGATAACAAAACACACACACAAACTGAACAAGATGACAGTATCGATAATGAACAGCAAGCACTTGTAAACTGAAATCTCCTTCTTGAAGCAAAGAAAGGGCATAACTTATTACATTAATGAACTGGGTAAATTTTTGCTGTTGTCATAGTGTTAGTGATTGCAGGCTCTAATCAACATCAGCAGTCGGTGATGCAACCCAAGGTACTCACAGCCTTAGACAGAGAGTAGGACCTGCTATACAAGTAAGGAAACATCTGTGTGAACTAAAGGGAAATAAAATATAGAACGTAAACAGAGAGGTAAATGACAGGGAGGACAGAGAAATGTCCCATTTACCTGACCATGTACCTTAAATGATGAAAAATTTGCATAGCATGTAGAACTATGAAAATGATGAATATGAAATGGTAAACAAACAGAACTGCAGTAATTGCATTAGTTTGTATTTGCTAGAGAGAGGATTACAGTAAGTGGGCAAGAGACGTGATTAATTTGGGTCAAAAAAGCAGTCAGAATAAAAAAATAAAAAATATTCACTAACAACTTGTTTTTCCAGCCTGGACAGATTTATGCAAATGTACCATGCCAAGAGAAATGGAATAATACCCAGAGAATAAATAACTTTTTTTTTTTTTTTTTTACATAAAAAGTGGCCAGCTCAGCCAAGCCAAACAATGCATATCCCATCTAATGTGGACCATGACTAGTTTGAATTTGGATGTGTACAAGACACTCTTAAGTCATCCGTCTGTATACTTACAGAGACAACTACATCATTCTCCACAGATTGAGCTAAGAACCCATTACCCATTCTAACTAAACTATAAAATTACAGCAGCAGAAAGAAACTACAAAGCATGTTTAACTAAACCAATATCTATTTACAAGCTGTTTATGCACTTTCGGTATGTTAATTAACAATACATTTTTTCAGGCATACCTGTTGGACAAAAACATTGTTCAGGTGGCTTGCAAGCCTTCGGGCAAACTGTTCTCGGAGGTCACTGAATAACTGCTGCTGTTGCTTAACAGCCTGAAGCATTTTGTGCCCTAAAAAAACAAAAAAAGAGATTGGGCACAAAACACTGTTAAGGATTAATGGACAAACCATGCTACTGATGTCCAGATTTTCCAATGTGGTTATGGTTTGTATGTGCGGTTATTATTTGTATGCAAAAAGGAGTCATTTCTTATTTGTTTCAATATTGATCTATTACTTTAAGAAAAGGGACACCACATAAAGCACGCTCTGTATAAGCACCATCTGCATGATTGCATTTTAAAAATCACTTTTGAGTCAGAAAAAAAACAAACATTATGTGAGCATCCTGATTCTGTGATCGCTTCCTGTACTGCACAGCGCTCACTAAATGATCTGTATATAATGCGGGTTTATTGCAAATACAACTTCCATCATAAATATATGTTCCATCTTTTTGTAATCTGGATTGGTTGTTTTTGCATCCTTTTTTTAAAATCGTTGTTTTATGAAGATTAATCTTAGAGAGTGTCACTAGCAGAGACAGTCACTAAGTTTATATACTGAGGGTTGTATCATTTAAAATAATCAATGAAAACATTTAGCCTGAGATTGTTAAACTAGAAACACTAATATAACAGATGGGTGCCCTCTTGTGAGTGCTAACAAACTTAATTCAGGATGAATTTATAAAAATAAGAAAATAAAAGACCCTAGTTTACACAAAGGGAAGGGGAGGCACAAGACAAAAGTGATACCATCCATTTTGTTTCCTCACAAACATCTGCAAAATTCCAGTCTCGTTGGTTCCTCCGTTCTGTAAGTTTTAGGTTTTTCATTACATGGCCAAATCATTTCAGAAATAAGCATTTTTCTACTTTTCTGAAAAACTGTGTATTAAAGAGTATATATATATATATATATATATATATATATATATATATATATATATGTGTGTGTGTTTTCCACAGAGCATTACCTGGATGAAGTGCTACATTCATACACTGTAAAAGAGCTTCTGATGCATTAGTACAGGCCTCGATCCCTCGAGAGGAGGAGAGATCTGCTTCCTGAAGAGCTTTAATATGACCCTTGGATAAGTCCATATGATTCTAGAAAAAACAAGTGATACATTTGTCAATTATATTTGAGCAATTATGCAAAACCAATTTGCCGGAAGAGTGTGTACTTTATGTGGTCAGCATTAAAATGGAAAATTCCTTATAAACTAATTAATTTAAATAATAAACATTTAAAATATGCTGATAATCATGGAAAGAATAAATCGAACCTAAAATGTGTGAACGTGGAACTAAGTTTTGTGGGACTTTTCTGTGTGCTATAAAAGGCTCTATATGGATTAATCCCAAGAAGGAATAAACAATGGTTTATTGTACATAGACTGATTTCTATAATAGGAGACTGACACTTGTGCATTAGAATCTTTAGTTATCGGTGATCTAACATTGACGCATACATACACATACATATATATATATATATATATATACACACACACACACACATACATATATATACATATATATATATATATATATATACATATATATATATATATATATATATATATATATATATATATATATATATATATATATATATATATATATATATATATATATATATATATATATATATATATACACACACACACACACACATACACACATACACACATATATATATACATACCTACACATACATACATACACACACACACACACACACAAATATGCAGCGAAAAAAATTATAAACGCAACACTTCTGTTTTTTGTCCCCATTTTTCATGAGCTGAACTCAAAGATCAAATTTTGGGGGAGCGTGCAATTGGCATGCTCACTGCAGGAATGTCCACCAGAGCTGTTGCCCGTGAATTGAATGTTCATTTCTCTACCATAAGCCGTCTCCAAAGGCGTTTCAGAGAATTTGACAGTACAATCAACTGGCCTCACAACCGCAGACCACGTGTAACCACACCAGCCCAGGACCTTCACATCCAGTATCTTCACCTCCAAGATCGTCTGAGACCAGCCACTCGGACAGCTGCTGCAACAATCAGTTTGCATTAACCAAAGAATTTCTGCACAAACGGTCAGAAACCGCCTCAGGGAAGCTCATCTGCATGCTTGTCGTCCTCATTGGGGTCTCGCCTTGACTGCAGTTTGTCGTCGTAACCAACTTGGGTGGGTGAATGCTCACATTCAATGGCATCTGGCACTTTGGAGAGGTGTTCTCTTCACGGATGAATCCTGGTTTTCACTGTACAGGGCAGATGGCAGACAGCGTGTATGGTGTCGTGTGGGTGAGCAATTTGCTGATGTCAATGTTGTGGATCGAGTGTCCCATGGTGTCGGTGGGGTTATGGTATGGTCAGGCGTATGTTATAGACAATGAACACAGGTGCATTTTATTGATGGTATTTTGAAGGCACAGAGATATCGTGACGAGATCCTGAGGCCTATTGTTGTGCCACTCATCCACGACCATCACCTCATGTTGCATCATGATAATGCACAGCCCCATGTTGCAAGGATCTGTACACAATTCCTGGAAGCTGAAAACATCCCAGTTCTTGCATGGCCATGTCACCCATTGAGCATGTTTGGGATGCTCTGGACCGGCGTATACGACAGCGTGTTCCAAGTCCTGCCAATATCCAGCAACTTCGCACAGCCATTGAAGAGGAGTGGACCAACACTCCACATGCCACAATCAACAACCTGATCAACTCTATGTGAAGGATATGTGTTGCACTGCGTGAGGCAAATAGTGGTCACACCAAATACTGACTAGTTTTCGCCGCCCCTGGTGTCCCCTCAATACAGTAAAACTGCACATTTTAGAGTGGCCTTTTATTGTGGCCAGCCTAAGGCACACCTGTGCAATAATCATGCTGGCTAATCAGCATCTTGATATGCCACACCTGTAAATTGGATGGATTATCTCAGCAAAGGAGAAAAGGTCACTAACACAGATTTAATCAGATGTGCAAGCAATATTTGAGAGAAATAGGCCTTTTGTGTACATAGAAAAAGTCTTAGATCTTTGAGTTCAGCTCATGAAAAATTAGAGCAAAAACAAAAGTGTTGCGTTGATAATTTTGTTCAGTGTCTATTTTAAAAAAAATAAAAAAATGAATAAATAAAAAAATAAAAAAAATGATAAATTGGTGTGAGAGCTTTGAAGTTGATGTTATGTGAGCGAGAGCTCACTGTATTCATATTTTATTTTTAAACTCCATCCATTGCATTTATCAATGATATGAAATAAATGATTAATTAAGAGGTGAGTTCTCTTAGGTTACAAAAAGCATCATCCAGGGCCAGATTTAGGTCTCAGATGCCTGTGGGAATATAATCCTTAGTGCTCTTACCTTCCTACAAACACCCTCCCTCCCCAAATGAAAAAAAATGCAATTACCCTGTAATATAAAATTGTACCAAAGGATCTCTAAAATGAAAATAGTCACATTTGTAGTCAGGTTAAGAGTCCTTGTACATAGATGCCTGTAGGCATCTTGACCTAGAATCACCACTCAAAGACAGAAAAAGAAAGGTTACCACTGTATTGCTAATTGTATGGATATATATTGATTTTGCAATATTCTGGATACACTGCAGAGAGTTCCAGAATATTTCAAAATAAAGTGCAGGTGTCTTATATGATTCAGGACACCCTGGGCGTCTGGCCAGAGTTCCGGACTGCGCTGATGTCTTGTTAAGCTGCGCTCTCCTATGTATGAAATGAACATGTCACTTGCATAAATTAGTTAAGTATGCCCCCCTTTTTTAATACAATTATTAAAAGCTGGAACTTCTGTTTGTTTGGTTAGAAGCTTCATGCTATGAGTAGATGTGCTGTGCAGGAAATTTCACGATTAATTTACTCCTGGCCAAGGCTGACCGGAACTTCCCAGCCTAAAGTTTGGATCTCAATGTTGGGTATTAAAACGGTATGTATTCTTACTTAACTTGTAACTATTCTTTAATGATACTATTGATCTATGTAAACAAATATATTTTATTCCTATTGGTGTGATTCATTGCATTCTTGAACATAGCAAAATAAACACTAAGCATACTTACTACTAGGAACTCAATCTCGCCCAGAAGTGTCTCACTATTTGTCTTGCTGAGCTCAATAAGGTGGTTGCTTTCGGAAATATGATCCATTTGTTCCTTCACACTCTGCAGCATCTCCTCATAACTACTCAGTTTTCCTTCAATTTGATCCACTTCCTTCAGTGCTTCATCGAGCAGCTGCATAAGGATGTTAACTTGCTTCTCAGAAGCCATGATTGATTGGATATTGGCCTGAAAATTAAGCAAAGTGTTTACTTTAAACATATTTTACTACTATTAAAAAAAAAAAAAAAAAAGAAAAACAACAACTTCCTGTAATGGCTAAATTGGCACCTTTGTAGTGTTTTTTCTTTCTTTACAATTAATAAGGGAAAGCGATGCAAGTAATCATTTTCTTGAACTATAGGAGTCCGAGTGGTAACTAAGACTTCTACATCATTGTGAGAAATACAGTCCAAGAATAATTGAGGACTAAGGTTGGACGAGTCCAGATTTACAGTGTCAGAATTCCAAATGACAGTCTCTCAAAACTTTGTAAAACTTTGCTGTGATGTGATATGCAAGATTCATTAAATATCTGTATTAAAAAATTACATGAATACAATTTTTTTTTGATCATCAAAATTACAATTATGCTATACAAAATATGTAATTTTACTTTTTTTATGTTTGAAGTGGAAATGCACATGTAAAGGTGTAACAGTCAGACAGAATTCTCTGGACTACTTACCCCATCCAAAACCTGCAGCTCCCGTGATAACTTTTCTGCAAAGGCCTCTGCATTGGAGATGGCATATTCACATCCCTCCATCATTATTTCAATGTCCTGCTTTTCTCTGGTATTTAACTCCTGATACTCTGCAGCAGCTTCTTCATCCACTCCAGCTACATTTTGATTCTCACCACTAGGGACAGATTCTTCACAAATCGAACAAAAAGAAATCACTTAATAGTACTATTTTCAATGTAATAATATTATTTCCTACCATAAAAAACACAAGACCTTTCTACAGTGGCTCAGAGAAGCATACACAAAAAAAGAGAAAGAGAGACAGAAAAAAAAAAGATACTAGAAAACTCTCACTTGCAATTTCATGATTTGTTTTATAGAATTAAAGCAGAAAACTAAACCTACTCTACAGAAAGCTTGCCAAAAGACTCCTACTAGACATTGTGTGAAAGCACTAGATACAAGAAAACATACATACTCTATTTAAAAAGAGATACTTTACAAGATGTTAGGGTTTATATAAACAGCTCTTGTTTTCAGCAAACATTCATTTTTTGCATTTTTTTCCCTTCCTGCTCAATGCAACAGCTATTTGCTCCACTAATAACGAAGGCTTATTTAAATTTCCCATAGCCATTTGCCACCAAAATGACATTGAAAAAAATGTAATATAAATCTAGGTTCTGCAGAACACAATTATTTTTCAAGGTATTTATGTTTATCATTTCCTGGTAGCTTAACATATGAACTTTTCTAAATGCCCATATTTTGATTGCTAGCACATGCGTACCTGGGAACTCACTTGGTTATATCAAGTCTCTAGTTCTAACGGCTTGGCCTTATGATAAAATTACTATAGGGATTGCCTTTTATTCCCACTCACTTGTAGCTGTTTTATTGATGAGATCAGGTGGGTGGGACAACACTCAATTCTTGCCCAGGACTATCTATTCCCTTAGAGTAGACCTTAGTGCCCCTCTGGCAGCCCAAATGTTGAGGGCTACATCTCCCCTGGTGCTTTGCCAGCATTAAGGGAGATATAGTCCACAACATATTGAGTGCCAAAGGTTTCCATACGGCTGACTCTGGGAATTAAGGAGGACAAATAATGAAAGATCCCAGGTACGAGTGCTGCTCTCTATACATATAATGACTATGTAAATACCATGATAAAAAAAAAAAAAACATGCTACCTACCTTCTGCAACTTTAGGTAGTTCTGGAGAGTAATAATTAGGGGAAAAAGAGCAGAGGACAGTAAGCAAAAGAGTATTAAAGCAAGAAAGGCAAAGACGGTATACATATAGATACAGAAACATAGCTGTACAGAATAGCATGCCTTTACTGGAGTTACTTGTCATGCAATTCATAGATACACCAGCTACCAAAATAGCAGCTTACATGACTGTAAGATGGCTTGCACCTTATGCTAAAGATTGTTGAACTGGCCTAAAAATGTAAGATGTATTTCTACTCACTTCTCAAAGCTTCTGTATTTAAATAATTACATCACATACATTACACTTTCAAGCATGCAATACAGGGGTTTATGTATTATACAAAAGACAAAAAGTATGATTAAGGGAGACATGTGATAGGATAAAGGGTAACAGCTGTCCTGTAACAGCAAACAATATACATTTTAACAGAATTCAGCTTGAGAGAAGAGCACTGTTTCTATGTCTGAGAACTATCTTCAATCAGACCAAGGATTTGAATCTATACAAATATACCTCTAAGTCAGCAAGATCTACTGAGAAAAATAAGCATGTTAAATAGAGCTCAAACATATATGCACAGATACCCACAGATAAATTCAAAGAGATAATGGTGGTTATGGTAAAAAGTTCCCATAGTTGGATCGGGATCAATAATGGGATTGTGTTTTCCAAAGAAGCAGAAAAATTGTTAGTAACTACAGAATGTGAATTGGCCAGCAGGGGGATACGCCAAACATTCTGAAGACATACCTTCCAAAAGCTGGGAGCTGACATTGGCAAACTCAATTTTCTTCCGGAGATATCTTTGGTTCAGCTTCCAAATACAGGAAATGAATGTATTCTTCTCTGCTGTGCTGCTGGCAACCCATTTGTACACTTTGTCAAAATGCAAGTCAAAATCTGGATTTTCCTGTTAAGATAGCCAGAAAGCAACAAAAAGAAACAATAAAACATTTCTCAAAATAACTTCGTAAGCGTTAAAAGTTATTGCCTCCACAATACATCCACAAGGAAGAACCAAAATAAAGGTACTATTGATAACTCCATTTGAAAAACAGAGTGCACTAAAATCGCTGCATCTATGAACATGGTGTACACTCAAATTTCCCTTGCCGTTCAAGAACCTGTATAGTGTGGGCATGATCAGCTCCTATGTCCACTGACACACTATCTCTTAGCTTCCGCTGATTTGAGCTATCCAGTCATGGATACCATAACCTTGTGCAGCAGTTCCACATGTTTCTACAAGAATAAAATAGCTACCAACACTACATGTCGCAGAAACCCATTGTATATTGTTTTTCTAAGCAAAAATAGAAAGCATCCTCTCCAATGCAATGTAATATATGTCATGAAATTATATGATAGGGCATATTTTCTGGTGAACCTTTACTACTTAACATCAGTGTAAATAGTACACTATGTTAGGACTGATTTGGTTGGTAAATCCATCTGAATTCTGTCTGAGGATATACAGCACATGCAGGAGTTTCAAAGGGGAGTGGTCAAGGGAATTGAAATTAAAATATGACAAATTATAAAATATGCATCATTTAAACATTTGAATCATTTTATAAAAAAAATACATTATACACTGTGCATCATTTAAACATTTGAATCATTTTATTAAAAAAAATGCATTATTATACACTGTGCTAACAAATGTATAGATATAATCATACTTCTATATTTGGATATTTGTAGGTAGTGCTACTATACTTTTGGCACATAATATTAAATGTGACTGGACATTGAGGGCACATCCATTCTTGGACGAACCAAATGAAACCATTTGATACGTTTTTAATCCAATCTTCAAAGCACATCATCAGTCCAGGTCCAGATCAAAGACTAGCTGTATGCAATGAGGACTGAATGATGGACCATTGATTTACTCTAAACAATTGTTTTACATATATGACTTTGAATCTGTTTTTGGATGACACATACACTTTAAAGAAATGAAAAATGTCCACACATTTTCAATTTTAAAAGCTACACAGTTTCCCGTGAGGCTTGCCCTATATGTGCTTTATATATACTACCATACCACATAGTAATACATTAAGTTTCATTTACCCTAAAAAAATAAATAAAATCATTTAACATGAACCTTACTTTGACAGCATCTTTGGCATCCACTACAGCAAGGTCTTTAAGCAACCAGACAGTCTGTGTTTTATAGAAATCTCCTTTGTCAGATTTTTTCACTTTCACCACGTTCACACGCACAGGACGTTCTGTTGTTACTGTAAAGAGAGAACATGTATGTTATAATAACCTGATAAAAATCCGATTCATAAAAAGTTAATTGGGAACATCGCAATGGGACGTGAGAATCCATACCCAAACAAATGATGTTATTTTTTACAGTGTCTAATGGCACGAAACGTGGATCAAGATCACAAATACACAACTTAGCAAAGGATGTGGCGAATCCAAAGCCTTACATTAATTAATAATGTTTTCATTGAGAAAGTAAAATAACTCAAGGGGAAATCACAACTTCAAAAATGTAATTTAGATGCCTTAAAGCAAGCATGTCATACTCGCAGGCAACAATAGACATCTTTGCGGCCCGGCAAGCCTCGAGTACATGCTTAGTGTTATAGCAGAGTAGGCACCTGCTTTCCCCACATTGCAGGTGCCCACTCTGCTAAAACTTACCCGGCTGGGGAGGAGGGCCAGCGAGGGAGCTCAGTGTTTCTGCTCCTCACTTCTCCGTCACGCACGCCGTCTATAGTGAAGCCGAGCGCCGGAATATAACGTCATATTCCAGCACCCAGCATCACTAAACTGCGCGCGAGGGAGCAGTAAGGAGCAGATAGAAGATCCCCACTGGACCCCAGGGAGAGGCCCTACATCAGCTCCCAAAGGTAGGAAGCAATAAAGAAAATGATGTGTGGGACAGAATGTGTAAATATGTGTCTGTGAGAGTGTGTGTGTGTCGGTCAGTGAGTGTCCTAGTGAGTGTGTCTGTAAGTTTGTGTCTGTCTGTCAGTGTCGGTGTGTGTCTGTGTCTCTCAGTGAGTATGTGTGTGTCTGTCAGTGTCTGTGTGTGTGTTGGTCAGTGTTGCATTGGCTGCAACTGGACAGTGGAGTACCTGGAGGTGCATGTTCTTTTTTTTTTTTTACATTATTATTATTATTATTATTATTGCCATTTATATAGCGCCAATGGATTCCGTAGCGCTTTACAATATTTTGAGAGGGGGGGTGTAACAATAAATAGGACAATTACAAGAAAACTTACAGGAACAATAGGTTGAAGAGGACCCTGCTCAAACGAGCTTACAGACTATTGGAGGTGGGGTGTTTGAAACATTAGGACAACATAAACCTAAACCTTGTTTATGTGGCCTGTGCTAGACTTTGAGTTTGACACGTTTGCCTTAAAGAGCTACTATAGTCATCAACACAGCTTTAGTTAAATGAAGCAGTTTTGGTGTACAGTTCATGCCTCTACAGTCTCACTGCTCAATTATCTGCCATTTAGGAATGAAATCACTTGATCACTTGTTTCTTTTTCTGCAGCCCTAGCCACGCCTACCCTGTAGGTGTTAAATGTTTGCAATCAGATCTTTAAAACTTTCTTTAGAAATTTTTATCTCTAAATTGAACTTGCACACAGGAGGCTTCTGCATGGTCTAGAAGGCCATTAACAGAGTAGGGACTGTTTTGGTGCCTATAGTGTCCCTTTAAGTTGCACTCAAGGAAAAAAAATCATGAAGCAAATTACTCCTGATTTTTTACATAATATTTTTGCCAAGAAATTATAACGTAAAATAACAGAAATACCAATTTTAGTTTTTAAATTTCTAGTTTTCATTCATTTATTTATTTACTGGGTCCATGTTAGTTTATGGACAAAATAGCCATGACTTTAACCCTGTGAAACACCTTGGATGCACTAAAAGTCCAGCTGTGAGCCAAGGCTAATTTGCCAAAATCAGGTGCCAACCTCACTAATTATCTTGTGGTTTAATAGAAGGAAGCCATGCAGCAACATGCCAACATGTAGTGTAAGGATTCCACAGAACAATACACTTCATTATAGCAGCAAAGTGAAAACCAACACCATATTAATACCCATTATTTTGAAACAAGATGTTCAATTTGCAGGTGTCTACTTACATTTAAATAAACAGTACATTCAAATCTTATTCCTAATGCTATAGTGTCCAAATGCCAGACAAATTTTAGGTTCACCAACTCCCGTTTTCACTTACCTTTTCTCCAGCGTTGAGACTTCCATGGCGCTGTCGCCCACACCTTCTCCTGTGATGTCACCCTGCTCTTTCCCAATGGTCAGCGAGCGTCATGCATATCTAAATATTTATCATAGGAAAGCACTGAATCCAATGCTTTCCTATGAGCTGCAATGCCACGTGACCAAGTTTTACTCAGTCGTTGTAGACAAAGTGCTTCTAGTGGCTGCCTGAAACAGGTGTGTTTAACCCTGCAGTGTAAACATTACAATTTCTACAAAACTGCAATGTTTTACAATGCAGGGTGAAAAATACCATTTCATTGAGGTACTTTAATATTGTGACTTACCAGTGGCACATAAAAAGCAGTTTTTCTTCTTCTTTCCAGCCTTGCACACATTCACAATGCTTAACAGCCGTTCATCATTTGGGGTAAAGATATCCCTTTGCAGGGCATGTTTGATGGCAGTCATCTTTTGAGCTCTACTTCCACACCATCAGCTGCTGTCTACAAAACAGAGGATGCAAAACTCTTTGTAAGACTGTGATGCTGATCAGTTATGTTTACTCTAAGTGCTAAAGTCTCTGAAGATCTTAATAACGCAAGGGAATCTGTGCAATTTATACATAAATATGCCCGCATCTGATTTCACCCACAATCCTTCAAGAGTGATCTTACGATATCTAACACATGACCATGCACTAGTCAACCAAAAGATGGAGAGAAATGTTAGGATACTGCAATACCTATGAATTGTAAAAAACACGTATATGTCTCAGCAAGGAGGGTAAACGAAAGTGGGAGGTAACAGATAAACATAAATAATACTACAGCAGCAGTGAATGGTCCTGTTTAAAGCTTACCCTCTACAAACATGATAGGAGACAGGTATATTGGGATGGGGTTGTGAGCCAAATTCTGATGCCAGTGGGATTCCTATACTTTCTCTTCTTGTAAAATTACCGCAATTCATTCTGTTTTTTTTTTTTTTGCTGAACCTTTTATTTTTATACACTGGAATGTTAATCACTTTAACATGCATTCAACAATTGATCTAGACTTAGGAAAAGTTGGTAAAAGTCTCTATGCATAACAATGTACTTATTATTATTGCCATTTATAATGCACCAACAGATTCCGTAGCGCTTTACAATATCATAAGGGGGAGGAGATTTAACTATAAATAGGACAATTACAAGAAATTTTACAGAAACGATAGGTTGAAGAAGACCCTGCTTAAAACGAGCTTACATTCTATACTTGAATCTGAATGTGTGGGTACTACTCAAGCATCTGCTAACTAATCATATATCATACATGCAAAATGTTAACCTGTAAATCCTTCATCTCTATTCTGTATATTTATTTTAAAACATATTTGTAAATTTACAATAAAACACAGAGTATTTTAGGCATAAGTGGAAAAAATCTGCACAGTTTCAGGTCTAGTAAATACCTTATTAAAAGTCATTTTTACACCAGTGGATACTGCAATTGACTTCAAACCAGCTATTCTGGGTTATTCACTAAACTCCAAATTGTACGAAAATAAAATCCGAATTGCAAACTTAAAGAAAGAATAGTGAAGCTGTATCTATAGCAGAGTTGAAAATTTGTCAAGACCGTCTATTTTTCCCTCGATTGTTACATTTTTTTTCCCTATCACTTTTATTAGATCAACTGAAAGAGTACAACCAACAGAATTTAGATTTTCTCCCAATCTGAAGTTTAGTGAATAACCCTGATATAAATATATATCACAGCATGGCTATTTTATTCTAAATTTTGCAATTCAGTTTTCAATTCACTGTTTAGCGAATAAACCCAAACGGTTATTCTCTGAGTCTAAAGTGTTATTTCTCAGCAATACAAAAAATGCATTTCAAGGTTTGAGCATGGAGGCAAAAAGTATGAGATGTGATAATAATGTCGAAAACATATGAAATTAGCTTTTGTTTATGTCCCACTAGTATTGTTACATAATACATATATCGTCTGTCAAAGTAAAAATAAAGAATTTAACAAAACAAAAAAAAAATAATTCTAGGCCAAAAAAGCTTAAAGGGACACTATAGTCACCAGAACAACTACCACTTATTGAATTTGTTCTGGTGAGTATAATCATTGCCTTCAGGCTTTTTGCTGTAATGCAGTGTTTACATCACAGCCTAGTGATAACTTCACTGGCCACTCCTCAGATGGCTGTTAGAGATCCTTCCTGGGTCATGGCTGCCTAAAATGCATCCAAACTTTCAGTGTCTCCTCCCTCTGCATGCAGACACAACTTTCCTCACAGAGATTCATTGATTCAATTCATCTCTATGTCCAGGGCTGTGTTTGAATCATGCTGGCTCTGCCCCTAATCTGCCTCTTTGTCAGTCTCAGCCAATCCTACAGGGAAGCATTGTGATTGGATCAGGCCACCACTTCTGATGATGTCAGCAGACTGCTTGTTTTTCTGAGTCTAACAGCATACAGATCTACAGCTTCAGGCTTGAATGCAGTAAGATTTTTACTATATTTATGGAGGCATGAGGGGCTAAATGGTGGTGTTAACAATATAGGGTCAGGAATACATGTTTGTGTTCCTGACCCTATAGTGGTCCTTTAACTTACAACAGGAGGTGACTGAGATCATTTTTCAAATGTGAAAATTTGGGCCAAAAATGTGAAATTCTGCAGACTTCCTTTTAAAACAGTAATGAAGGCCAGGGTTTGCACTTTTTAAATTTAAGATTGAGCTCCAAGATTATAAAGGGACCTGCTTTGAATTATTATGCAGTGTATATTAATGATGATGATGTTATTCAGACACTGACTGTATATAAATGATGGTGTTATTCACAACCTGACTGTATATAAATAATGGTTTTGTTTTTCAGACCCTGACCGTATACAAATGTTAATGGTCAGACTCTGACTGTATATATATGCTGGTGTTATTATTCCCACCCTGACTGTATATAAATGATGGTGTTATTATTCACACCCTGACTGTATATAAATGCTGGTGTTATTTTTCACACCCTGACTGTATATAAATGCTGGTGTTATTATTCACAACCTGACTGTGTGTACATGCTGGTGTTCTTATTCACACCCTGACTGTATATAAATGCTGGTGTTATTATTCACACCCTGACTGTATATAAATGCTGGTGTTCTTATTCACACCCTGACTGTATATAAAAGCTGGTGTTATTATCCAGACCCTGACTGTATATAAATACTGGTGTTATTATCCAGACCCTGACTGTATATAAATGCTGGTGTTATTATTCACACCCTGACTGTATATAAATGCTAGTGTTGTTATCCAGACCCTGACTGTATATAAATGCTGGTGTTATTATTCACACCTTGACTGTATATAAATGCTAGTGTTGTTATCCAGACCCTGACTGTATATAAATGCTGGTGTTGTTATTATCCACACCCTGACTGTATATAAATGCTGGTGTTGTTATTATCCACACCCTGACTGTATATAAATGCTGGTGTTGTTATTATCCACACCCTGGCTGTATATAAATGCTGGTGTTATTACCCAGACCCTGGCTGTATATAAATGCTGGTGTTGTTATTATCCGGACCCTGACTATATAAATGCTGGTGTTATTATTATCCAGACCCTGGCTGTATATAAATGCTGGTGTTGTTATTATCCGGACCCTGACTATATAAATGCTGGTGTTATTATTATCCACACCCTGACTGTATATAAATGCTGGTGTTGTTATTATCCAGACCCTGGCTGTATATAAATGCTGGTGTTATTATTATCCAGACCCTGGCTGTATATAAATGCTGGTGTTGTTATTACCCAGACCCTGGCTATATAAATGCTGGTGTTATTATCCGGACCCTGACTATATAAATGCTGGTGTTATTATCCACACCCTGACTGTATATAAATGCTGGTGTTATTATTATCCAGACCCTGGCTGTATATAAATGCTGGTGTTGTTATTACCCAGACCCTGACCAGCCCTGGTGTTGCTGTGTTCATGTCCCAGGCCTGTGCTGTCATACACTGTGTACATTGCTCACAATATGGCTGCTTCCTGCACGGTCGCTGTGCACTGCCCTCCACGAGATCCTGACCCGGAGCGAAGAATAACACAACTCACCGGAACGTTGTCACCGGGATCAGACACCGCACACACTGCTCTTCAGCCGCTCCCAAACATCGGGAAGAGACGGATGCAAATTGAGAACTACATCTCCCAGCGAGCCCTTGCGGGAGGAAGAAACATATTCAAATCTGTGAAACTTTATTAAAGATACAGCGGCTGTATGTGCATAGCTCCAAAACTAGGCAGAGTGTAGTTGTAGACATGGTTTGCAGGGAGCTTGGATACAAACATAAATCACAAGAATAAGAAATAAAACAAAGTTTTGGCTCTTATATTGTGCTTTATATTGTGTTGTAATTTTTTTTAACATGCATTTTAAACAGGAGGCGTGCATTTTAATGTATTGTTTATCTTAGAAGCTGCCATAGAGGGTAGCCAGGAAAAAGATAAGTAAAATGCTTTATTTTAATAAAATTTATAAATAGTTTGAAAAAAATATCCAGGGACACTTTGCTGCACAGCTATCAATTACTACCTTGAAAATGTACCATACCCACTGCCGCAAAGCACTGCCCACTCTGTCCAACCCACATAATTAATCTCCACCGATTTATAGTGCAGATTACAGGGTCTACTCAATAATGATAGAATTACAGGGAATTGAGATGGTAATTTAAAAATTAAAGGAACACTATAGTCACCAAAATAACTTTAGCTTAATCAAGCAGTTTTGGAGTATAGATCATGCTCCTGCAGTCTCACTGCTCAATTCTCGGCCATTTAAGAGTTAAATCACTTTTGTTTCTGTTTATACAGTGGTCACACCTTCACCGAATGTGACTGACACTGCCTTCCTTTAAAAAAAAATAGTTTCACTTTCAATCAGATGTTACTTACATTAAAAGTTTCTATCTCCTGCTCTGTAAATTGAACTTTAATTACATACAGGTGGCTCCTGCAAGGTCTAGCAAACTATTAATAGAGCAGATAAGGAATTCTCTATAACACAGAATTTGCAATAAAAGAAGTGGAAACATTAGAGGACTCTTCACATGAACTGTTTAAGAAGGCTGCATAAGTCATATGCAGAGAGGTGTGACTAGGGCTGCATAAACAAAGTGATTTAACTTCTAAATGGCAGAGAATTGAGCAGTAATTCTACAGGAGCATGATCTATACACCAAAACAGCTTCATTAACCCCTTAAGGACACATGACATGTGTGACATGTCATGATTCCCTTTTATTCCATTAGTTTGGTCCTTAAGGGGTTAAGCTAAAGTTGACTACAGTGTCCCTTTAAGGCCAAAGTAGCCGAGTTGAAAAAATTATCCCATTCTGCTGCACTATTTCAGCCTAAAGTTTGAAATTCTCATCTCAATTCCCTGCAATTCTCTCTTTATTACTGAGTAGACCTTTATAATACCAAGTTCCCACCAACAGTACCATACATACTTGGTGTGCGATAGATACATTCTCAGCACAGCATTTATATCATGCAGGTACATTTGATCACTTTTAGGTGAGTTGGGTATCAGTGGTAACACTGTCATTGCTTCAGTCAGAGAGCTATGTCTATACAATAACATACATTAGTTCACAAAAATAATTATATTGAGGAGTGAATATAGTAAAACAACAAGCTGAAAATAGGAAATGAATGATATAGAAGGAAAATTTACAGAAGTTAATTAATGAGAGAGATGGTAGCAAAATTAAACCAATGCACATACTCTATTACCTTTTTTTCATGCCACCAATTCAACATGTTAAATGTCTCAGATTGAGGCTTCAGTCACCACTCCACTGCTCCTGATTCTTCTAGTTCCAGGAGTTTGCGGGTTTTATATGTGTATTATACAGAGAGCAGCACTATACAGAGAACAGCACTATAAAGGGAGCACTGACTGTCCCAGGATATTATACACACAGACCTATATTATACAGAGAGCAGCACTATACAGGGAGCACTGACTGTCTCAGGATATTATACACACATACCTATATTATACAGAGAGCAGCACTATACAGGGAGCACTGACTGTCCCAGGATATTATACACAGACCTATATTATACAGAGAGCAGCACTATACAGGGAGTACTGACTGTCTCAGGATATTATACACACAGACCTATATTATACAGAGAGCAGCACTATACAGGGAGCACTGACTGTCTCAGGATACTATACACATAGACCTGTACTATACAGAGAACAGCACTATAAAGGGAGCACTGACTGTCCCAGGATATTATACACACAGACCTGTATTACACAGGGAGCACTGACTGTCCTGGAATATTATACACACAGACCTGTACTATACAGAGAGCAGCACTATACAGGGAGCACTGACTGTCCCAGAATATTATACATAGACCTATATTATACAGATAGCAGCACTATACAGGGAGCACTGACTGTCTCAGGATATTATACACATATACCTGTATTACACAGGGAGCACTGACTGTCCTGGGATATTATACACAAGCCTGTATTATACAAGCCTGTATTATACAGAGGGCAGCACTATACAGGGAGCACTGACTGTCTTGGGATATTATACACAGACCTGTATTATACAGAGAGTAGCACTATACAGGGAGTATTGTCTGTCCTGGGATAATATACACACAAACTTGTATTATACAGAGACCTGTACTTTACAGAGAGCAGCACTATACAGGGAGCACTAACTGTCCCACGATATTAAACACACAGATCTGTATTATCCAGATAGCTGAGCATATACACCATGTCCCAATCTCTAGACTACTAGTACCTGTAAACCGCAGCTCCCAGATGCCTGTAACAGGGCTTGGCAATGCAGGCTTAAGTGTGTGCAGCTCACACAGGTGATTTGGTGGTAAAGCGCACTCGCTGGCAGGGCCAGACTGGGAATACAAAGCAGCCCTGGAAAAAAATGTATGCCAGCCCTATAAGCCAGCCTTACAAGCTCACTGATACACTGGCTCAAAGACAGACAAGCTCACTGACACAAAACACAAACTCACTGACAGACAAAACTCTCTAACTCACACAAGAGCTTACTACAGACAAACTCACTTGTATAGACACACAAGGCTCACTACAGACAAGCTCAGTGACACACACAAGACATACAGACTGCTGAATATACACACACACACAGACTGCTGAATACACACAGACAGACTGCTGAGTACACATAGACAGACAACTGAATACATACACACAGTACACTGAATATACACACACAGACACAGACTGCTGAATACACACACACAAACACACATAGAGACTGCTGAATACACACATGCACAGACTGCTAAATACACACAGAATGCTGAATACATACACAGACTGCTGAATGCACACAGACTGCTGAATACACACACACAGACTGCTGAATACACACACAGAGAGACTGCTGAGTACACACAGACTGCTGAGTACACACAGACAGAGTGCTGAGTACACACACGGGCTGCTGAGTACACACAGTACACTGAATACGCCCACACACACACACACAGACTGCTGAATACACAAACGCACAGACTGCTGAATACACACAGAATGCTGAATACATACAGACTGCTGAATGCACACATTTTGCTGAATACATACAGACTGCTGAATAGACATACAGACTGCTGATACACACACACACAGACTGCTGATACACACACACAGACTGCTGAATACACACACACAGACTGCTGAATATACACAGACAGACTGCTGAATACACACAGATAAACTGCTGAATACAAACAGGCTTCTTTATACACACACACAAAGACTGCTGAATACATACAGACTGCAGAATACATAAAGACTGCTGAATACATACACACACTGCTGAATACACCCAGACTGCTGAATACACACATACTGCAGTGAGGGATGCAGTGTATGTGTTTGTGTGTAGGGGTGCTGTGTGTGTGTGTGTGGAGGGAGGGCTGTGTGTGTGTGAGAGATGCTGTTTGTTCATAGGGGTGCTGTGTGTGTGTGTAGGTGTATGTGAGGGGTGCTATGTGTGTGTGTTAGGGTGCTGTGTGTGTGAAGGATGCTTTGTGTCAGGGGAGCGGTATGTGAGGGATGCTGAGTGTGTGTGAGGGGTGCTGTGTGTGAGGGGTTCAGTGTGTGTAAGGGGTGCAATGTGTGACGGGTACTGTGTGTGTCTGCTGAGTGTGTGTCAGAGGTGCTGTGTATGTGTGTAAGAAGTGCTGTGTGTGTGTGTGAGGGTGCTGTGTGTGATAGGTGCTTTGTGTCTGGGGTGCAGTGTGTGTGTGTGTGACGGGTGCTGTGCCATGGTGGTCCAGTGGTGGTGAGATGCCTATAGCCTGCAGCTCCTCTGTCTTCACTCGACCCCCGAGCAGAATGCTGTGTCTCAGCGTTGCCATGGCACACCATGCTCACGGGAGGAGCGCTCTGCCTCCCAGGTCCTCCCATTCTCACTGTCACTAACAAAGGTCCTTTGGGCCAATGAGGGTGTTCTTTGATCTCCTCACTGGCCCGAGAGGGCCCACAGCAAGAAAGCTTCTCTGTCGCCATGGGCACATGGGCATCCCGGTGGGGCCCCCATGCTTGTGGAGCCCCCAGGCAACTGCCCAGCGTGGCCATGCGGAAAGATGACCCTGCACACAAGATCACTAAATACAAGCTCACTGATACACACAAGCTCACCACAGACAAGCTCACTGACACATACACACAAGCCCACTACAGACAAGCTCACTAACACACACACAAGCTCACTATAGACAAGCTTACTGACACACACACAAGCTCACTACAGACAAGCTCACTGACACACACACAAGCTCACTACAGACAAGCTCCCTGACACACACACACACACACACAAGCTCACTACAAACAAGCTCCCTGACACACACACAAGCTTTCTCACTAGCAGACACACACACACACATACACACAAGACTGAGTATATCAAGCCTACCTGGCACTGGAGGCTGTTGCTGGGAGGTGAGGTAGCCATCTTGGGCCTCTTCCTCCTGCAACAAGGTCTGCTGCTTAGCGGGGGTGGAGCTTTCAGATGGGAGGCATGACTTCCATACGTGGGTGGTGCTTGCATTGTGGGGGAGGAGCCTGCATCCGCGAGGCAGATCAGAAGCCTGTGTGCTGGGGAAGCTGCTGGGAATTCGTTAGGGAGACTCAGTGCTCCCTCCAGCCCCCAGCAGCCTCAATGCAGCCCCCAGCACCTCTCTCCAGCCCTCAGCACCTCCCAGTAACTCTCTCCTGAATTCCCTCGGACTGTAACAGGCTGTTACAGTCCGAGGGAACATAATAAAAGCACATGGCCCTGCAAGTTGCCTGGACTATCCCGGGAGAGTAAATTGCAAAAACAGGACAGCTGGCAACTAGGATTTAACCTCTATAACTAGGAAGGTTGTAGGAGTTGATGAGTTAAGGTGAATGCTGATAGGCTTCTTTAAAATAGTATGTTTTTATGGATTTTTAGAAGGTCTGCAGAGACCGTGACAGTAGGATGTCCCGCGATAGGGCATTCTATAAAAGGGGGTAACCCTGGAGAAGTCCTTCAGGAAAGAGTCTAGGTTGAAGGACAGGACTACAACAGGTTGTGGCTTAATGAAGAGGCCAGGGTGGAGCATTTAGGGATTAGACATAAGCAGGGGCACAGTAATGGAGAGGTTTGTAACTAAAAACAAGAAGTTTGTAACTAAGGGCAAGAAGTTTGAACCAACTCATAAATGAAACAGGAAGCCAGTGTAGAGACTGACAGGGGCAAGGTACCGGTATGTGAATTCCTTGATGTAAGGTAGATGAGTCTGGCGTTCATTATGGACTGTAGAGGAGCAATCTGTTTGTTTTTCACTCCAGAAAGCAGATCGATATAATAATCATTCTGGAAACAACATGAGAACGAACAAGCATTTTATATGCATCTCGCGTGAGAATGTACAGCGCTACAGAATTTGCTGGCTCTATATAAATAATAAACTAATAATAATAATGGGGCGAACGAACTACCGTATGTTTTTAAGAGACGCCCATATATTTTAACTCTCGAATATTAGAAGAAAACTAACATAAAATTAACTACCGGTAATAATTTGAATGTCTTACTACCTTTAGCTCTTTTTGCCTCGTATTTCATACAAAAATTCTGAGTTTCATCAATAACCCTGACAGAGTTTTGGATCAGTGTTTTTTTCTTTTTCTTTAAAATACATTGTGGTATTCAAATACTTTCCCTACTAATACTAAATGCTTCCATGAGAGGGTTGGCAAGGGGGACAGGGACAGTAGGTCACAACTACACAGTTCTTCTGCTTATTAAAACCAGCTTGAAGTGTGTTGGTAGCAGGGAAGGAATTGTGGTGGACCAATGCTAGCCCAGCAATGTCTTTATTTGTTCATGGTCTGATAAACCGGAATTCCAATGTTCTCCATGTTTGTCCATTGTGGTATATTCCAGTGTCTGAGGTTGACCTGGCTTCCAGACCATGATGAAAATATATGATGTCCCTGGAGGTGTTTACAAATGACAGAGTGAGTTGAGTGCTCATGACATTTAAACAGTTTGTCTTTGGAGGCAGTTGAAGGGACAGTTTAGGCACCATAACTACTTCACAGAAAGATTCCCCATTCACAAGTTTTTTTTCAAGCCAGTTTGATGAGTGGGGATTCACTGATCTTGAAGAGATTAACCCCTTAGGGCAAGACAGTGCCAGGGACCTTCTGGTACCATAACAACTTAATTTTCATGATGTTGTTATGGTGCCCAGAGTGGACTTTTAAGTCTTTTTCTCATAGATGCTCACAGATATCTGTGAATGCTTTCCAACGCTTTACAGTTAATACTGATGGGTATTTGCTTGCATACACTACAGCTCCAGCAGCCTCGGTCTACCAAACCAATATATACCATTCTCTACGTGAAAATGTCCAGCCACACTGAGATCTGTGTGTTAAAAAAATATATAATTTGCACTTACCCTAGGCCAACATTTGCCAGCCCCTTGGATGTTTCTCATTACCTATCTGTTTTTATCTTTACAAAGAACCTATGCAGCAATATTTAATTCACTATTTGTATGTAAAAAAAAGGACCCGCTGAACAGATAAAAATAATCAGCACATGGATAGGACTATTTCTAATTATCTTAAAAAAATAACGTAGGCCGTCTTTTTATATAGGCAGCCATGTTATTTAAGCTTTTATCTTACCCAACGTGAGGATACATCAGCATTTCCTCATTATATCAAATCAATATTTTTAATAGATCAGCTGAATAAGTTTGCCCAGTTCCACATTAGGGCACGATGCCAGGCATTGCTTGGAAGCAGACCACTTCATAATGTGTCTGTGTCAAGCTGTGTGAAACTGATCACTAGACTTGTATGATAGTCTTTTTGCCAAGTGCACATAATACTGGATGTATTTAGAGAGTGCTGAGATAGAATCACTGTGACCACCTCCCTAGTGTTTGAGATATTTGCTGTGCATTAGGATATAAAATTCATGAAGTGGGACATATGGAGAGGCTCATGGTCTGTAAAGGGCTGAATTTGTAATATGTTTCTGAGTTGACTGAATTCTTAAATGCTGTGTGTTTACCTTGGAGAATATAATTTGCCGGAAAGTGAAATCCCTCATTAATCTTCTGCTAATGTGAGAGTAGGAACCATTTTGAGGTGCTATTAAGTTGGAAGAAACACATTGTGCTTTAGCCTAATGATAGAACTCTAAAGGTTCTGTTACCTCACTGCACCCTAATGTTTCTTAATACAGGCAAGAGGCATGTTTGTTTTTCTTCTTTGATCCTCAAACAGTCTGTTAGTTCTGTCATTTTGGGAAAACTGTGAGCCTTGTAATGTGCATTTTATTTACCGATGTCATTTTTTTATTATTTATATAGCGCCATCAGATTCCGTTTATTAGAACCAACCCAGCCAATGGGTAACGACTAATGTTTTTATCAACTCTGCAGTAATGTATTTGGCAAATCAGTAGTTTCAGGGCTATAATATTACATTTACGGATTAATAACAGCTTGTCCATCAAGAAGATAGTGTGTACATTTTAGTATACCTTTTTAGTATGCTGATCCTACAGCTATTTAGCCTATTTCATCCATAGCAAGATAAGAAGAAAACAAGCAAGATTTAAATGGAACCTTCAGTCACTAACCTTGGCTTCCATTACTCAGACGCGATCACATGGAATACGCCTACTCCTCCTCTGCCCGTGCTCCTCCTGCGACAATCACTGATTTGACCTGCTTGAGGACACTTCACCAAGCAGGCCAAACTTCCTCAGTGATGCCGACATGCTGGCTTCACTGCTAGCACAATATATAGATGGAATTTTATGCTCTTTTCAAAGCGCTAAAGTTGTTTTCCCTTAATTTGATTCCCTGGTGTTTTAAAGGGACACTAGAGTCACGCAGACTCAATGAAGTGGTTTGGGTGCCAGGTCCCCCAGGTTTTAACCCTTCACATGTAAACATAGCAGTTTCAGAGAAACTGCTATGTTTACATTGCAGGGTTAATCCAGCCTCTTCCTGACAGCCGCTAGAGGCGCTTCTCGATGCAGTGTGCAGAACGTCCAGAGGAAAGCATTGAGAAATGATTTCCTATGGACTGTTTGAATGCGCGCACGGCTCTTGCCGTGCATGCGCATTCCACTCCACTCGGGAGCCGACGTAGGAGTGAGAGGAGAGGCCACCAGCACCGAGGGATCCCGTTTTAACCCCTTTAGCGCGAAGGGATGGGGGCCACGAGGGTGGGGGAACCTAAGAGTTGTATAGTGTCAGGAAAACAAGTTTGTTTTCCTGACACTATAGTGATCATTTAAAACTTCAAATTTTATTAGTTTCTTTGCTATTTAGTAATTGTTGTTTGCTTTGATTTCACTATTTGCCTCACTTTGGATGCTTTCTTTAACAGAGCTCTGGACCAGAGTAGGGTCTCTCCGCCACTTTGTCTCCCTCCTTCAGTTCAGCCACCCTGGGATCAGCACAGCAGTGAGTAAAGCCTCTATCCCCATACACTAGTCAAGATTTAGGGAGGGTAAAACAAACACATTTTTATTCAGGGTTGGATGTGTATTAAATCTGCAAGGGGTGATTACTAGAACAATCACAAGTTCCTTCCCTGGTGCCAGTGTGTCTAGGCTAATTAGAGTTAAGATGATCATAGTTAATGATATTTCCCCCCTGTTGTGTCCTCTCCAGACAGGGGTACCAGATAATTAGAGAAAACTCCCACCCATGGGCGTAGGAACCGGGGGGGAATGGGGAGGACGCATCCCTCCCAGCAAATCATGCGGGGGGAGGAAAGGTTATAGAGAAATCCCCCCAACTCCGCTGGCTGCAGGTGGCTCCATCAGGGAACCGCACGCACTGCAGACTGGGAAGGGGAGCACCTCCCCCTCCGCGCAGGAGCGCCGGGTGTCACGTGACTACCCGGTGCTCAGTCTGACACTGCGTCCGCCGGACGTCCAGAGGTCCCCCTGCTATGTCAGGTAAAAGGGGGGGGGGACAACAGTTTGTAGGGGGGAGAGCAAAGCCGGTCACCTCTGAAAAGAAAAAAAAACAGCTGCCTGAGCATTTTTAGTGTTAATTAATGGAAGGTTTAAAGAAGGGGGAAGGTAGAAAAATGAATGTAAGCGGTTAGGGGGGCTTCTAATATGAATGGGAGGAAGGGGGAGGAAGAAAAATAATTGGAAGGGGTTAGGGGGTCTACTAATATGGATGGGAGGAGGGGGAAGGTAGAAAAATAATTGGAATGGTTTAGGAGGGCTTCTAATATGGATGGGAGGAGGTAGAAAAATAATTGGAAGGGGTTAGGGGGGCTACTAATATGGATGGGGAGAGGGGTAGGTAGAAAAATAATTGGAAGGGGTTAGGGGGGCTACTAATATGGATGGGGAGAGGGGTAGGTAGAAAAATAATTGGAACGGGCTAGGGGGGCTACTAATATGGATGGGGAGAGGGGTAGGTAGAAAAATAATTGTAAGGGTTTAGGGGGGTTACTAATATGGATGGGAGGAGGTGGAAGGTAGAAAAATAATTGGAATGGTTTAGGAGGGCTTCTAATATGGATGGGAGGAGGTAGAAAAATAATTGGAAGGGGTTAGGGGGGCTACTAATATGGATGGGGAGAGGGGTAGGTAGAAAAATAATTGTAAGGGGTTAGGGGAGTACTAATATGAATGGAAGGGGTAGGGTGGGTTCTAATATGCATGGAAGGTGTTAGGGGGTACTAATATGCATGGAAGGGGTAAGGGAGGTTAATATGCATGGAAGGGGTAGGTTCTTATGTGCATGGAAAGGGTAGGGGTGGTTCTAATATTCATGGAAGGGGTAGGGGTGGTTCTAATATTTATGGAAAGGGTAGGTGGGGTTCTAATATAAATGGAAGGGGTAGAGACGGGTAGTAAAATGTATGGAATGCACTTCTGAAAGTGTCACTGAATGGCAGTTAGGAAATGTGGTCACCCTAAGTCAGGGGCAGTATTACACAATCTGTATATGTATAAAAAAATATAAAAAGTAATCTGCAAAATACAAAATGTTTGTGTCATATGTCGTGCTAAAAATTAAGCTAGGAATGTGCATATTTTTTTAAAATAATTTTTAGAATAATGATACAGACATTTTATTTCTTACATTTGTGATGATTCTTTTTTCCCCTCTTTATTCAAGGGACACTATAGTCACCAGAGCCACAACAGCTAAACGTAGTAGTTCTGGTGTCTATAGCATGTCTTTGCAGGCCAAGGCAGTATTTACATTACTGCTGAGGAATACCTCTAGTGGACACTCAGATGGCCACTAGAGGTGCTTCCTAGTCGAGACATGAATGAAGTATCTGCGCATGTGCGGCAAAGCTGTGCATGCACACCAGGGAGCAATGACGCTTCTGAATAGAAGCGTTTTATTGCTCCCTGCTCGCACCCTCCTATTTCGTCCCTTCCCTGTAGTGACCCTTTAATGTTATTATTTTATCATTTATATAGTGCCAGCAAATTCCGTAGCGCTGTACAATGGGATAAACAACTCCTAGTTTACGGAATAAAAATATACCTGGCGAGTAAAAATGCTATCACCCCCAGATTTTTGGGGGTTCCTACGCCCATGCTCCCACCCACAAACACATAAGCACCGAAAACCTTGCAATCAGGGCTCGAGTCCTGTAGGAACACGTGGGAATGGCGTTCCTGCACTTTTTTCACAGCAGGAACGCCGTTCCCGTTGCTCCTGCAGGAACCCAGGGGGTGGCAAAAAATGCCACCCCCAAATGCCCCCTGTGTTCCCCCTGTCATGGGGGGCCCAAGAGGTGGTCTGATGGCCACCTGATGGACCCCCCCGGCAAGTGGCTATCTGACGCGGTGAGGGAGCTGCGTCCTATCTGCTCTGCTCCCTCTCGCCGTGCGCGCCGTTTGCTGATGCCGGGAGGCAGAATATGACGTCATATTCCGGCTCCCGGCATCAGAAGACAGCCCGTGCGGCGAGAGGGAGCAGAGCAGAGAGGACACAGCTCCCTCGCCGCGTCTGACAGGAAGACAGCCGCCCGCCCCACTGAAGCCCCATTGGACCCCAGGGACAGGTTCATGCCAGCTCTCCAGGTAGGGAGGCTGGGTGGACTTTTTAAATTTTAAAAAATAATAATTTGTATGTTTCTGTGTGTGTATGTGTGTGTGTGTCTGTGAGTGTGTCTGTGAGTGTATGTGTGTGTTTCTGTGAGTGTGTCTGAGTATGTGTGTGTGTGTCTGTGAGTGTGTGTTGCACACAAGAGGTTAAAAAACGTTTAGGTGATGTGACGAAATGCCTTTTGTCACTGGATTGTTAGGTGACAAGCTGCCCTTTGCCCCCGGCTGTTGGAGGAGCCTGTTTGCCAGCCTCCTCCCTCATGACTATTGCCCTGGGGTGTATTGCCATTTTAAAAGACTATTTGGGGCTTATTGGCTTCTAAAGACTGTTTCTGCCCATTTGAATCCATGGGAAGGTGTGTCTCTTCCCCTCCCCCTTTTCCTGTCTATTGTTCTTCAGAAGGGCGTTGTCCCAGGCACATTGCCAGACCAGTTGGAACTGACTGCTTTTGTCCCTTCTTGGTCTCTCAACAGCCCTTGCTATGCTTTACCCCATGGCAAATTTACTCTGTTTGTGGGATCTGAGCGCTGTTCACCTATATTGGGCGCTCAGATCTGAGCTATCTGGGGATAGATTAAATGTGGGGGTTCTGTGTAATATAATAAGAATTATGTATTTTTATGTACTTTTATGTATTTTTGCTGTTAGTGTAAAATGTAGATATTTTCTGTACCTGGAGATAATTGAGTTTACTGCAGTCCCTTAAGCCAATTATCTCCAGGATGGAGAGGAGGGATTTCATTGTGTATGTGGGAGTGTTATTATGTTAATTAGTGTTCCCATTGGTTTGTGTTCCTTTTGTCACAGTTTACCACCCGGTCCAGTCGTTGTGCCTCTGGCCTGAAAATTGTATATAAGGAGTAATAAACTCTCATTGGAGTCAGATCATCTTGAACCTTCATGAAGTTTCGGTTAATGTTTGGGGGATTGGAGAACTTCACTCTGGGGATTGCTATAATCACTATACTCCCCAGGGTATAATCACTAAGCTCTGCTAAGAGCTTGTTCCTGTTCCTGCTCTCTGGAATTCGGAGGAGTTGACCTACTGGAAGCGCTGGACCCTGGTCTTGGGTCCAGAGTGGGTGGAGACGGCAAGACCCCAACCAAGCTGCGGCGGTTAGTGGGAGTCTACAGTGGTTATGGTGTCTGGCGGAGTGCTTGGAGTACTCGGAAAGCACTAGGAGCATCCATCAACGGAAGGTACCCGTCAGGGTGCCAGTGGTTCCGTTACAGGCGATATTCCCCTTTCAGATGCACAGGCTGCTACTGCAATCACCAATCTCCCGAACTGCAAACACACGAATTCTCCAACTCCTGAACTGGAACCATACAAATCCTCCAACTCCTGAACAGGAAACACTCGAATGCTGTTAAACAGCCGAACAGGAAAAAACATACAAACAGCTTACACTCCTGGCAGTCGCACTGTATCAGCATGCAATCCAATTCCCCCCAAGAACGAGACGACACTTCGTTTGAGGATCAAGCAGAACTGATTTACTGGAGCTACCTGCCCGCTTTTATGCAGGTCTTCCACCTGGTGGACACTCCCCTAGGGGACCAGATGGGAAACTAGGACACAAAGGGTAAAAGGACCAATCACAAGCTTACACATTTAAACAATCCCACAATGCATCACAATCCCTCCTCTCTGTCCTGGAGATAAATGGGAAGTAATCCAATTATCTCCAGGGACAGAGGCAAAACTCCATTAAGCACATGTTACCAAAAAGACAGAAAAATATACAATGTTGCAAATATTGAACAAAACATATACATTCAACATATCCTCAGATAGCTTAGATCTGAGCGCACATTATTACCAAATGGTGCTCAGATCACATACATACAGTTCAATTGCCATGGAGCCAAAGTCTTTCATACAGTCTTCCAGTATACGAATGGGCTCCATGGCATAACTATCTGGGGTAACATTGTTCACATAATGAAAGTCCTGAATGAACCAGTGTTCGTTTCTTTGCAGGAGAAGGGAAGTCGGCGGCTCAGCGGTGTTCGTGCAAATTAGTGTCCGTTTTGAGTTCCATAGATTTGGAGCTGAACACCGCTGGCCGTTCAGGAGTTTAAAATGGCCGCTGCCACGTGTTTGGCAAATGAACAAAGGCCACCCAGTGTTCGTTGATTAAGCTGCGGTTAATTGACGGCACACTCCAGTTCCCAGGTGGTCGATCGGTCGGTGGTTTGTTCGGTAGATTCAATCTACCGAACGCCCAGGCAGAAAGGCATGAATAAGCCTTTCTGCAGGGAAAATAAAAGGTTTTTAACATGGGGCCATAGTCCAGCGGCAGTAGGCGGGCAACCAGGCTCCTCCAGTGGCCAGTGGCGAGGTTGGTTCCACCACAGTGTGTGTGTGTGTGTCTGTGAGTGTATGTGTGTGTGTCTGTGAGTGTGCGTGTCTATGAGTGTGTCTGAGTATGTGAGTGTGTCTGAGTATGTGTGTCTGTGAGTGTATGTGTGTATGTGTCTGAGTGTGTGTGTGTGTCTGTGAGTGCATATCTGCGTGTGAGTGTATGTGTCTGTGTATGAGTATGTGTATAAGTGTATGTGTGTGCATGCGTTTATATATGCATATATATGCATATATTATTATTTTTTGGGGCAGGGGGGTGATCTTGGGTGAGTTCCCACACTTTATTCCTGTCACGGTTCTCACCTGATAGACAGACGGCAAGACGTGGTCGCTCTTGGAGTTCCCAACAGGGGACTTGAACCGGGGATCTTCTCAGTCCTGGTCCTGCTTTCTACCTCTGAGCCACAGCAGCTATTTACAGTGAAGACTGATTCCAGTCCTGTTCATCCTGACATGGCTACTACTCTGGGGGCTGCACCTTGACTTGGCTGTGTTTCACCTGACTCTGATCAGTCATCAGCAGGGTATATAAACCCAGCCTCGCCCTGTGCTCAGTGTCAAGTCTTTGATCCTGTTTGTTCTAGTGTTCCTGTTTCATCGCTTCGCATTATTGACCCCGGCTTCCTGACTCGTTTATTCTGACTTCTGGCATCCCTTGACTTCGGCTACTCCTCGTTGTTCCTGTCCTCTGGCATCCTTTGACCTCGGCTATCCCTCGACCATCCTGCTGGTTCAGTCCTTGCCTGTCCTGCGTATTGGTACTGCATTCTGCACAGCCCCCGTGCACAGACACACAGGCCAGGTGAATTCTTACCTGACCACCTCGGCCTGTGGCTATCTGCAAGGGTGAGCATCATATCTGCGCTACAGACTCCCAACTCAGGTAAGACCCTGACAATTCCCCAGGACTTGACCCCTGCATGCAATCCTAAATCCTCAGCTGTTCAAAGAATATCCTGATTTCTCATACTTTGTCCAATTGCCACCCGTTTAAAGGTTTAGGCTTGGCCTAAGTTCCAAACCAGTCTATAGTTCCATGTGGCTGGCCTGAAGTTCTGAGTCTCACCCTAGTTTTTAATCAGAGTAATATCGCAACCTCATGGATGTGAGAGTAGTCCACGTTCTGTGCCATGGTTTATAGTCTGTGGCAGGGATGCTGGCCTCCAAGCCCTTTCACAAGTGCCTTAAACAGGGGCATCCATTACATTTAGTTTTTTATCTTTGTTATAGTTTTTAGTTTCTATTAGTTTCTTAAGTAAAAGCGAGATTGTATCTGATTTTAGATAGCCCTAGCTATAGGTGTTTCTGTACTTTTAGTACTTAAACAGGGTTGGTAAGTTTTTTTTTTTCCCCATTAAAATAGGTGCAACCAAAAATGTAACAAATTGATATCAATATCCTCCAATAACACTGTACTGTATATTGAAGGTGAATTTGTTCCCTTTGCTAATGTAATAATTTTTCAATGTTTTTAAGATACACAAAGTATCTCTGTTCTTTTTTTTTTTCTCATTCACCGGTTTATTAGTATAGATGAAACTTGGTTTGCAAAACAACAACAACTATTATAATCCAATCAAGGAACATATCATAGATCCATATGATTTTGTGTGAACAGCATCACCATTATGGTGAAACACAGGTCTCGCGAATAAACTAAGAATATTTCCCAAAACAGGGAGGGATAAATATAGATCTCATATGAATTGTAAACTGAATCGATATTATAAAGAAAGTCGGGTGAAATAAGTTGTCATAGTAAAATCAGAGAGTCCGGACAAGGTAAGGAGGGTGGAATTTCTGTTCGAAACTGCCATTGTGAGTGTTAGTCTTATATGCAATAGAATGGTTTTCTCTGTAATGGCACGTGTACAATAAAAGACAAGTTAGTGAGGTTTTTGTCTATTCTTAGTGTTCTGATAAATGCTGTTTTGTGGGTCTTTAGGAATTTGCCTAAATCCTGTGATGTTTGGCTTTCAGCTCATTTCATATGAGACATTTGGATGAAAGGTTAGGAGCTGATTTACCTTGGTCGAAGTAAGTGTGGTAGAACTAACTTCTCCCTAAATCCCTCAACATACCTCCTTTCCTTTTTAAAAGTCGAGAATCAGCTTCCACCCACGAGGCAGAATTATTTATTATGGAGAAATAACACAAAAAATATCATAGAAACTGTTGTCAAGATGGCTAGAGATATAATGTGCTTGTATTATGTATTTCTGCTATTTTATTCTACAAACACCAAAATGCTATTTAGTGTACTAAACAATGAAGCATAATGTATGAAAACAATTCCACAATAAATTTGACTATTGATGAAGGGAATATAAAGCAGCATCTTATTTATGTTTATTATTTAGTCTTAAAAGGTTTCAAAATGAAACACTAATTTAGAAATATCTTTTTCAGGTGATATACAATAAATCTCCACGGCAGACTGGACGAAGGATTATATTTCAGATCATCGACCTGATATTTAGATTATTAAGTCTGTTGTCGTATCCAGTTATATTTAAAACCACTTAAATATTGAATACATTCTCTTAACCCCTTAAGGACACATGACATGTGTGACATGTCATGATTCCCTTTTATTCCAGAAGTTTGGGCCTTTTATTCCAGAAGGACACATGACATGTGTGACATGTCATGATTCCCTTTTATTCCAGAAGTTATGGGGTTAAACTAAAGGATACTAAATGTGCTGGCAATGGTGGATCCAGAGCCTGATCTCATGAGGGGCACTTGTAGATTATTTAAAGAAATAATGCAGGCACAATAACCACTACAGCTCAGTGTAGTAGTTATGGCGCCAGTAGTGCCAGGATCCCATCCCAGAGTAAGTAGTCAAATCGTTTAAGAACAGTTTGACAACTTACCTGGGGTCTGCTGGGATATAGGGCATAGGAGCAGTGGTATGTGTTAGGGGTGAAGTGTGTGTGTGAGCTGTGAAGTGTGTGTGCGAGTACGTGAGGGCGGCAGTGTATGTCAGGGTTGCAGTGTGTGTGTTAGGGGCAGTGGCGTACATACCAGGGTCGCAGGGGTCGCGGCTGCGACCGGGCCCGGCCCACCAGGGGGCCCGGCCGCCCCTGCGACCCGGTATGTAGCCACAGGGCCAGCCTCTTCCCCTGGGGGGCCCAGGAGCCGACCACCCCAGGGCCCCCCAAGGCTGGCCCTGCTGTCACCGGGTGGCCGGTCGGGAAGGCGGGCGCGCGAGGGAGTAGTCAGTGCTTCCTCTTCAGCTCCCTCACGCACCGCACTGATGCCGGAGCCGGAAGATGACGTCATCTTCCGGCTCCGCCTCCGGCATCCCTATGCGGCGCATGAGGGAGCTGAAGAGGAAGCACTGAGTGCTCCCTCGCGCGCCCGCCTTCCCGACCGGCCACCCGCCCGCCGGGGTCAGCAGCACCACTGGACCCCAGGGAATCCCCCCAGCACTCCAAAAGGTAAGGAGGCTGGGGGGATTACATTTAAAAAAAAAAACTAGTGTTAGTGTGAGAGTGAGTGTTAGTGTGTGTGTGAGGGTTAGAGTGTGTGTGAGGGTTAGTGTGTGTGTCTGCTAGTGAGTGTTAGTGTGTGTGTGAGGGTTAGTGTGTGTGTGTCTGCTAGTGAGTGTTAGTGTGTGTGTGTCTGCTAGTGAGTGTTAGTGTGTGTGTGTCTGCTAGTGAGTGTTAGTGTGTGTGTTAGTGTGTGTGTGTCTGCTAGTGAGTGTTAGTGTGTGTGTCTGCTAGTTAGTGTTAGTGTGTGTGTGTGTTAGAGTGAGTGTTAGTGTGTGTGTTACTGTGTGTGTCTTACTGAGTGTGTGTGTTAGTGAGTCTGTTTGATGTCTGTTAGTGAGTGTGTGTTTGTCAATGAGAGTGTATGTTTTGTAAGTGAGTGTGTATGTATGTCTGTCGCTGACTGTGTCTCTGTCAGTAAATGTGTGTGTCTGTTAGCTAGTGTGTATGCGTCTGTAAGTGTGTGTGTGTCTTCAGCACTTACCTTTCTCCAGCGCCGGACTCCCTTGGCGCTGAGGATCCCTCAGCCTCTCAGCTCCGAATGCGACCGCGCACGCATTCAAACCGCCCATAGGAAAGCATTACTCAATGCTTTCCTATGGACGTTCAGTGTGCTCCTCTAGCGGCTGTCAGTGAGACAGCCACTAGAGGCTGGATTAACCCTCAGTGAAACATAGCAGTTTCTCTGAAACTGCTATGTTTTCAGCTGCAGGGTTAAAACTAGAGGGACCTGACACCCAGACAACTTCATTGAGCTGATGTGATCTGGGTGTCTGTAGTGGTCCTTTAAAGGACCACTATAGTGCCAGGAAAACATACTCGTTTTCCTGGCACTATAGTGCCCTGAGGGTGCCCCACCCTCAGGGACCCCCTCCCGCCCGGCTCTGGAAAGGGGAAAAGGGGTAAAACTTACCTTTTTCCAGCGCTGGGCGGAGAGCTCTCCTCCTCCATCCTCCTCTTCTCACTCCCCGTCGGCTGTATGCTTACTTGGCAAGGCTGTCTTGGCGCATTCAGCCGGTCACATAGGAAAGCATTCATAATGCTTTCCTATGGACGCTGGCGTGCTCTCACTGTGAAAATCACAGTGAGAAGCACGCAAGCGCCTCTAGTGGCTGTCAATGAGACAGCCAGCTAGAGGAAATAGGGGAAGGCTTAACCCATTCAGAAACATAGCAGTTTCTCTGAAACTGCTATGTTTATGAAAAAATGGGTTAACCCTAGCTGGACCTGGCACCCAGACCACTTCATTAAGCTGAAGTGGTCTGGGTGCCTAGAGTGGTCCTTTAAGTGTGTGTGCATCTGCATGCACTGGCGTACATACCGCGATCGCAGGGGTCGCAGCCCTGTAACCTCTGCGACCAGGTGCCCACCGTCATGCGTTGCGGCCCGGCCCGCGCGCGGGGGGGGAGGGGAAGGAGGGAGGGAGGGGCCCACGTATCAATTTTCGCACCGGGGCACCATGGGTCCTGTGTACGCCACTGGTTAGGGGGCAGTGTATGTGTGGGGCAGTGTGTGTGTGAGAGAGCTGCAGTGTGTGTGTGTGTGTGTGTGAGCGGTGCAGTGTGTATGTGATGGTGGCAGTGTGTGTGAGAGTTGCCGTGTATGTGTTTTGTGGGCAGTGTGTGTATGGGGGCAGTGTTTGTGGGGCAGTGGCTGTATGGGGGAGCAGTGGGTGTAGTGTGTGTATGGAGGCAGTGTTTGTGGGGCAGTGTGTGTATGGGTGTGCAGTGTGTATGGGGGATAGTGTTTATGGGGCAGTGTGTGTAGTGTGTGTATGGGGGGCAGTGTTTGTGGGGCAGTGTGTGTAGTGTGTGTATGGGGGGCAGTGTTTGTGGGGCAGTGTGTGTAGTGTGTGTGAATGGGGGCAGTGTGTGTAGTGTGTGTATGGGTGTGCAGTGTGTGTATGGGGGCAGTGTTTGTGGGGCAGAGTGTGTAGTGTGTGTATGGGGACAGTGTTTGTGGGGCAGTGTGTGTAGTGTGTGTATGGGGGGCAGTGTTTGTATGGTGGGGAAGGAGGGTAGGGAGTCTTTTTTTTAAATTTAATTAAAATAAAAATACTTTATGTCCCCCCTCCCTTCTTACCTTTACTGGGAGGAGGGGGAACATTTCTGGATCCCTGGTGGTCTGGTGGGGATTCAATGGTGCTCCCAGTGGTAGGAGTGAACTCTAGCCCGTAGCTCCAGGGCTATAGTTCACTCTCGCGAGATTTGGAGCTTTGCCGTGGTAACCGCGGCAACGCTCTGTGCTCGCGAGAGTAGGACCCGGAGGAGCTGCAGGTAACAGCTCCTGGGTCCTCTCTCCTCCCTCTCCCTTCTGATCTCTGACCTCCCGGTCCGCATGCACATTGCAGGGCTTGCACTTGGACAATGCCAGCCCTGCATTAGCCAGCAGGGGAGAATCTCGGGGGTGGGGGCAATTGCCCCGTTGCCCCCCCCCCCCGATCCGCCACTGTGTGCTGGTTCATATTGTTAGCCATGAGGGTTATTATGGGTTTAAGTAGTATTGCTGGTTCAATTTAGGTACTACTCAAAGCTGATCTATAGAATATATTAGCTAGTTCTGGTTGTCATATGAAATAGACATTGATGAGTCTGTGGTCATTCTCAATAAGTGCAAAAGAACAAAGTATTCTTTCAAAGGTAGGTTTAATTTGCACTGAAAGGCAATAAAGAATGCACTGGCCTTGCATAATATTAACGGTCATGTCACTGAATTTCATCAAAATGACCACAAATATCAACTTGCGGTCTGGAAGATATAAATGCCTACATCTCAGAGAGAAGTGTCTATGAATTCTCAGTAATCATATAAATAAATAAATAAACTTATTGGATTCTTTCATTTCATTTCTAAAACCAAATGGGCTAAATTAAGACGTAGACATTGTGTCCACTTATAAAATTGATTTTTTTTTCTTTGTCTGGGCTTTGTTTGGCTTTTTTTGTTTTTTGTTTAGGTATGTGTTATGGGAATTTTGAAAAAAATATTGTGCGCAAATATTTTATCTATATACATTTTTTTCCTAAACCATTTTTTCTTGGTTTGGTAATGGAACTGCAACCCAACAGAAGGTAACTATTACAATTTGAAAATTATGAATTAGACTCTATTATCAAATTAAGACTTGTGCTACATTAACTAGGCAGCTATCCTGTATAGTGTATTTTAGATTTGTGCATGGCAGAACCATTTTTTCCAAAAATGAAACTTATTTAGGAACGGCTGACACTGTTTCAGTTTCCTATTCGGCTTGTCTGATATCAGGGGATGTCTTTACAGTATGCAGCTAATCAGAGTGCTCGTACGAATGAAGCTGGTATGGACATTCTGCTGGAGACTGCAGTGGAGAGAGACATACATCAACCACAAGGTAAGTTAGGAGAGGGCCCTAGGCAGAATGCCAGATTTGGCCCCCACCTAGAACCATGAGGTCTATTTTATGTGTGGGTATGTATTCACTAAGTGTAGTGTTTGTGAGTGTGTGTAGTGGCTGCGTGTTGCATGTGAACGTAGGTGAGAGTGTATGTTTTGCCCCCACCCCTCCTGGTTTCCTTCCTTGGTGCTCCAATGGAGAGGGAGTTGGATCCATGGTTGTCCAGTGGGGGAGAATATAAGGTCTGTGTGTCCAAGTTGATGTTTAGGAGATTGGACTACTGTATGAGTCCCATAGAGCTGCAGAAGGCAGATGCCAATCCTACCAGACATTTGTTGGCCGAGAGCATCAACTGACTATACTTGGCCATTTATTGCAATTCTATGCAATCAAAGTTGCACAGAATTTACATTAGCCAGCACGAAACCCTAGTTCTGGCTGGGTAATAATACACCAGTAACGCTGGCAGAGGTGGAGTTACACCTCCAGAAGCAGAGAGGATAATCTCTGAATGTGCAGAGGTTAATAGCGAAAGCTAAAAGCATTTTTATTGTATGAATGTCAGTTGTCACATTCATATATGTGTGCCTGGTGTGTCTAGGGTGCCCACGTGTCCCGGATCGATCAGGACTGTCCCAAATTTTGTGGGTCTGTCCCAGGTCCTGGGCACCTTTATTCTGGGACAATGCAATGTCCATATTAGTGAAGAGGGGGCCCACTGGCTTCCCCACTATGCCAGCGCTGCGGGCACCCATTTGCTGCCCGCTAGTGGAGATGTGCGAGCGGCAACCCTCCTTCCCCTCCCAGCGCTGCGAGGAAGTGAGGTCACACGCGATGACGTCACTTCCTCCAAGCGCTCTATGCAGATGGCCACGCGGGAGTAAATAGAGAGGAGCTCCCTGGACCAGGTAAGTTCATGGAATGAGGGAGGGGGTGAAATCTTTATCATGGACTCACTAGTACTACTAGTGATTCCATGATAAAGATTTCACCCCCCTTCCTCTCATTGAGTAAGCAGTCGGGGGGTGGACATGAAATGGAGGAATAGACATGAAATGGAGGGGGGAGTGGGAAAATGGACATGAAATATAGGGGAGATATGGGGTTAAAAGTTTTAATAAGTTTTTTTAAATGTTTGTATTGATATTTATATGAGTGTGGGTCTGTGTATGCATGTATGTATGTATGTATATATGTATGCAAGAGTGCATTTGTATATATATGTGTGTATGTACATATGTAACACTGCTTAGTGCCAAATACATTTTTTTTTTTAAATTGTGGTTGTTTTTTACAAGTTGGGAGTGGAGGGGGGGTTGCCAAAAATAGGACCAGCCCGGGTACGCCCCTGTATGTATATATATATATATATATATATATATATATATATATATATATATATATATATATATAGTGTACACCCTATTGCAATAGGCTGCGCTCGCCTATGGTCACATTTAGATTTTTTATTCACATGCTGAAAATTTTTACTAGTTGCCTCTATAAGTTTAACACAAAACATACATAGATGTCAAACTGTTAAACTTGTGCAGCAATCGCTAATTTTTATGATGGAAACATGTTCTTCATAACTCCATTAATACTCATTAGTCTTTATTAATATTTCCTTATTCTTTCGTATTCGTGATAAATTAGTGTTTGTGAGTATGTACTAATGTTTATTTATATGTAGAGATAATTAAATATTTAGGATTTAAGAATGGATTTTCGGAAGAAAAACAAATAACTTGCGATCTTATGTAAATTAATATGTTGGTAGATGTTTAAAAAATCAATAATTTTGAAAAATCTGTATATCTAAACAATCTGCATTTATTGTTAATAATTTTACTTTAAAAGCACGTATAACAATGAGCATAACAATTATAACAAACAATTATGACTAACTGTTAGAATTTCGTTTTCAACACTTACATCATAGCTTATCAAAGCTCTCTGTAACATTTTTTACATGGTCTTATTTCCCAAATATCACTATAATCAAAATCAGTATTACGGTATAGCATTATATAGCTTTTTAGCAAGGTTGGGTGCATTTGTACTTATTTATATACTACATAATATTGTTCTGTAGTAAAGGTTAATATATTATATTCATTGTAGCAATTATGGTGCAAGGACACTTTGGGTGCAGTCCTTCCTTTTTAGTATGAAATTGTTTTTGTGTTAGGATAAAAAAAGGGGGGGTTCTCCTGGAACCCAAATGTTTAGCCCTGACTTAGCTAAGACTTAATAGTCTATTAGTGCCACACTAAAATTCTTTCTCCTATTAAAGGGACGCTATAGTCCCCAGAACAACTACAGCTTAATGTAGTTGTTCTGTTGAGAATAGTGAGTCCATGCAGGCTTTTTGTAGTAAACACTGTGTTTTCATAGAAAAGGCATTGTTTACATTAACCCCTTAATATTGTGTACTTAGAAGCAGTGTGCTTATTTATTGTATGTTTATTCTGTCCTTACATTGCCAGTTTCTATTACTGCCCTTAGTAAACTTACAATAAATAAGCACACTGTTCCTGTGTACTTACATTGCAAGTTTCTACTACTGCTCTCAGAAGCAGTGTGCGTAGTTATTGTAAGCTTATGGTGTACTTACATTGCCAGTTTCTATTACTGCTCTTCCAAGCAGTGTGCTTATTTGGTTGGCAGTCATAGGGGTTTCCCTCCCTTTTCCTTCCACTTCTTCTCCCCTGGGACCCTGGTTTTTCATCCCCCACTGCCTCTGGGATAAAGGGATTCCCTCCTCTGGATTCCTGTTATTGGCCGCGATAATTCGCGGCTCCGGTTGTGCTGGCCCCTTCCTCCCACGACCGGGTCATAATTTAGTCCCCGGCTTTGCGGCCTACACGCGACGGCCATCTTGGATCGTGCATCTCACGAGATCCGGTCGGCCATCTTAATTTTACTGCGTGTGTGCCGCGAACGGGTTCTCCACCCTCTCTGGATGCCCCTTCTACCCCCGGTGAAGAAGCCTTTTTTTACAGCCCTTCCTTGAAGCTTCCTGCATTCGTTGGCTGGGTCAGTCAAGTCAGTGCTGCTGCCTGTATACAATTGTGACCTGCACTTAAGGGTTCCAATCCCTGTGCAACTGGGGTGAGCTCCCATTATATGTAGATAAGTACAGTGCTGCTTATTGGGAGACTAGCTTTTGCAGTTCTCTCCAACTGGGTGAGCCCCAGTTTTAATAAGGTCACCAATTATACCCTGCTGGGGTTTTATTGGACGGATTTATTATCATCTACCATAACCACTACATTAGCTGATCCCACGCCACACTGCCTATACCTAAGACCTGGGTGCCATTACTATAGTGCCTATCTGTGACGTGTATCACAAGCCTACCCCATACCATGGAAGATTCCCAGAATACCCCAGTGGACTTCCAAGCCATGATTAATGCAGCTGTCACTGCTTCTGTGGAGAAGGCACTTTCCAAAGTGCGAGCTGCGGCCCCTGATTTACCCACACCGTCCCGCAGATGCCCTCACCACGGGTCTGACTCCGATCTCTCAGACTACCATACCAGGGAGGATTCACGCCCGTGTAAACGCCACTGGAAAGGCGAGGTAGGTACACCTAAGCCATCTAAGGGTAAGGAGCCTGCCAAACATGCTAAATCCTCCAAATTCAGCATCCCGGTCCCGCGTCAGGACCACTCTTCTGAGGAAGACCAGGCATTATCACACTCCATGTCAGTTCTGGACGAGTGGCAAGCAGACCTATCCGACTCGGACTATGATGCTTGGGGTTCGGACGACAAGTCTATCTCCACTTTCATGCGGGAGACCCTCCTGGGTGCGGCCCAGACGGAAAGGAGCGAGGACCCTGCAGATGCAGACCTCCATCTCGACTCAGACACCATTCTGGACCCTATGGGTCAGGCTATGTTTGACCCTCGCAACATACGCCATCCCAGGTCAGGGGACTGGTCACCCCTGGAGCACCTCTCCAGGTTCATGCACCTGTAGCTCCGCAAGCCTCTGGACAAAGAGGTACATAGCCGACTGAAGTCGGAATGCCCACGCCCTTCCCTTCCAGACAAGGTGGCTCAAACCCTTGAGTTCGACAAGATTACCTTCATAATGCGGAGTGGACGGGACCCTTGCCGAGGGGTGAAAAAAGGTCTGTGGGGTGCTCAAGACAATCTGCTGGACTCCGTAGGCCCCCTTTCCCGCATCATGTACTTGGCGGACAAAGCCTATGCCAAGGCCGACTCCTTTACGGCCGACAACATCAGGGAATGGGCACACGACGTGCGCGAGTGGGCACAACGATGCTTTTGTTTCATTGGAACCACTAATGTTACGCTCTCTTCGGAGAGACGAAAAGCAGCACTATACCGTATTAACGGTAAGTTGGCAGAGCTTGGCACAAAAGAAATAGGGCCCCAGGCACAGGGGAAACTGTTTGGTGAACCGTTCCTCAAGCAGCTCAACAAACACATAAATGTGTTCACCTCACTCAACAAGGCACAGTCATCTATGCGCAGAGTCTTCCAGGGAAACCCCATGAGGGGAATTTTTGGAAGGGCTGGCCGGCAACAGGGCGGTGCCGCCAGCCGATTCTGCCGTTCAGGCCCCCGTACCCAGCCGACATCATTTTACCCATCCAGGGATTACAGGCAACCGCCCTCCTGGATTCTACAAACGGTGCAGGGCTACATCATAGACCTGGTGGGGACCCCCACTCAGACACACCTCCCGCGCCCCATCCATCTGTTACACCACGACCACAAGTTCGTCGACACGGAGCTGCAAGAACTGAGGGACAAAGGAGCCATCCAGCCGGCCGACGGCTTTGGAGGCTTTTTCAGCAATATTTTTCTGGTCCGCAAAAAGACAGGAGAATTCCGCCCAGTCATCAACCATATTTCCAGGCCCCCTTCACTACAGGGCCATGCAACTACTCAAGGCAAGATTCCTGCGCCGCAGACCCACATACGACCAACCCGTGCCGGTGACGGCAGAGGTTCGCGAAAAGACACAAGAGTATTCCAGGCCATCACAGCCCGGAGGGTTCCTTTTCACCTGGATCTGTTTGCCTCCTGCAACAACCACCAGACTCCGGAATTCTTCAGCTGGCTCCCAGACCCGGAAAGCAAGGCAACGGACGCATTTCTCCAACGTTGGCCGACCAGGGGAGCCTATGCTTTTCCCCCATTCGCCATGATTGCGAGAACCCTACACCAACTCCGGACGCAACAAGTGACACTGACGCTCATCACACCATTGTGGCAGAGCCAACCATGGTTCCCGGACCTTCTGGCCTCCTCATGCAAGGACCCTCTACTCCTACCATCCTTCCCGGACCTCCTCACGGATCCCAAAGGGAATCTTCACCCAATAATACTGGAAGATCGTCTATCCCTTGTGGCTTGGACGCTTTCCGGGGTTCCTGGCAGGTCGGCGGACTATCGCAGGCTGCTAGAGACCTCTCATGGGATTCATGGGCCCCCGGAACTAGACGCTGCTACTTTTTCAGCTTGGGCCTCCTGGTCTACGTGGTGCATGGAACGGGACTCCGATCCATTTACTGCCCCTATACCTTTTGATTCTTAATTTCCTATCATCCTTGTTTTCGACGGGCCGCTCCTACCGTTCCATTAACGTTGTTCGTTCGGCGATTTCTGCGGCTCACACTCCCGTCGGGGACCTCCCGGTTGGCAAGGATCCTCTAGTCTGCCGACTTCTCCATGGTATGCAGCTACGATGCCCTCCAGGCCCTAAGTACAACC